TGATGTGTCTCTTTTTTTCTCAGTGAGGTTCTTCTTGACAGCTACACATCCTTTCAGACCCACAGTGCTGAGTCGTCTTCTCACAGTGGAAGGATGGACAGAAACACCTGTGGATGTTTTCAGATCTGAAGCAGCTTGATTTTCTCCTCTCTCTCAGAGATGAAAGCTTTAAGTGCTGTTTATCTGATGGGGGCAGTTTTGGTGTGGACCAGGTCTTCCAGGTGTTTGTTAGGGGGCACATTTTCTCTTTGGACTTTTAATCAGTTTTGGAAACTCCTGTTTTTTTTGTTTGTTTTTTTTGACTCCCTGCTTCTTTATGCAAGTGAATTATCATAAATCTGATCTCTTCAGAAATATTTCCAGAAAAATGAATAGCTTGTTCTTCATGACTGTTGGACTGAAAATGAATAAAGTAGGGTGTCTGAGTGGTTGTAAAGCAAATGCACAGTATGATTTAGCCTTGGGGCGATAAACGATATTATCGAATATCGCGATAATTTCAACCAGTGACGATATGAAGTAAATTATCGTTTTATTTTTTATAATGTACCCTTCCCACGTGACTTTTTCTCTTTTGTTTTTGTCGTTCTTCTTATTTAACCATTGACTTTGTACAAGCTTTCTAATCTATGGTAGGTTAAAAATGTAGACCTAAGCTATAACAGAAAAGACGGCATTTAAGTATAGACCATGCAAACATAACTAATTAATTACAAATATACGTTTTTAAAACTTGCAAATGAAACACTCCGCTACATGTGACCTTCTCCCTATACGGTGAAAAATGGATGAGCTTGTACAGAAGAAGGGTGTTAGCACACCTGTTTGGCAATATTTTGGTTTCCAACCAGACGAACACAGAGAACCGTTAGATGTTAACAGTGCTACATGCCGTCTACGCAGAAAACTGATCATCACCAAAGGCGGCAATACAGACCTTGAATCCACAGTACGAGCTGCCAAGTACTTCAGCAAGTCAGCGGCGCCTGAGATGTGTAATAATGTTAATTGTGCATGAAACAATCTAGGTTGTTAAAGACTGTAATTCTAATAATATTAATAATAATTTGTAGCACGTAATGCGCTACCCCGGGCTCAAGGAGGACGCTGGAGGCGTTACCTCGTCACCTCCTCGCCAGCTTGTAGCTCGGCTCGGGACTCGCTTCTTGCTCTCGTGCCTCTTGTGGCAGGCACCGTCATCCTCCTCCTCCCACCGTCACTTGCGTGACTCAATTCCCTCGGCGGAGCTCGGGCTTTGCGCTCCGCAACCCCCACCCCCCTACTCACTTGAGTTCTCTTTGTGAATTAATTTTTAACACGATAATATCGTTTATCACGATAATTCTTGAGACGATAATCGTTTGTCTAAATTTACATTATTGCCCAAGCCTAGTATGATCTGCTTCTGAGTCACACTTGCACCCATATCTCATGCTCAGAATAGTGACTTGGGTGTTTTTCTGAGCCAGTGAAGAAAGTAAAGGTGTTTTTCCAGCTCAGAGTGAGCCTGAAGTTTTCATGACCGTGCTACAATTCACACGTCCTACCGCATACAGTCTAACACAGAGCAGTGGAGGCTGCTGTTCTGCTCAGTGTTTACACGGCTGTCTAAATAGCTGAGCAGGAACTAGGATAAGTATCATGCAACCGTTTTGTGATGACAAAGCGAATGTTAGTCATGTGTAGATGATGCACGACGTGGCTTGTGGTTGCTGCCTAGTTTATGTCATGCCAGTTTAAGTACTTGAGCCTTGAGGATGTGGGCTAACGGCTCGGCATTGACTGTCTTTGTGCTTGCAAACCAACCTTATATAAGAAGGCATGACCTCAGGTCAGCCTTTTTCTTTGAACTTAACAGCTGGTTGCTGGTGGTATCAGTGGTGAACTGTGACTATCAGAGATTATCAGAGGCGTTGCCATAAATGTCAAAAGCTAAAAAACATGAAAATAACTACTGGTTGTGACTTAAACAGCTGGTTATGAAACGGAGAATGAGAAGCTTGACAGATCAAGCTGTGAATAAAAGTATGTTATTAATTTGTTTGTGTGTAGGAGAAAGAAATATTGATCAAATCTGGTCAGGTAGGGTTGTAAAAAGTGGATGTGCTGATGATGTCAGCCAAAAAAAAACAGGCCTGGACCTTAATTTACATAAAATATTTGTAATTTTATGTCACAATTTTGGTGAGAAAAATTAGGCATTTTCTCCAAATCCCAATGTCATTCAGCCCTGGTTTACCGGTAGGTCAAGCGCCCTCTGCTGGTGCCTTTTCACACATGAGTTGAAGGGCCCACATTTTTCTTGTAGTTCAAAGGTGCACAAAAACAGTCATCATTCGTTTTTACAAGACTATTTTCAAACCTCTCTTTATCCCTTAGAAGTAAACAGACTGCTTTTGTTACCATGCCTGTAAGACCAGTCTATGTAAATGAGCTCTCTTCTGATTGGCTGTCCTGTATTGTGCCTCATTCAAAAAGCAGTCCGGGCTGAAACGTTCCTTATAACTTCAGTGTCAGGGGGCGTGGCTAAACTACTGTAGGTTGAACAGGTGGATAAATGTGTGAATATGTTGGTTTTTGTGACACCAGAGAAAAAGTGATTTAAAAATGGAACGATTTGAATGGTTTGTTTTGAAATTTAATATTGTTTACATACAATAAGAAATTCTGACTTAAAAAAAAAAAATGTTTTCCCTGATATGGGTCCTTTAACAATGAACTGGATGTGCTGTTTCAAACTATATGTTGTAGCTGACACTTTAAGAGTGTTTCCAAAAGAGTAGCTGTAAAATAAAACACAGAAACTGAGCCATGGGTTTTGTAGTTCAGCCATTAGTTTTATGGTTTGGCCACCGATTTTGTAATTTGGCCATAGGCTTTGTAGTTTACTTATACTAGCCACATTTACATGCAGCCTAATAATAAGTTAATAATCAGACTAATAGCTCAATCTGAATAGACTACATCCATGTTTACGCCTCAGTCGGAATAGACTAGTCCGATTGAGGCCATTCGGATTACAGTTTTTATCTGACTGAACGAGGTGGGTATTCCTGTAAATAATCTGTTAAATAGAATAATAATATCAGTGTAAACACCTGTATCTGATTACATTCCCAATCGGAAAGTTTAATTACGCTCTGCGCATGTTTGTTCGCGTTAGGGGTGGGAATCTCTAGGCACCTCACGATTCGATTCGATTACGATTCAGAGGCTGCGATGCGATTATAAAACGATTATCGATGCATCTCAATGCATCTTTTTTCTCTGTACAGGATTTCTGTCTTCCTACTGTCTGAGGACTTGGTAGTTTTAAAGCAAAGTATTTGTAATGATCCATAATGTAAATGCATTTTGGATCATTACAAATACTTTGCTTTAAATATCTAAAATATCTTTTATTAATAAATCAAATGGAAGTGATGTGGCAAGTGAACTAGGAGGCTCTTATTCAGAGACGCTGCTGCCACTCATCTGCGATAAAATGCGCTGTTACCCTGAAATAAGATCCAGTGGTAATGGGTGTCCATGCAGCACGTTACAGCCACCCTTCCCGTTTTCGGTTCTCAACGACTGAGAACAGACAGCAGGTCACATAGCACCGAGGTCTGGCCTCACTAGCAGCGACCGAAAAAACAGAGATTAAGACGAACATTTGGAGGACTTATTCACATTTATAAGCAGCGCGGTTGGTTAAATCTGCAACGACAGTTTAAAAAAAGTTGCGAAAATGAACTCGCTTCTCTTTCGAATTTTCCCGTTCCACCTTAAATGGTGCAGCAGTTACATTCGGCGCCTAAGGCAGAATTTAAGGTGAAACGGGAAAATTAGAACGAGAAGCTGGCGAATGAGAAGCGACCTCAGCTTCGTAAAACAGCCGGACGCTGAGACATTTTACAAGAAAGAAAAGTTTTCTGGTGGAGATGGGAGGAAAGCGGCTAAAGCTAAAGCTTAAAGTAGAGCGAAGTAAATCTGCGCTCTTGTTTATATTTTTAGCCCATACTACGACATTAACACATACTGGACATTAAATGTTGTGGCTGCCAAGGTGGTTTGATTTTTGTTGAAAGGCAAAATGGCTCTTCTGATCATTTGTGTTGTGACTCCTGACCTAACCTGGCTTTAATGCAGAGCGAGCCGGTCGGATTTCTCGCTCGTCCAGTGGCGTTTTTGTTATGTGCCGCCACAGACTGTCCGGGCGCTGCACTTCCCCACTTCCAAATTCCGCCTTTTGCGTTCCGTCAACATTACGTTATAAATTAAATATTTAGAAAATCTATTTTTGACACTTGTGAATCGATTCAGAATCGTTCATGTCCGCATCGCGATGCATCTAAGAATCGAGTTTTTCCCGCACCCCTAGTTCGCGTCATAGCGAAAGTTCATAACGTTCAACATGGCAGGAGCCATTGTAATTGGTTCCACTCATTACAAATCAAAATGTGATTGGCTAATTCTTCTGCCTCTTCCTAAGATTTAAAACTCTTTGCTTATTAATGTTCAAGTGGTGCTCTTTTATTATTAGTTTTAAAAGGCCTCTAGAAATAGTTTGGCATTTTATTAGCACTTATTAGTCTTTGGTGAATATTTATAATCTTGTTTTACTTAGTAGCTGTTTTTTTATTTTAATGCTACTCTCCTTAAGCTTATGGTCTTTTATTTTACTTTCTTTTCTTGCATTAGGTTGTTTTGAGGTGTTATTTGCATGTATTTGAGTTGCATTTTTATGTTTGGAAGGTGTTGTGTAAAAAGTCCGTCACTGCTTGATCAGTAATCGTGAGCTGTAGATGGTCATCCGGTATGATCTGGTAATCTAGAAGACTTTTTGAGTTGCCGACTCATTTTAGTGTTCATTTTTAAAACCATGAGGTTTATGTCTAATCAGTTGAAGTGCCTCAGTTAAGTCTGTACAATGCACCTGTGAAGGACAGTGTGGTCACAGTACTGGGCCACCTCTCTGACTGACCATTGCTTCTCTGTTCTTCTCTCGCCTTCCTCAGGATCCCTCAGTGACGCAAGTAACGCGGAACGCCCCCCCTGGCCTGGAGGAGTATAACCCTTTCACAGATACAAAGCCGGTGAGTTGTTACAGAAGCTGTGTCATATATTCATGCCATACATATGTGTGTTAGGAAACGCTCTGGCTTCTGTTTATTTACAAGCCGCTCTGCAGCCATATGACAGATTACATCACTGCAGTGACTGGATCACCCTTCAAGTGCTGAGAGTTTTTACTGAACCAGGAAAATCTGCTTTTAGCTTTAGTGCACCAGCCAACATGCGCAACATGCTAAAACTTAATTAGGTTAAACTTTTAATCTCTCCAATCATTTTTATTTGATCTTTGTTGGTTCATATTTCATTTTCAATTTATTTATAGCTGCACTGTGAGTTTTTTTTTTTAATAAAAAGTAGCATTACTGACTCAGGAGAATAAAAACAGGCCAAAATATGTTGTGTAGGTGCTGCTGCGAGTTGCCCTGTAAAACCTGAAATAATCAGTCAGAATGTTTTTATGTGTTATTATAGTAGATATAATAGATCCCCAGGAGATGTGTCCTTCACCAAGTCTTGATTGAGTTCCTCTTGAATTCTCTTTCAACGTGCTCATAATCTTCAGATTCATCCGCTCAAGAAAGGAATCTGAAGCACAACTGGTGCAACAAAATTCGTCCACATATCTCGTGCAGTTACACATTTCCACCACTGAGGTCTCCAAATCCCCAAAACTTGCGTAGTGCAGCTTTAGTTTGATTTTTAATTTTAATAGATTGTTTATTTGTCTTTGTTGCTTAATATTTTAGTTTGTTCCAGTTGTAATTTTATTTCCGAATTACTTTGTCAAATAATGGTAGATTTATTTTTAGTTATTTATTTAAAGCGCTGTGGGCTCAATGCCTCTCAAAAAAGTTTTTTTTTTTTTAAATATGTACACTCTCTTAAAAAAGATGGTTCGTCAAGGGTTCTTTAGTGAAAAAATGGCTCAATATAGAACCAATGAACACTCAGAGAACCCTTTGCATGATCAAAGTTTCTTTGCGTTGTGAAATGGTTATTTAGACTGATTGATAATGTCTTGTGTATGGTTCTTTATAGAATCTTTGAAAAGGGTTCTATATACCACCAAAAAGGGTTCTTCTATTGTAACAATGTTGAGCTTGTAACAATAGAAGAACCCTTTTCGGTGCTATAGAACCTTTTTGACAACGGCTCTGTATATAGAACCATCTACAGCACATTCTCCTTCAATCTGAGGAACGCTTTCACCATGCAAACAGCTCTTTAAACATGCTGTGGGTTCTTTTAGGGTTCATGGTTCTATATAGAACCATTTTCTTTACTAAAGAACCCTTGGAAAAAGATCTTTTTAAGTGTGTACCATTCTGCACACATCCACACATCTGTACTTACCATTTGGGAGAATAAGCTGCCTTTATTAGTCTTCAAACTGTGTTTGTATGTATTGTGTATGTATATTTAACAAGACAATGGAGCTCTTTGTCTTTTGTCCTTGCAGATTCTCTGTGTACTTTGTTTAATTTTGGTTTGCACGTTTTGTCATGTTTTAGGCTCCGCCTGGCTCAGCCCCCAAAGCAATGCCACCCACCACCAACACACAGCCGGCTATCATGAAGCCCACTGAGGAACCACCAGCTTATTCTCAGCCACAGCAAACACAGGTACGCAAACTATCTGTTCTCAGCTCTGTCAACAGTAAAGCAAACACATCAACACTAAAGGTCACACATCTGAACCAACACACAGATTCTCCAGTAAATCAAGTTCATGCATAATGGAGACACATCAACAAGTTGCTCATGCACTTTCAGACTCTGTCCAGCAGATTCCCTGCTCATAACAAATCACCAGTGAGCATGAAGACAGTGTTGTGACAGGCAGGGTAAACAAATATCATAGCCTCAGAAACGGAGGGCTGGAGCAGAGCGATGGATGGTGGATGGACAGAGAGAGAGCGCCATGAAATAGGAAGAATGAAATCACTGTCTGGGAGCGGAGCCTACAAATTGGCAAGTCTGTTTTCCGTAGGTGGTTCCTTCAGACAGTGCAGCCATAGGATCTGTTTGGCAATCTGGAGCTTACTCTCGGGAGATTCTGGCCCATTCGGACGAGTTCTCCATGTGACCGTGCTGAAACGGCTGAGGTGAAGGAGAACAGTCACTGTGGGGAGCCTTTATCTGCAGGAAATGACAAAGGCGAACGGGCTTTTTCATCTTTTGTAATGCTAGTATCTGTTAGAATGGAATAATCATGGACCCGCAGCTGAGCTTTTTAGTCAGTGGTTCCAGTCGAATCAGATTTGCTCCAAGCAGAAAGTCTTATTCCGCGTTGAAGATCAATGCCGCTGTATCTGCATTCTTCTTTTATATTAAAGAATCAGAAAGGTTAGTCGGCCATTGATTTGGAACTCCTTCAAAGCATCTGCTTTGATGGTTGAGTGACTTACAAACACATTTAGAAGGTTTCGCTTGCTCGCTTATGTGCTTCGCAACCAAACCGAGAACACCAGCCTGATCGCAGTGGTTTCTTATTTGAAACCAGTTTGACCATATTGTGTTTTGGTTGGTTGGTTGGTTGGTTTGTTTATTCCATCTGTATTTCTCTGCGCTGTTTATGCTTGTAAACAAATGTAATTTGGCTGCTTTGACTTTTATTTCAATATATTAATAAGTGTACAGTGCCAGTCAAAAATTTAGCCTGACAATTAAGAACATTTTGTGGTTGATAGCAATTTTAAGGGGCTAAAAATTCTGATCATCAGCTGATATAGTTTTATATTGTAATAATTTTAACTAAAAGGTGCTATACTAATGGATATTAACTGTTTTTTTGTCAATTACCTCTTATTTTTCTAATTTTCCATTATCTTTCTTAATAGAAAAGGTTTGGATACATTTACTTTTTTGTTATGTGAACAATTCTGGAATTTTTTTTTCTTTGTTTAAATTCACTAGATATTCAAATGGAGCGTCCCAGTTGCACAGCTGTCTGTGACTGGCTTTACTTGGTGAAACTTTCACGCAGCATGTTGTGAGTTGTCTGCAACAATTTCTGTGCAACTTGTCAGTTACTCAAAGTAATTCAAAACTAGAGTTGCTCACAACACATTCAGTTACTCCACTAATTATCTAAATTAGCAGCTCATGTTTAATAAACCGCATCGTTCTCCTTAACATCTGCGAATGTGAATTTTACATATTTGCAGCATTTTATCATCTTTGTAATTTTTTCCAGCTCCTTTTGAACCTCCTAAGAAACAGGCTTCTGTTTTTTGTCCAGTGATCTGGTGAAATAAGTTGTTTCAAAGTATGTGGTTCGACATAATCAGTGTTTTGTTGTTTCATGAAACTTGTTTCACAAAGTTGAGATGCTTGAGTTTCAGGTGAGTTGCAAGATGCCTTATTATGCCACTCAAGTGCAATGTAGTTTCGTGTAACAAAAGTTTCACCATGTAAAGCCAGCCAAAGATATTTGTCTGGAGACTGTGAAGGCATATCCCGGAAATACCATGGCCCAAAAAAGCCACTATTATTGGTGCATTATCAGCGATATTTATAGCAACTTGAAACCTTTGGTCAGTATTGGCCAGTAATTTCTGCCGGTTTGGACTCAAGTACTTGATTGATCACTATGTATTCATATTAGAATAATAACAAAGATATAAAGTAACACATGGAATTACTCTAATCCAAAATTTTGGCTTTAAACGGGAACTCCACTGATTTTTCAAAATTTTTATGTAATGGTTAAGACGTAAACAAAGTCATTCAGAGTGGTTTGGTGTGAAATGCTCTGTTCTAGAGAAACTTACAGAGTCAGAATTGTTCACATTGGTGGTGATAGGAACCAGACGTCCACCTCTAAAAGCTCCCTCACAGAAAGTTACTACACGGAATGGTTATGAATTCACTGCCTGATGTCTGAGACACTGTTTTACATCAGTTTCGTGGTAAAGTTTTGGTCTAAAATGTATTCTAATCAGTTTATTTGAATCTATTCGTAGTGGAGGGATACATGCAGGGTGTTCTAAGGCAAAGTAGTCCCTAAAGAGATTTTCCACTATTTTACCATCAACATTCCATATAATACTCACATGTAGGTTCACTGGTGGTTTTGGATAGTAAATAAAATGGCTATATCTGTGTTGTAGTCATGGCGACCCTGGTTCCCATCACCACCACTGTAAAGAAATCTGAACCATTTCACACCAAACCACTCTGAGTAATTTTGTTCCTCATGCAGAAGTTTTGAAAAATCTGGTGGAATTCCCCTTGACAGTTGTTCATGGCTGTTTAGACCCACCGTAACAAAAACACAGCTAACTGATTCAAACACATGAACAAAGACAGGCATGTCACTAATTAACTTTCAGCAAGGCTGTCAGTAATTAAGATTAATGATGCGGTTTAGTAATTAAATTTCACTCATGCTTTAATGAACTATGCTTTGTTTACTGTTTATCTGCTGAATCCAACATATTGGAGGGACAAAATATGAAATGTGACCTGTGCAAAAGTTATGGCAGATATTTTAAGTGTTTTTTTTCATTATACTTAATGTAAACTCTCTGTAGAAGATGTGATAACTTTTTTTTTTTTTACTTAGAAATTCAACAAAATGTCACTTGACCAGGGGTGTTCACACTTTTTGTATATGGTCCTTCAATTAAAAATAGCTCATTTTAAAGCTGAGTGTTTTTTTTAAATAAATATTGGATCTCTGTATTGTTAAATACTGAAGGTTTCAATATCTGTACTGAAAAAGAAAATGTAGTATCTGTAACTCAAGCATAATGTAGATCAAAGCGTCTTAAAGATAATGAAAAATGACAAGACTGACATTGTGGCATATGTTCTGCCTCTCAGCCATGAGGGACATACGGAGAGCGTGGAGCTGAGTGTTGGGTGGGATGTTTAATTCAGCATGGCCAGAAGGGGGTCTCGTGCGGAACAGGAAAAGGGGGACACACCATGTTCAACAGAGATAAGGGTTGACAAGGGGGCAAACACGTACACGTACAGCTGGGCTAACTCAATCACCTGGGTCCTGACTGGTCACTGTAGGTGGAGGAATGATCAAGACCTTCTGAAGAAGATGAAAAACTTGAATGAAATAAAAAATATAGTTTAATTGGAGATGTCTGTTCATGTGTGGAGGGATGGAGCCAACTAGAACGTAGCTGTAAGGCACTAACAGAAGGCCTGGAGCAGGAACTCTCCATTCGGTCACTGGCACAATCACATGACCAGTCATGCCCCTGGTCATGAAGTGAGGGGGAGTCCTGATCCCTCAGCTGACCTACTAACACACCTCCAGCTGCCACATGCTGAGCCTCAGAGAAACACCACCGAAATACATTAACACGTACAACTACAACTAGCACGTTTTACATTACACACCCCTCAATTTCAGCTTTGGCATAATTGTTTGGAATATATGTACTGTGCAAAAGTCAGAGACCACCCTTCATTTATTTAATTTACAGTCGAAACAACCATTAAGTTATTAGTTTTTCACTGAGTTCAGAAAACATCAGCTTCAAAATCTAAATGTATCATTTTTTTTTCAGTGTTCAGTGAGTCACTCTTTACCTCTATTCCAGCTTCCTTTCTTTTCAGAAGAAATCTGCAGACACTCCTCCAAAGTTCAATCTTAGAAGTTGGTTGATCATTTTCTGAAGTAATCAAACACATTCAGTAGGGCTGGGCTATAAAACAATAACGATAATTATCGCGATATAACTTTTCCTCGATAGAGCGATACGACACATTCGATAAATGTTCGATATAATACACCATTCTCACACTTCCACGTTCAGCGAAAGCCCTGGTGGCGTTTTCTACTGCGAGGAAAGCGACACTACTCAGCTGTCGCCAGGAGAGGGGCGCACTTCCGAGTTTTTCTACATGATTAGAGAGGGAGGGGGCCACGAGTAAGATGAGTCTTTAGCAACGGCTGAAACGCAAAGTTACACATTCCCTGTTTGAGTGGAGCGACAGGCGATCTGCTCTCCTGTGACCGAGTCTGAGTGACGAGGTCAGTGGTGTAACTGTACTGTCCTACAGCGAACTCACCTCTCTCTGTACATCCTAACAGCTTTAGCAGTGTTAAATCACAACGCTCACAGTTACAGCACTCGGACAGTCATATTTTAATATTAGTGCATTCACAAGCGACGAAAGTGAAAGAAAGAAGTGGGTTCATCTAAATTACGGCCCTGATTTAAACGACAGTAAACTGAGGAAGCTGTGAGGCATTGGAGAGCGGGAGAGCGCTAACCTAGCTTTCCAGGCTAGCTGCTTTTAGCAGCTGGCTAACTAGAAGCAGCGCTCTGTCACTCCACAACACGGAGAATTGATGATACTGTAGATCAAACGACACAAAAGCACCGCCTTCAGTTTAAACGTACCTAAAAAGAGGACTCTGTTTGTCTGGTGTTGATATTGAGGTTCACCACTTAAACTAATCCAGTCGTCTAGCTGGTGTCTGAATGCTGTGATGTCATTTGTAGCGGGGTAGCCGAGCGCTCGAGCACCAGCTAAAAATAATCTGTTTTCTTTCTTAAATTATGACTATTACAAAATAGCCATGCTTTTCCAGCTGGTAAAAACAGCTCAGCAGACACTTTCTCCCACTCTCCCGTGACAGATCTGTGAAATGTTCCACTGTTTGGTGAGTGTTTGTCATGTGCCGACCATAAAGGATAGTTTTAAAACAGCAATTAACCCCCAGGACCAGAAATCAGCCTTCAAACTTGAAAGAAATAATGATTTGACATTATCGCGATATGTATCGATATCGAACGATATGAATTTTGTTTATCGTGATAAGATTTGTGGCCATATCGCCCAGCTCTAACATTCAGTGATGTTGAGGTCTGGACTCTGGGGTGGTCAGTCCATTGTTCAGCTTCTTTGTTTGATGTGTCCATCTACTTTTCTCAGTGAGGTTGAGATTAATGATGGGTGTTTTCTAATTTGAACATTACTGTAATCCACACCCATCCCCCATTGTAAAAATAGTACTCATGTCACAGTAATGACATTTAACAGTAATAACTGAACACATGTATTCCACCAAACAGTACTGACCACACCAGTGCCGGTAGTTTCTACAGTAACTTAAAGGCTTTTCTGTTTAGTCAAGGCTAGTAGCATTTGACTACAGTGAACAGTAAGACCCGCCTCCACCTATAACTCCATGTTCAGAAATTTGACAACGTATCGGGCTAATTTGATTATCAAAAGACCTAGTTTACTATTTGAGTTTATATTTACGTTACTATTCAACATTGTTTTGATACTTGTGTTAGTATTTAACAGCTCAGGGAGCAGTATATAATATTAAAAATGTTTGTATGATATTAAAATTGGGCATTATTTTAAATATTAAAAAAATATATATAATAAAGCAGCTTATCAGACTTATCTGAGAACTGTGTGAGTCTAATGAGCATTTTTGACTGGTATCCCTGAGTCCAACACCTGTTATGCCACAGAAGCAAATCTAAGCACAGTAGTGTGAGCAGTGAGAAATGAGTGAAACAGCCTCTACGTCTCCTCATTCAAAGTCCGAATGGCATAGCTTCTTATTCACTTTACTGCTAGATGTGCCTCCAGGGATGACCGATTGAATGAAGGACAACAGGCCAACAAATGAGGTATCTAGCTTTCACTGGGTGGTTAGCTTTCACTGGGTGGTTAGCTTTCACTTGGTTGTTTGGTTTCACTTGGTGGTTAGCTTTCACTTGGTGGTTAGTTTTCACTGGGTGGTTAGTTTTCTCTTGGTTGTTTGGTTTCACTGAGTGGTTAGCTTTCACTGGGTGGTTAGCTTTCACTGGGTGGTTAGCTTTCACTTAGTTGTTTGCTTTCACTTGGTGGTTAGGTTTCACTTGGTGGTTAGCTTTCACTTGGTTGTTTGCTTTCACTTGGTGGTTAGCTTTCACTTAGTTGTTGGCTTTTGTTTCGTTGTTGGCTTAGGCTTGGTTGTTGGCTTTCGTTTGATTTGGCTTTCGTTCGGTTGTCCGCTTTTGTTTAGTTATTAGCTTTGGCTTGGTTGTTGGCTTTCATTTGGTTGTTGGCTTTCGTTTGGTTGTTGGCTTTCATTTGGTCGTTGGCTTTAGCTTAGTTGTTAGCTTTCTCTTGGTAGCTTTCACTTGGTTCACTTGGCTTTTGTGATTGTGTGAGTGGTTTAAGCCACATTAGCTTTGTGATTTGTGAAGGAAATGCTTACGTGAGCTTTACTCAAGATTAGGACCACTCAGCTCATATCAACATGTGAGAACTGTGGCGAAATACATGGTGTTCATCATACATACATTGCACATGGTTTGTCCACAAGAGATTAATCTAACTAGAGAGAAAGCACAGGTTTAGACTCCCTGGTGCTTTGAAAAGGGGATCGTCTGAGCCAGTCTCCTGACCTGCCTGCTCTTCCATTGTGACTGTGTGATTCAGCTGACCATCTTTGCCAGGTGTCTCTTCAGAAAGAACGTCTTGCTTGAATAGGACCTCCTGGTGGAGTAAAGGTCAAATAGAAAGTAGAAGAAACTGGAACTTGTGCTGACAGTAACTCTGTCAGCCTGGCTTGGCCTGCTTGGACGTTCTCTGGAACAAACTCACCACTGCTCAAGGTTAAGCACAAGCAAAGCTTCATCTCCTGAGCACCGAATCAAGCAGTCTGCCAAGAAACCTGCATGACCGAGACAGTGGGAACATATTTAGAGTTACAATCTGTTATGGCTCACGACGGGAGAGAGAGAGTGAGAGTGATCAGGGATGGAGGGAGAGCTAAAAAAGAATGTGATGGAGAGAGAGCTGGATGTTGTTGTGTGGAGAGAGAACATGAGTATATAGTTCAGCCTGTAAATAACAGGATAGCGGCATAATTTTTGTGTATTTGGCAGCGTGTTGTGCCTGAACTAATGATGCAGTGGCGCACAGCTGGCCAAGAAAGAACTGGACAGCCAGCTGCCCAATTACTTAATCAGGACAGTGTATAAAAATGGCTATGATTCCTGTATGGCTCATCCAGTGTAGATGGAAATACCCTCAATTAAAGCTGAACATTCTGCACTAACCTCATTGTCATGGTTTCATTTCTGTGTGCTGGAGTAACACACACGTTTGCTGTCCAGTTACTTACATACTGCACTGTAATTGGGCATTAGTGTGTCCAGCAAGGGCAGCAGCAGCCTGCTGAGCAGCCAGCAGCCTAATAGTGTGTGCCAGTTTTAAGGAGCTAGAAACTTCGGATAACCAAAAATGGCTAATATTGGAATTACTTGTTAAATAATGTTAAATAATGTAATGTAATTTTTATTTATATACCTTTTGTCAAGTTATTGGTAATCACCAATTGAAATGCAAGGCATTCTTAATATAACTGACTTGTATATTGTAATTTCTTGATCTTTTTTGATGTTACACACCTTTTTCAGTCATTTTAGAATCATACATATATACTGTACAGCTCTGTTCATCATTCTGAACATATTTGTTTTTTTATATAATTGAAAACATTGATTCCAATTTTTGAGCAATAATGGAAGCATGAAACATGATTTTTCTTTCATATCAGAGGTGTTTGTCCTATTCAGATGCACATAATCTTTGAGATTTTTGCCAGTAATCCGCAGGATGTCAGGATTGGCTGATGTTAACAGCAAGCTGATAACATCAGTCAGACCCTAGAACATACAGCACAGAGGCAATACATAAAGCTGCTTAGTGAATGTGGTTCCAAACCTTGTACTGTTAATGCATTAAGACAAAATGTGTGCCTGGATATGTATATATTTTTTGTAAACATGAACAGTAATGTTTCTTTTGGCAGTTTGCTTCATACAGTCTGGTGTTTACTGGCTGTTCTTACTGGTACCTGTGCTGTATACACCACCTACATTTTGTCATTCATAGATCAGCTTGTGTATATTAATAGAAGGATGTGTTTGTCTCACTGTTATGATTATTTGTCAGTACATAGGAGTGATTTTTAACCTGTGTGAACGTGTGTTGTAGGACCAGACGAGGGCTCAGGCGGAGTTGTTGCGGAGGCAGGAAGAGTTGGAGAGGAAGGCCGCAGAGCTCGACCGCAGAGAGAGGGAGATGCAGTCCCTCAGTGCATCAGGAGGTGAGAAACTACATTACCCAGAATGCCAGTCTGAACCAATATGTGCTGATGTTTGTTGAGATAGAGGGGTAGGGCGAAGTGTTTTTCAGAGACTCACTCCAAACAGTTTGTGTTATAAGAAGAAAGAAGAAAAACAGGCAAGTTGGCTGCGCAAGCAACCAAAGAAACCCACAAATGTGAGAATTTTCTCTGTTAAAAAATTACGATAACCCCTGTATTATCTTAGCATTATATTATCAGTTACATTCTGGTGCCTCAGGTGTCAGAACTGCTGCACCATTTAAGGTGGAATGGGAAGAAGCTGGTGAATAGCTGACTTCAGCTTGGTACTACCAAAGAATTGGGAGGTGGCGATAATGAAATAATAACTTATAATAATTAATAATATCACAATAATAATATTTATATATTTATATTTATTAAATATTATTTTAGTAAAAATAAGTGTAACTAAAGCCCAGCAGTGAGGAGCTGAACTTTACCCTCCTCTGCTGTCACTGCAGACTGGCAGGGTCGCCTACAGAGCAGCGCTGGTAGCTGTTAATGAAGTGATGCTCTTTTTATTTGAGGGTCTCATTTCAGAGGGAAGATTTCAACCACTACCCCTGTAACTCAGTTCCAAGGGGCAGGGTGACACTTGAAAACAAGAAGTAGGGGTAAAAATAAAAAAATGGGACTGGGCCTTCATGTTCTGTCACAAGTATTATAAATACAAGTTCCTTAACTTAAAAGTTGTTCAACTAACAATGATTAAAAGGATGAATGTTCCATCAAGGTGTTATAATGGTGGAAGCTTCTGAAACTATTTTAATACTCCAGTTTTTGACTGAAGCATTAAAGGTCACTGACCTTTACCCTTTCATCAAAAAAGAAGAAAGGAGTATTTGAGTGGTCAGTGGTAAATCTAAATGCTCCTTACTTTTAGTGGTCACTGATTAGGCCATTTGCTTAATCTGTAAGCTTTAGTTGCGTTATGTCCATTTTTGCTGTGGGAGGAGAGACCAACCAGCTGATCAGTTACAACTGAGAACAACAAAGCAATTTATCACAAAGACTTCCAAATTATGATAATATATTATGCACAGAACTGTGCAGAAGTCAGGGACCACACTCTCATTTATTTAATAAATGTCAAAACAACCAGAAAAGAAGAAAGAAAGAAACACAAATTTAACAGATAATTACCCAGAAGCCTCCCACACCAAGTATATCATATATATCCATATTTAATTTCTCCACTCTTTGCTTCTGTGCACCTACTTCCACCTTAACTCTTCCATCCTTCCAGTCTTAAAGCCGAACAGTTACAAATGCGTCCTCCCAGCAAAATCTGTTCACAGAGAAGTCACTGATATTATGTTCCTCTCAGAGAGACCTTAACATTCACACAACCTGCCTCAAACTCATCTTAACTGCCTCACACATTTCTCTCTCATGTGCATCTAAAATGGCTAAGGGAGAAATTTCTGAAGAGATTAGATGAAAGATCAAAGAAAGTCAAAGAAAAATCAGAAGAATTCAAAAATGATTAAAAGATACAAAGAAAATGAGACCACCTGCAGAACCTGGTAGACCACCAACACTGCCCCCATCAGATAAACAGCAATTAAGGCTTCCATCTTTTAGAGAGAGGAGAAAATCAAGCTGCTTCAGATCTGAAAACATCCACAGGTGTTTCTGTCCATCCTTCCACTGTGAGAAGACGACTCAGCGCTGTGGGTCTGAAAGGATGTGTAGCTGATCAAGAAGAACCTCACTGAGAAAAGGAGACAGACAAATAAGATGATGATCTGCACTAGAACACTGAAACTGGATGTCTAAGTTGTCCAGGAAGGTTTTATGGACTAAGAAGTCTAAATCTGTAGTTGAGATTATTTGGATTATGAGAAGCAGAAAATGCTAAACCAACTTTTAAGACTGAACTCTGAAGGTGTGGAAAAGTATCACAGCAGATTTCTTTGAAAAAACGAAAGCAGCTGTCCTGAAAAGAATGGAAGCATGAAAAGGCAGCATTAGTCCCTCTGAATACGGTGTGGAGAAGAATAAACTACATCTCCCACGATGCAGTAGTGACGTCTACTAACACAACAAAACAAAAACAAATGATTTAGTGTGACTGATGAGTTTATTATGGATAAATATTATGGATAAATTGATTCTCTCTTCTACTTTTTCCTTTCTTTCAGGGAGGAAAAACAACTGGCCGCCTCTTCCAGAGAAGTTTCCGGTTGGTCCGTGTTTCTACCATGACATATCTGTGGACATCCCTGTGGAGTTTCAGAAAACGGTCAAGATCATGTACTACCTGTGGATGTGTGAGTGTCCATCCAGTCCCTTAGTCCATGTATCTATAGATTTTTCTGCTTCTTTGCTAAACAGCCACTTCTTTTTGTTTCAAAGACTCATCTTCTCTCAGAGAAAAGATGAGCGGCTGTGACAGATTTTTATTTTATTATTTTTTTAAGCAAACGTGAAGCTGTTTGTAATAGTTCCTAGAAACTGAAGAAGTGTGAATGACTCATGCACATTGTGGAGAACAGGCTGTTGTTTGTGATGTTCCGTTTGTAAGATGAGATGGAGACTCACAGAACGGCCTAGTGTAATGTATTATTAGCTGTTTTTACACAAAATAACTGATCCTGCCGATGCTCTCGTACTATAAAAGGTAGAGAAGTACATAATTACGGGTCACAAGAGGGAGGCTGTTATCGCGAATAACATCGTGGCTCGCAGGCACAAGCTGAAGGCGAGCACCACATCATGATTCTTTTATGCAACAGTTCTGCAAAACAAAGAAAAAAATAAAGCAGAAAAGCTCCAAACATTTTTTCCCATTTTAGCCTTTGCCCATTCCAACCATTAGCTAGATTTCCCTCAAGTGCATGATGCTCCCCAGCTTGGAGGATGAAGGCTAGCATGAGCTTCTTCTGAGACACATGAAGCACCACTGCACCTTCTCTAACTGCTGCTATTGCAACATCGTTGGACAGCGCAAAACACTTAAAGGTGCTGAGTGCTAATTCTGCTACATTGCTAAACAAGTACCCACTATGGCTAGTATCTTGCTGAGTGACTGGGGGGCGGGGGGGACCATCCTACCCACCTAGAGTGAGGCCAGTTAGGCTCCCCTGGTCTAGATGGTTGTGGCATCAACAAGGAACAAACTCACGATATCCCAATGATTGTGCTATTGCTTGAGGGTCATTTATACTCCCTTTACGTACGAAAAAGAACACCTCCGTTTGAAACGATGTACCCATCACTGCCCACAAACCTCCATGTGTCCTTTACACTGGCTTGGATGTTTAGCAGTACATCCACTAGAGGGCAGTCTAGAGTCAAAGGTTTCTGACAACAAACATGGCGACGGTGGAGGAGGTCGTAATAATGGAATAATTGTCCATCTGTGTGTGTGTAATATACACTCACACACACTTGTATCTACATTCATTGTCCATTTTATCAGCTCAACTTACCAAATAGGAACACTTTGTAGTTCTACAATTGCAGACTGTAGTCCGTTTCTCTACATTAGAGCCTGGCCGATGTAGGATTTTAAAGATCGATACAGATTTTGATATTTAAAGATTTAAAAATCTGATATCAGTCAATATTCTTTTTTTTTTCATTCAGAAATACATAAGCAAGGGTTTTCTCTAACATTTATGTGTAGTTATGTAAGAGTCCTCACCAAGATAACATGACATAATGCAGTTTAAAAAAAAATAACAAAAATGCTTTGAACAACTCGAACTTCTTTTTGAGCTGTGAATAACGTCTCGCAGCATATCATAACAAAATAGTGCCATTACAACACCCACAGATACTTGTTTAGATACTTGTTAGGCTCAGGTTTATTTATGTGTCCCCTCTGGTACGATTTCCAGAGCACTAACTGTAACTACAGACATGTGAGTTGCAGGTATATTAACCGTTGCTTCATTTAGGCACAATATCGCTGTTGTTGGAAGATTTGTGTCTCCAAAATGGTAACTTTACAGGAGAAGGAAAAAACCTACTTTACTTTCAGTGTAAATCAATGGAACCAGACCTTTTCCCAGTAATTTTGGGCTGTTTCTATCCTATCTTCATAAAATTTACACACAATCTAAAGGGCAACAGGGATTTTCAAATTATGTTAAAAACTGAAAAATGAATGGAGATATGAGGTTTTCTTCAGACAGCAGTGAAATGTTAAATGCTATTGTTTAACCGCTCATTAACGTTAGTTATTGTCCACTGATAAACATAGCATTAGCTAGCATTGTAGGTAACCTAATTTAGCAATAAACAGTGTTATAAGCTGCTTTAAGCAAAGTTGCAAGAGAATATTTTAGAAGTGACAAGCTAACTGCCACACTGTTATCATAAATAAATCTGCATTCGTTTGTTTGCAGCTTAGCCTACCCTGCTCAACTACTGTGACGTTAAATGTAGGCTAATTTTGATGTTTTCCACTACAGACAATACCAACTTTCACATAACTGCAGCAAAAGCAGGCATGGCTGCCAATAGGGAAGGTGCAGAGCGCCCTCTGATGGACAAACTACGCCACATCAACACTCATAACATAGTTGAAAGATCTGTCTTCCGCCTTTCCGTTTCTTTTTTAATTGTCATTTATCGGCTGTTATAAATGGCGATACCAATTTATCTCCTATCGGCCAATAATATCGACAAGTCGATTTATCGGTCAGGCTTGACTCTGCGTACTATGTTAGCCCCCTGTTCTTTAATGGTCAGGACCCTCACAGAGCAGGTGCTCTTTGGGTGGTGGATCATTCTTAGCACTGCAGTGTCACTGACATGGTAGTGGTGTGTTAGTGTGTGTTGTGCTGGTATGAGTAGATCAGACAGAGCAGTGCTGTTGTGACAGTGAGTGTAGAAACAAGGAGGTGTACTTAATGCACAAAGCACCAAGTGCACGAACAACACATTCCTTCATGTTTTTCTCTAATAAACAGTGTGTGTGTTTGTAGTTTAGAGGGTCCATCCTGAAGTCCAGCCTGTTCTAACTCAATCACCCCTCCTGCATACCTTCTTTATTACCAAGCCTAAAAATAGACTGGTGTGTTTTTTTTTTTCTTTTTTTCACAGCGTCTCTTTAACAGGGAAAAGAAATGACACTCTGTCTTCCGAGGCAAGGTTTTAGTCACCTTTTGTATTAGTACCTTTCTCACTTCCTAATTAGCCAGACAAAGGAACTCGGACAGAGCTTAAGCTGAATCGTCAACAGCGCAGTGGCAACTCCGTGGAAAGTCCTTTTTATTACTGACTGGGATTAATGTCTGTTTGAAGTACTCATGGGCACAAGATTTCCTCTACAAACAAGCGCAAGTTCAGGCATGGTGCTTGATCAGTGTTCCCTGGGCTAAAGGCAGTTTAGAGTTTCACTAACTTAACTTTATAAAGTTAAAGGAATAATTTAGTGAAAATTGAAGTGTACGTAGTTTTAAATGAAGACATTTCGTGTCTGAAGCTTAGTTCTTTAGTTTAATATATATATTTATAAGTGTGTGTGTGTGTGTTTGTGTGTGTGTGTTACCCTTTGTGCTCAGAACCGTTCGGCCCAGGAAAAGAGACATACATTATGTCATACAGTGTCAGCAACTGTATAAGTCCATTTTAGCTTACTCAAGCGCCGACTCTCCACCATCTCTGCCTTCATGAGTTGAATCAGGTATTTTGAACTGAGGAAAACACTGAACTGTGCAGTGCAGCTGTATTCCAGCACTAAGACTGGGAAACACTGCTGTAGGAGGGGAGCAAATGGCATGTTAGTCCCACAGCACACTATTAGTCTTTAGTCCCCACATTAAAGCTGAATTACACACTGAGGAGGACTGAGGCATGCTGGGATCATGTGCTGAGTCATGTGACAGAGGGTGGTGACTGGTATTTGAGTTTCGGCTGATACGTCTTTTGGGAGGGGGGTGTCAGGATAGGTGTGACGTTTTAAACCGAGAGAGTGAGGTCAGATAAAGGGGTTTGGACAGCTGTCAATTGCGATTATGGTGATTTTGTTTGCTTGTTTGTTTGTTTATTTATTTATTAGGAACGAGTGATATTTGATATTAGACCAGATTATCTTCCTTACAAACACACATCACCTGCCCAGTGACATACTACATGGGGAGGGGTTTTGGTTGTAACTGGGAGGGGCTTCGGCCGCTCTGGGAGGGGCTTTGGACATACTGTGAGGGTTTTTTCTGTTTTAAATGCGTCTTGGGTGTGTTTACACTTTAATTTTTTATGTGGCTCGGCTTAATCCAGATACAGTCCTGATACTTAAGATGCATGAAGTCAAAATAGATGAGTAAAAACACGTCCATGAAGTGGAGGAGAGCAAACAGTTGTCAGAGAGCTGTAAGTTAGAGGTGAATACTGGTTGTTTTGTGTCACTCACTGATAAGGATGGTTAGATAGTTAGCTCCAGATAAAACTTAGCAGATGACCCAGAGCTGCCCAACACAATAGTCACCCATTGGAAGTCAGTTCTTGGGCTTATTTCTGAGGTCCATTTGTTTGCATTTTATCCTGATTTTACGTTTCCAGCGTAGATGGTCTGAAGGATTTGCTGCATGATGCAATACTACATTCGAGTGCTCACTTTCTGTTAGGACACAGTGTCACTCTGTAAAATGTTTTACAGCAGGGAGCAAGTAGCTCAGCAGGATGACAGTTAGTGTGAAAAGAAACTAGAACGCCTCTCAACTGATCAGACTGTCTTGTCTAACTTTGAATTGTGAAATTTGACTCTGTTAGCAGTTATGGTTTCTCTAACTCCGATAAATAGCAGAAAGTCAGTGTTTTAAATTATATAAATACTGTAGCACTGGGGGCAGAGCTACCCAGAATTCTTTGCAGTTTTAGTGGCTGTTAAATACCTATTGTTTTTCTTATTTTTCACCAGTTCTCTTCACAGAAAATGTTTGTGTTCTGCCATGTCATTCTTGAGCTACATGGTAGGTTTTGATACATTTTGGCACAACTATGAAAGGTTTGCCCCACTGTTGGGAGATTGCGAGCTTGAATCCCAGCCAAAAAAGGCACCAAAAATTGGCACAGTGTTTTCTTTGACACAGATAAAAATGCAGGTCGGTATCAGCCAACCAAAATATCGGTCTGGCTGAGGTATTTATTAAGAAAGCCGTTTCACGTGGGAATGAAAAAATGTACAATGAGACACGTTACAATAGAAAAGAGCTCACTTTAAGATCTCCCGGCTTCCGCAGCAAGAGTCATCACACATTTACCTAACGCTGTTAAAGATGTAGCGGAATCCTCATTTAGAGCACGGTGTGAAAACTCGCAGCCGTTCTGTCGTTCTGATCACAGTTCACAGCCCTGCGATACAGCAGGAGCCGCCTTTAGCTGCAGATTAACGGTCTCCTGCAGCAGTTTCTTGGTTCATTTCACCTGCGCTGAATAATTGAATAATCTTTTTCTTCTGGGCGTTTGTGTATTATGTTAATGAAGTCAGAGGGATTAATAAACCAACATGGCTATAAAAAGACGGGGCTTTACTGGTTAGTTGTTATTCTCTTTGAATGAATTTGCAAAGTAAGAATGCATAATAACCATTGTTTTCTCTTTGTCATGCATTTAAACTATAAAAATAATAAACTGTTCGGATTTAAAAAACTATGTATGCTTGTGTGTTGGTGTTGTTCCCCTGCAGTCCACACGGCGACGCTCTTTCTGAACATATTTGGCTGCTTGGCGTGGTTCTGTGTGGATCCTGCTCGTGGTGTGGACTTCGGTTTGGCCATGCTGTGGTTTATGCTCTTCACTCCCTGTTCCTTCGTCTGCTGGTACAGACCTCTCTATGGAGCATTCAGGTAATCACGTACAAATGAGCTCTCATTGTCAGTTTACAATGACTAGGCCTGGATAATACTGAAAAAATAATTATCGTGGCATTTTCTGGTCAGAGAATCAATATTATCAATTATATCAGTGCCTGCTGGCCCCCCAGTAAACACACACACACGGCCCTAAATGGACCATTCTATCAAATAAGCTCAAACTGTGTTCCTGCAGTAAAAATAAATAAATAAATAGTGACGTTTTCAGATCTTAGATATTCACAAGGATTATGTTCTGATCTATTTAAACCCAAGACATTAATTCAATTAGTAATAAGCTAAACATACACAGAATTATCGTTTATAGGGTACTTTCTGTTGGGAGGTGTCTGTCCCAAACCCCAACCACTAAACTTACACTTGTGAAAATAATTCTTACATTTTTTTTTTCTTTTCAGTATTTTCTTCTTTTTTTAACACTTTTTTGTTTTCTGGAAGATTTTATCCTAAAGTTTAATTTGTAACTAAATACATTTTTAAAAACACTGTCCCGTTTTCATGTCACTTCCGAAACACAAGGCGATTTCGTCTGTAGGCGGAGCCTTATTTTTGCCACACCCCTAGATTTTAGAGCAGGAAGTGAGACTGCATCCCTGTCCCCCCTCATGGCCACATGGTGAGCAGGTAGATCCCTATTGTTTTGTCGCAATGTCTGAAAATCAGTGTGAAACATTAAGAATTGTCACTACACGTTTTCTGCAATGAAGTACTTTTTATGTTTTAATGAAAGATGTAATGATTTTTATGTGTGCACAGCTGTTCAAAGCTGTGTTTCATGTACTGGCTGTGTTTTTGAGTTCTGATCAAAATGAGCTAAAACAGTCACTGCTGAAACATTTGGTAAAGTTCGGGTGTTGTGATTGTTTTGGTAGTGAAAAATGTAAATTTTAAGTCACTTTTTTTAATAAAATAAACAAAACTAAGGTTTATGGCCACTCAGAGCAAATGAGATTTAAGCTCTTTGAACCAGTTTGGTAGAATGATCTGTATATCAGTTATTGGCTTATTTGTTTACTAGTAATTGGTATCGGCCCAGAAAAAAAGACACATTGGACGACCTGTAATGTAAACCAATCACCAACAGATCCCCTGTGCAAGTGTTGTAGCAGTGTGGGCAGACATTCTTTTAACAATCTCTCTCTCTCTCTCTCTCTCTCTGTGTGTAGGAGTGACAGCTCTTTCCGGTTCTTTGTGTTCTTCTTTGTGTATATCTGCCAGTTTGGTGTCCATGTGATGCAGGCCATCGGTATCACCGGCTGGGGCGCCAGGTAGGACACAAGCATGCATGTTTTCACACTGTTAGAAGGGCATTTGAACCTTGTTTTATGGTAGTGGGATAACTGGGGCTGGGTATTGTTAAATTTTCAGTACTTTCGTTTTAATACCGATTCCTGAACAATACCTAAACCAGGAATGAGTGTGAGGTACTGGAAGTGACTTTAACTGACTGTAACAGACTGCAGACTATCAAGTTCTCATGTTAACATGCAGAATAGATTTTCTAGACTTCAGAACAGGTATGATTATTGGCTCACAGATACTAAAGGTATTAAAATTTAGTATGGAATGACAGAACTTTCCGATACTCAGTAACTAGGTTGATGACAAAGGCACTGAATTTGGAAACCCAGGCCTGAAGATAACCACATTCAGGTTGTGTGTGTGTGTTTGTTTGTTTGCAGTGGTTGGATCTCAGCACTGACGGGCCTGAACAAGAGTATTCCTGTAGGAATCATGATGATCCTCATCGCTGCTCTCTTCACTGCCTCTGCGGTCATCTCCCTCATCATGTTTAAAAAGGTAAAACCAGTCATCTTTGAACAGGTGGTTCATCAAAAAAGGTACACAGCCCCCCCCCTTACCCGAAATGTAGAAGATCAGCCAAGACATTTAGAGTCTGATGTTTGATTGCTTCTTGAGTTTTAATTAGGGATGCACTGAAATTTCGGCCGAAAGTGGTCAAAAACGGCACTTTCGCTTAATACGCGGAAAACAGCAAAACAACAGAGGAAGAGAGGCAAGAACACTAACACATGCTGGAACACTAACGCCAACTGTAGCCAAAATTAAGGAATTTATTGCGTTGAATGACCAACTATTCTCTGCTGTCGAGCACACTGTGGTCTACATACTGTAATTTTAGTGAGTTTATTTTATGTAAACTGTTTGAAGTTAATCAATGTGTATATATATATATATATATATATATATATATATATATATATATATACACACACACACACACACACACACACACACACATATGCACAGAAGGAATTGTTTCACTTAGATGACATCCGTTAAAAACAAATATGTAATAACAGAGGACCATTTAGTCAAGAATACGTCTGATCTCAGTTGTAATGTAGTTGCACAGTTATTGGTCATTGGGAGATTATAAATCACTGCACTTATTTAATGTCCCTCATAGAAACCAAGAAATAGTTTAAACACGTCGACTTAACTGTCACAGGAACGCAAAAAATACATTTAGAGCTTTTATCAGTGTTTCATTTTCATCACCATGTAAAGTGTTTTTAGATCTTAGATTTTGACATTTTGTTGCTATTTAATCTATTTAATCTTTATTTTAGCCATCTTTTACTTCGATCAGTCACTGGAAATGTTCAGCCAAAACAGTCAAAAATTGTTCTTTTTTTTTTTTGGCCAAAATTTTTTTTTCGTGGCCATGATTTCAGTGCATTTGGACTGGTCTACTACATTTAAAGTAAACAAGGCAATTGTTCTTTAACCAAACTGGACATTTTCAGATCATTCATTATTTAAATCTGTTCATTTTTCAGTAGCATTGTTTGTCGTGTGTGTGCAGGTCCACGGGCTGTATCGGACCACAGGTGCCAGCTTTGAGAAAGCTCAGCAGGAGTTTGCCACCGGTGTCATGTCCAACAAGACGGTCCAGACGGCTGCCGCTAACGCCGCCTCCACCGCTGCCCGAGGAGCCTTCAAAGAGCAGTTCTGATTGGCCCAGAGAGAGCAGAGCACCGCCCTCTCCGTCCACACTCCTCCTTCTCCTCCCCCACTTCTTTTATTCCTCCTAAACGTACTCACATGACTGTTCAGTCATCCACAACCCTGCTCATTTCTGACATGGAGGATTTCAGACTCCACCTATTTCATTGACTTCCTGCACTCAAGTGGCTGACTGAGACTCCGCCCCCTTTCTCTTCTCCTCATGTCACTCAGCAGGTGTGCTCACCTGGGTGCGTGTGAGCGTGTGCGTGCATCAGGAATGTGTCCTCGTGCTGCGTGTGTAGAGTCTGCCACTTTATGAATGCGCATCGCGCCTTTTCTCATATTAAAAAAAAATACAAAAAAACGAAGGAACAAACGTTTTGCTTCTTGTGCAGACGGGAGGCGAAAAAGAGCACCCTCAGATAAACCATCCCACCAACAACCATGCTCTCCAACACAAGCACCTTCATTCCTGTGGCGCTGAGGGGAATGTCCGTTGCTATGTGCGTGCTGCGCCCAGTAGGAGATTCGGACAGACATTTTGTCGCTCGTTATCTCTGATTCCGCCTTACGCCCACTTTTCCTCTCCACTTTTTCCCCCGGGAACACCTCGCCTGCCTCTTTTAGACGTGAGTCGACGCTCCTCTGCCTCCTCGTGGTTGAGTCTGAGGCCTGTTTGATGCAATCAGACAAAAGTGGTCATTTTGTCCGGCCCAGAATGACAGAGTCGCAGGCTTTTACGCTGTTCCCCATGCCTGTGTATATATAGAACCCTGTATGCTTACACTAGTCTCTCCAGTCCAGGTCCTGTTTAGCACGTTTTCAGTGCTTCCCTGCTCTAACTGACCCCAGGTTGGACGGTGAGAGCAGGAAAACACTAAAACACACAGAACAGGGGTTCTCCAGGACCGGCCAGGAGAAAACTGGCTTATGTGTAAAAAAATGAAATAAATATTGGCTGATTTCAAACATTTTGAAAGTTCCCGAGCGCCTCCAGCCTTCTTTTGTAATCGACACCACTTCAGTGTAATCAGCACTACTTCGGATTGGAAAACGTATCTCGGGAGTGGGGGGGCGGGAGAAACGCGCATAACCCTCAGGATATTGCTCGTAAATGTGCATGAGAAGCTTGCTAAGTCCACCGCCGCTGTCCGGTCGAGCTTTTTAGGGGTTTCAGGACGCTTTGGGAGATGAGTGGGAGAAAAGCGCTGACCGCAAACACAAAAAACTCGCTAGCCCACATGTCTGTAAACAGATATCAAGTAAATATAGGTGTGTGTGGGTGTGTATATGTGTGTGTGGGTGTGTTTGAGAGTGAAAACGAATACGCTGTTTTTCAACCTAAATTCTGCATCCATACAAATAAAAAGCGACACGAAAACCAACCGACTTAATTATAATAGAATTCAATGGGCAGATGCTGAAGCGAGTGTCTGTAGAGTCAGCTGTGTTTGGAGCGCAGAGAAATTATTTGCGGTATTCGGTCGCATGACACTGATTCAGCAGATAGAGCTTGGGTTGACAAGTGGACTATCCCTTTAAGCATTTGAGTGAGCGTTTAGCCGTTTAAAGGGGAATTCCACCCATTTTTCAAAATTTCTGCATGACTTGGTTAGTGAGATGTGTAGTTATTCAGAGTTTTGATGTGAAATGATTCACTGTAGAGACACTTACAGACTTCGATTTCTTCACAGCGAGGGCGATGGGAACCAGGGACCACTGTCTACAAAAAAACGCTTTATTTACTATAATAAAAGGCGGCGGTGAACCTACACGTGTCTGAGTTTTCATACCTGATATTGATGATGGTGATTAATGATTAGACAATGATTACTTAATCATCTGATCACAATTATTTGTGCTAATCATAATTATGTCCCACAGTTGTTGCAGTGAGTGAATAGTGTACATTATTCGTCTATTGGTCAGTAGAAAACGTATTTATTGAGACAAATCAAAATAAAAGTTGTGAGTGAAAAAAAATAAATAAAGGCAGTGGTGATTAATGTTTGTTTATTTGAGCTTGAGCTGTTTTGGTCATCATTTGGGAGCCACCAACAACAGCTAGGAGGCAAAAAATCGGTCAGTTTGCCCTCTGTAGGCTTGTACTAAAGCTAAACTGTTATTATTTATATGGCTATTAATCGAAAGCTAAAAGGCAAGGCCTAGATGAAATAGTGGTAAATTTTGGGGGGTTTCTGTGGGGACTTTTTTAGATTACAACCATTTCTACCCCATGAATGGACTTTAAAAAATGTGTTTTAGGCCAAAATCTTTCCTCAGAACTATGTCTCAGACACCATACAGCGCATTTATAACCATTTCCTGTAATAACTCTGTCTGATGGAGCTTTTAGAAGCATTGAACTCTTCCAATGTCTGATTTCTGTCACCACTACTGTGAACAATTCTGACTCCCTACAATGAGCCTTTTCACATCAATCCACTCTGAATGACTTCACATCTTAACCATTTTATTATGCAGTAATTTTGAGAGAAAAAATTACATTTGATGCATAATTAAAGCACTGAGATTTAAAAGTCATTCAAAATGGTTTGATATGAAGTGTTTAACTGTAGAGAAACTTAGCAACTCTGATGTCCTTACAGTGGTGGTGATAGGAACCAGGGGTCGCCATGACTACAACGCAAATATAGACATTTTATTTACTGTCCAGAACCACTAGGGAACCTACACGAGTCTTCTGAGCTTTGATGATGAAAAATTGTGGTACATTTGGAAAAAAAAATGTTTTGAAATTTTGAAAACTTTTGTAAAGTTTTCTATTGGAACTATTTTGCCTCACAACCCCGTACATCAGGGGTGCCAATTCTAGTCCTGGAGATCTACCACCCTGGAGAGTTGAGATCCAACACACCTGGCTCTGATATTCAGATGACCTTGAAGGCCTTCATAACCTGGATCAGGTGTGTTTGATCAGGGCTGGAGCTAAACTGTGCAGGGTGGTAGATCTCCAGGACCAGGATTGGGCACCCCTGCCCTGCATGTACCCCTCTGCCATGAATGTGGACTTAAAAAAACACACTTTAGGCCAAAATATGATCTCAAAACTATCATGAAACACTCTCTGACATCAGGTAGTGTATTCACAACCATTTCACGTGAGGGAGCTTTTAGAGGTGGACGTCTGGTTCCTATCACCACCACTGTGAACAGTTCTGATTCCAAGTTTCTCTACAGTGAATCATTTCACACTCTGAGCGACTCTGTTTACATCTCAACCATTTAATTAGACAGAAGTGTTGAAAACGTCCGCTGGTTACAGCTGTCGGGGTTTTGGGTCATTCAAACCGACCAGTGTCCGTTACCGTTCTGGAGCCACTGCAGGAGCTCTGAAGGTGTTTAAACAAACCTGTTTTTTGCGCGTTTTTTTTCTTCTCTTTTTTTTTGTTTTTGAAATTACAGAATAGTGAAACCTTGTAGCCTTGGTGACCGTCACCTAGAAACAGCCAAGTCTGACGATTATGGGATGTAACCGTATCAAGACTGCTTTAAGTGTGTGGATCCTTTTACTGTTCAGCAGCTCTGTATGTGTTTTTCAGTATTGAGTCTTAAACTGATTTTCTCAGCTTACTGACAATTTGCTTTCTCGATTTATTTTACCATCAGTGGCTGACTGGAGTGTTTTTTTTTCACTTTTCCTTCTTTTCTTCTGTCCTGGACTTTTCTTAGACCAGTTAGCTTCCCTCCTTTCAGTGTGCGCGAGCGCGAGACAAGCTACTGCAAGTCATTCTTCCTTTTATGAATTTCGACTAATGGCACCAGAATGTTTCTGTTATGTATATTTTTCCGTTTCGAAAAGCTTTCATTAAAAATTAGAACAGACGATATGATGTGAACTCTTGTGTGTGCGTGAGTGTGTGTGTGTATGCCTGTGTGTGTGTTGGATCGTGGCTTTAAGTTGTAATTTTTAATGGATGACACTAGAACCGTAGTTGAAACACTGAGGAGAAGGCGGCGAGAGGCGAGCGAAGTTGTTCGGAGCGAAACCTAAGGGATGTTTGTATATTTTGTAAAATCGACGAGTGGTTGCCTGTTGTCCTGAATTTCATTGTACTGTACAAATGCACTCTTGTCTCCCCTGCAGTCGCATGTTGAGTAGTTTGAGTTTTGTATATTTATTGTATTAACACGAGAATAAAATAATAAAAAAAAATTCAACTACTTAACCTGCTTTTAGTGGTGTTTCATACGGGACGGAGGGATTGACGATGCTGCAGACTGTCTATGTTAAAGAATGAATTCAGGCCTTAACATTTTGCCTGAGATTTCTTTTAGACTGTTTTAAACTCTCACTAAAGTAATGTTAGCGTCTGGTGCTAACAAGGATAGTGAATCAAACGTAGCTTAAGCTAACAGCTACACATTCAAAAACAGCTTTACCTGCTCAGACAGGAGTTATCTGGGTCAGCGAGGCTTCAATGAGCAGGCGTGAGTCTATGTGGTTGTGTGTAAGGCTCTTTACACTTTTTGCTAAGCTAACGTTTCTGGTACTAACGAGAATGTTGAAGCAAAAGTGGCTTAAACTAACAGCTCGACACACAAAAACACAGACTTAGCCGCTCATATATGAGTCTTTGTTCTCTAAACTTGCAATAGTCAGGCTTCATTAAGCAAAACTGAGCCCGTGTGGTTGTGTGTTAGGCTCTTTACACCAGAGCCGGTTTATGAGGAGTCTGGCCACTTCCTATTCCCCCCATTATATCAAAAACAGGCCCGCTAAACAGCAGAGGGCGCCTGCGAGGGAGTCCTCAATGAATGGGAGTAAATGAAGCTCAACGGCTAAAAACTAAAAGTTGAAATAGTTTCTAATCACTGAACCAGAACTTTCCTTTAGTTTTAGAGAGTAGAAGGATGGATTTCACTAAATAAACAAAGAAATCTCACCTGTATGTTTCCCTTTTCTACAGCAAACGGGTTTTGGGCAGCAGGAGGCGGGCTTTACTGCTAGAGCGTGATGGTTGAACATACATGAGGCGCCGTTTTAAACCCCTATAACTCGAGTTTAAAAGTTCTTAAAATATAACAGTGGTGTTAAAATGTTTGATGCTGTTCTGTGTTCAGGAAATGAATGTATTCTTTTACATTAAGAATGTTTGAGCATTTATAAACTATGATTTTGCTCAAATGCTCCATATCAACCCATTCATTTTGGACTCACTCGGGAGCGCCCTCTAGTGCTTGAGAAAAACGGAAGACATTGCAGAGCGGTAATTCTCCTAGTTCTGCCACTTCCTATTCCCCCCATTATATCGAAAACAGGACTGCTAAACAGCAGAGGGTGCCGGCGAGTGAGTCCTAAATGAATGGGAGGAAATGGAGCTCAACGAAAAGTTAAAATAGTTTCTAATCACTTTCCCAGAACTTTTCTTTAATTTTAGAAAGTAGAAGGATGTATTTCACTAAAAAAACAAAGAAATTCTAGTACCAATGAGGATGCTGAAGTAAAAGTAGCTTAAGTTAACAGCTCCACACCCAAAGATGCAGACTTATCCACTTATATTTGAGACTTGATTCTCTAAACATGAAGCTTTAATGAGCTGCAGTGAGCCTGAGTGGTCGTGTATGAAGCTGTTTATGGCTTTACGTTAAGCTAACTCTAGCTTTTGGTGTTAGCAAGGACATTGAGCCAACAGCTCCACAGACAAAAAGATTCACCTGCTCCAATTTGAGTCTTTATTCTCTAAACTTGCGTCAGTGAGGCTACAGCGAGCAAAATGAGCCTATGTGGTTGTGTGTAAAGCCGTTTACACCTTTGTGCTAAGCTACAGCGGTGGTCCTATGGGAGTCCGGGCCGTTGAAGAAGTGCTAACAAGGATACTGAAGCAAAAGTAGCATAAGTTAACATCTCCACACACAAACACACATTTACCTGCTGAGCAGGAATGAGTCTATGTTGTTGTGTGTCAGGTTCTGGTACATGTTGTAGACATGGTGACCCCTGGTTCCTATCACCACCACTAAAGAAATGAGTTGGTAAGTTTCTGTACATTTACTTTGACATTTCACAGCAAACCACTCTGAATAACTACATCAGACGACTGAATTATGCAGAAATTATGGTGGAATTCTCCTTTGGGGGAGCTCGCTCACTTCTAATTTCTCCTGTTATACTGATAACGTGACGCTAGAGGGCACACACGCCTCAACGAATGAGAGCTGGTTATATGTTAAGAATGTTAAATAAATGTTTAAGATGAAAAGTGTTAAGAAAACATGACAGCAGTGTCAAAACGTTGTGATGTTCTGAGTTGAATTTGTAAAAGTAATAATGATATAAAAGGATTAACTATTTACAAATGACAGTTTAGCACAAGAGCTCCGTAGGCCCTCGTTCACATTGGACTCGGGCAAGTGCCCTCTACCGTCTGGGCAACTCGGACGATGCCACTGAATCAGGGTCCTCCTAGAAAATCTCTAAACTGCTATAAAACATATTTTTACCTGTTAAATTATGACATTTGTTTAAACACAGGCTCAGTATCACATTACTGAGAGTTTTAGATACTGGATGCTGCTGTGTTACGTGACTGAAATCTGGAGAACAATATTTAAAGTGCGTTTCTACATATTGTAGGCAACCCCTAAAGGGGAATTCCACCAATTTCCAAATTTCTGAATAATTCCGTCCTTGAGGTGTAAACAGTTATTCAGAGTGGTTTGGTGTGAAATGGTTCAGATGTCTTTACAGTGGTGGTGATAGGAACCAGGGGTCGCCATGACTAAAACACAGATATAGACATTATATTTACTATCCAAAACCACCAGTGAACCTACACGAGTCCTCTGAGTGTTTATATGGAATGTTGATGATGGTAAAATAATCATAAATCTGAAAAAGAAAATTTCTTTGTGGACTATTTTGCCTCACAACACCCTGCATGTATCCCTCTGTCATGAATGGATTAAAATACGTGAATTAAGGCAGCATATTTAAAACCTTTTCATGTCATTCTTGTAAGGGAGCTTTTAGAGGTGGACGTCTGGTTCCTATCACCACCACTGTGAACAATTCTGATTGGGTAAGTTCCTCTAGAACTGAGAATTTCACATCAAACCACTCAGAATGACTCTGTTTACATGTTAACCATTTATGTATGTAGAATTTCTGAAAAATTGGTGGAGTTCTCCTTTAAGTCTCAGAAGCCTTACGAGGCTTAATTCAGTAAGGTAGAAAGTTTTTCTGTCCTGCTCATGAGGCCTGGCTCTGTTTCTCATCTGTGTATCTCCTTCTGTACACCAGAGGGCGCCAAATCGCAACGACAACCACCGCATCAGACTAGAGATTCATTTATTAGAACTGTTTTGGTGAGTTTCACATTCGTGAAGGCAGGATTGTGTCCTACATCCACTCAGACTGCAGTATTTATCTGCAAATATACTGCGACTGCCTTTCCACCTCATACATCGTGTCGTCTTTTAATATTATCCTTCGTTTTGTTGCTTCTCTTCCTGTGATTTAAATCTACAGCTGTCATGCTGCTGGTGAGTTCCCTTGTTCTACTGCTTGTTCTGTTGTTTTTCTAATAAAGGGGAAAGAAATCAAATCTGTGGTGATGTAGGTTGGAAAGAGGACGGAGCCAGTTAAGAAGCTCTGCTGTGTCAGTGTGGTGTTAATCTTATTACGCAGGTGTTGGTGAATTTGGCGAGGTGTAAGGAAAGATCCAGAAAGTCACACAGATCCCACAGGATCTTAGAAACCGAAAATGGGGGATTTTATTTTAGTTAGTGTAACATATCACACTCTTGAACAACAGTAGACACAGACAGGCTATGCTAACACCAGAAATAAGGCCTTTATGAACTATTATGTTAGCATGTTTGCTTAAAAAAATCTTTTTGGGAATTTTTTTAAAACAGCTATTTTGTTCAGGTGTCACAACATGTCATATGTATCACTGAACATTAAATATCAACAGATTATACGAACATAAACTTGTTTTTAACCAAAAATCAGGCAGAACAGCTGCAAATCAAGCTACATTTTTCACTTGCGAGTGAACAGTTGACACCTCAGGGCAGTGTATTTTGTCAAAAAGTAGATGAAGCTGCTTTGTGCACTATTGTTGCTTGACTTGTATTAACACTGTTTACCATTTGAGAACATTTCATATTTCTTTCTTATTATAAAGAACCATCACTGGCCAACTAGGAACCACTGATTCCTCCTCGGTACTGGTGGGAGGACCACCAGAAGGTGCTTCACAGCCCACAAATGGTCTGTGGGCCAGTGGTTGAGAAACTCTGTACTAGATTATAGTAAAGGTATATATATATATATATATATATATATATATATATATATATATATATATATATATATACACACACATATATATATATATATATATATATATATACACACACATATATATATATATATATATATATATATATATATATATATGTATGTATATATATACACACACATAGTTCCTCTCCTGTACTTTGTATAAAGGCCAACAGGCAGACAGACAGACCAAGTGAGATGGAGAAAAATTATGTATGAATGTCATTATTTCCACATAGATCAAATTTTCAGAAAATAAAATAAACGAATGAATAAGAAAATCGTTCGAGATACTCAAAATAGTCAGTCAAACTTTCGAGAAAATAAGTCAAAATTGTGAAAAAATTGTCCTAATTTCAGCGAAGCAGGTCAGCATTTCAGCGAAATATGAAAGTATTTTGACATAGTAAGCCAGCTTTTAGAGAAAATTGGTCATTATTTCAACATAGTCAAATTTTTGAGAATATAAGTCATTATTCAAATAGTCAAAATCGTAAGAATATAAGTCATTGTTTCGAGATGAGTCAAAATTTTGGCCTAAAAAAGTGATATAGTTCATATATCTGTTGTTAGCTCTGCAGCTTTGTTATGTCACCTTTCTAGAAGGTGTTAGTAGTTTTGCGCATGCGCTCTGCGCTCCGTCCACACAAGGTCATTCCCATGTGCGCTGCTTGCGGAGTGTAGTTCAGTGTGAGCCGCTGTTTTAGCCGCTGTCGCGCACTTTCTCCGTTTCTCAGAGCTCTTTATACGAGTAACACACACTAACAGGCGCTTCAACATGGCGAGAGGAAGCCGCAGCCGCCCCTCAGCACCAGCGAGGTAAAACTGCCTGTTTTATTCGCTCTGGTTGACGGAAAACCTCAGTTTAGTTCCACCGGCTTTGGTTAGCTAACCCGCTCTGACGCGCTAGGGCTTTAACTAGACCTAAAGGGCAACTCCACCACGTTTTCAAAGTCCACATAATTAATTAGCTAATATGTAAACAGAGTCAGTCAGAGTGGTTTGGTGTGAAACGCTCTGTTCTAGAGAAACTTAGAGAGTCAGAACGGCTCACAGTGGTGGTGATGGGAACCAGACGTCCACCTCTAAACGCTCCCTCACAGAAAGTTACTACATGAAATGGCTATAAATACACAGACTGATAAGTGAGACTTTCTTTTATGGTAGTTTTGTGGTAAAGTTTTGTCTTAAAATGTGTTTTAATCCATTTATTTTAAGGCATTTATGGCGGAGGGTTACATGAAGGGCACTGTACGACAAAATAGTCCCAAAAGAAAACTTAATTTTTCAGATTTATGTGTATTTTATCATCTTCAGCATTACATATAAAAACATAGAATACCTGTGTAGGTTCACGGGTGGTTTGGGAGAGTAAATAAAATGGCTTTATTTGTGTTGTAGACAGTGTGACGTCTGGTTCCTAAAACCACCACTGTGAAGACATCTGATCCATTTCACTTCAAACCACTCTGAATGACTGTTTGCATCTCAAGGATTGAATTATTCGGAAATTTTGAAATATTTTGGTTATTCTTATTCCCAAAGCTAACTGGGTATATCTTGGTGCCCAAAATTATGAAAGGCTGCGCATTCAGTCCTGTCTTTACATGCAGTCCACATAACTTTATTTACTCTATTTTAAGTGGTTTGATCACCAATAGCACCTCCCTTAGCCTCTGTCCAATGTCATTTGCCCTGTTCAGATCCAAGGGTCACTTACGAGGCTTAAGATGGCTCAGTCAGTCGCATCCTGTTGTGTTCAGGTTTAAATGTGACCGTGCTTTAATGGTCAACTGGACCCAAGTTTTTATGACTTACAACTCCAGTGTTAAGTCTAAGTGTAAATCCTCACTTTCTAAGTGTTTCTTGCTTTCTGTTTGCTTTCAGTGCCCCGGCCCACTCCCACACGCCGGCCCCGGCCCCACCTCCCCCAGCAGCCCTGGCCCCAGTGCAGGCCCAGCCCAAGCAGCCGGGCCTCATGGCCCAGATGGCCACCACGGCAGCCGGAGTGGCTGTTGGCTCGGCCGTTGGGCATGTGATGGGCAGCGCTATCACAGGAGCTTTCAGCGGAGGCAGCAGCTCAGAGGCAGCCAAACCAGCCCCCGCATACCAGGTTAGCCAGATTAGACTATGTGGTGTCCATCACTGTGCTGGACTCTGACCTTAGAACTGCACACCCCTGATCTCGCCCCCACATATTATGCAATACCCGTATGTGGTATGTGGTTAGATTAGGGCTGCGGTAAATAGGTAGCCAAGTTGATTAAGAATAATGTTGATTTATTTGTTTATTTGAAAACAAAATAATGCTATAATAATCTATAACATTCTTATGATCCACGCAGTCATTCTGACAGACTGTAATACACTACAGGAGGTGTAGGGGGCGATATGGCTTCTGTTGTTTTATTTAAAAGCCTCTATAATGTTCATATGATCCACACAGTCACTCTGACAGACTGTAATACACTACAGGAAGTGTAGGGGGCGATATGGCTTCTACTGTTTCATTTAAAAAGCTCTATAATGGTCATATGATCCACACAGTCATTCTGACAGACTGTAACACACTACAGGAAGTGTAGGGGGCGATATGGCTTCTACTGTTTCATTTAAAAAGCTCTATAATGGTCATATGATCCACACAGTCACTCTGACAGACTGTAATACACTACAGGAAGTGTAGGGGGCGATATGGCTTCTACTGTTTCATTTAAAAAGCGCTCTATAATGTTCATATGATCCACACAGTCACTCTGACAGACTGTAATACACTACAGGAAGTGTAGGGGGCGATATGAGTTCTCAAATGGTAATTTACATGAGGTGAGAAGGTGAATCAGGTTTGTTAGAGCAGGAAAAGCACTGAACTGTGCAGTGGACGTGTCCAGCGTACCCTAATGAATGAGATTATACAGACAGGAAGATGCTGATCCTCAATCATTAGTCTTATTCTGAGAAGTGTGCTGCAAGTGGCCTTTGGCAGCATTACAGTACAGTACTGTGAAGCCAGGCTGGGTTCAGCCTTACAAAATAAAAGTCCCTTGAAGTTCACCATATTATAGAGTCTCCACTGTGAAAAGATCTGGCTGAAGAAAATGTAATTACTCATCATGTTCAACATGTGCATTTTAATAACTGCCAGGCTCTTAAAGACTTAATTATGGTATTTTAGAAATTCAGTTAAGTTCTATCTTTCACCTTCTATATTTTTCATTTGTTGCTTAAGGTTAGTTACTGGAAACTCAAAAAATCATACAGTGTGCGTCAGCTTTCTGCAAATTACCATCCAGTGGGTAATCTTAAAGAATACATAGAAGAGCAGGGCTGTTTACGAACATCTGAAGGCCCCTATTGCTCTCTATACTCTCTAAAATCAGGATCCACAGTCTATATACAGAAGATCTCTAAACTGTATAAATAAAATGAGGGAAAAAAAACGACAATATAAATATACTACATACGTGTGGAGCCCCCTGGTGGCCCAGGGGTCCTAAACAGCTGCATATATTGCTTATAGCAGGGGTGCTCAAACATTTTGTGTTGCTAGGCTACAATACAATGCTTGTGAGAGTCAAATAGTTTCAAATAGTGTTTTTAAAATATATTATATCATTTCAGTGTTATTTACTTATTAAAGTAGTTTGAAAAGTTGGGTGAAGAGGTGAAGTTAGGTTAACTTCCTGGTGTACATGCTCTTGGGCCAACTTTTGGCATCCCTACAGTTTCGGGCCACACATTTTGGGCATCCTTGGCTTGTAATGGCCCTCTGAAGGCCTTCATTTCAGCTTTTAATTACTGTACTACCTTTAATATGATCTCCAAGTGCACCTCATGTGTTTTTTAAAATAATTTTGCGCAAATAAACAAATTCATAGGCATGAACATCAGCCTTCGGTCACCTCTTATTGTTACTCTACTCAAACAAATAAGCTGTGAATGATTTCAATACCGGTTTATGGTCTCCCTCTCTTCTCACGTCCCTTCTTCATTTCTTCTCTCCGTGTAGGAACCCCCCAGGGCAGCTCCGCCGCAGGCCGGCCCGTGCCTCTTTGAGGTGAGGCAGTTCCTCGACTGCGCCACCACTCAGACAGACCTCAGCTTGTGCGAAGGCTTCAACGAGGCTCTAAAACAGTGCAAGATCTCACACGGTAAGAATGTCACCTTAGTGTGGCATGATGTCGAAAAAGGGGAATTCCAGCCGTATTAATATGTTACTTGTCATGTTATTTAATACTGTATAGTGAAGTACTGCTTCCCTCAACCTCAGCTGTTTTTATCCATCGGCATTCTCTGACTACATTACCCATCATGCAGCCCTGACTGGTAGTGTAGAGGCCTATAAATACAGATGTGATGTTCAGCTTCCTAGCTCTCTGGCTAGTGCAGGGGAACCAAACAACCTGCCCGAAAGCACACAGTTTTCCAAAAGTTCCTCCCACCTTCAAGATGCATCATCATAAGGGGTTTTTTGTAGTCTTTAAACTGGACAGTCTCAACCTCAGGCCTGCTGCAGCACCACTGTAAGAGGCGAGTAGGCATGTTTGCAGGGGATGTAGCAATGCTTACGTTTTTCATTTTGGCCGGAGTGCCAACTTTAACCTTCTTAAAACGGGGGGTTAGAACTCATTTTGCTTTGTTTTCCATGCAGTTACTAAGACTTAGTGGTTAAATCCACTTTTCCTGCTAATTTTTCATATAAAGCTGTAATAACCTGAAACTTTTCCGTATCATTTCACCCTAGGTGTCTCATCTCTGGTGTGACGGGGCAGAAAAAGGAGCATTTTAAGTGAACACTCACCTTAGACGGCTACCTTATCGGTTCAGACTGTCTAGATCTCTCCAGCACTCGGACTGTATCAGTTTGGTTTGTCATTATGAAGCGTTTCTTTTGGGTGTATGATTTATGTGTGAGCTATGTAAAATAAAAAGAGCTGCTATTTGCCTCTTTGTCCCGTCTCTTCATTTGAAACGTAAAGGAACAGCTGACGTGGGTTGTTAGCATATGTGGCTAACACTGGATGAGAAGGAGGGCCGTATGATGTTAGCCACATTAGCAATGTCTTTATCCTTTTAACCTTAAAAGACAGTGGAATGGGCGAAGTTGGTCAAATAAAGATTTGCAAGGAGGTTATTTGGTTCTAAATGACTGCTAATGTGTCTTTGCACGTGTTTATACCTGTGGTTAGCTTGAACTTTGTATTTTTAACGAAATTAAAAATTAACCACAATAAGTTAGTTTCTGTGGAACCCCAAAGGTGACATGGTTATTTTTTAATAGGGCATGGCCAGAAATAAATATATTAAGGCCATTAATTACTATACTGAGGCCACAAATTAATATTTTGATGTCATGAGTTATAAGAAACATAACTTGTGGCCTCAATATATTAAGTTGTAATATATCAAGAATGATCAGCAAGAATGATGAGTCAGCGTACAGAGAGGAGGTGCAGTGGCTAACAGACAGGTGTGGAAACAACAACCTGTCTCTGAATGTAGACAAAACTAAGGAGATGGTTGTTGACTTCCGAAGAGTGCGGGGTGACCACCCCCCACTGAACATCACCGGCTCTGCTGTGGAAATCGTCCAGAGCACCAAGTTCCTCGGTGTCCACATCACAGAGAACTTCACCTGGTCCCTCAACACCAACTCCATAGCCAAGAGAGCCCAGCAGCACCTCTACTTCCTACGGAGACTGAAGAAGACTCATCTCCCCCCTCCCATCCTCACCATGTTCTACAAGGGGACTGTGGAGAGCATTCTGAGCAGCTGCATCATCGCCTGGTTTGGGAATTGCACCGCCTCCGACCGCAAGACCCTACAGCGCATAGTGAGGACAGCTGAGAGGATCATCGGGGTCTCTCTCCCCTCCATCATGGACATCTACACCACACGCTGCATCCGCAAAGCCACCAGCATCGTGAACGACCCCATCCATCCCTCACACAGACTTTTTCACTGCTGCCGTCTGGCAGAGGGTACCAGAGCATCCGTGCCATCACTGCCAGACTCTGCAACAGCTTTGTTCCGCAAGCAATCAGGTTTTTAAACTCACAAGGACTGAACTAAATGTTTATTGTATTGTTTCTAGCTTAATTTTTGTTTGCACACTGTCTGCACGTTCGCACTTTGTAATTTTGTACTTTGTACTTCTGTTCCTTGTTGCACCGTGTTGTTCCTGGAGGAACGTAATTTCGCTCCACTGTGTATTTATACATAGATGGAATGACAATAAAAGCCTCTTAACTTGTGGCCACACCTTATTAATGTCAGCTTAGGAGCTCCGTAAGCCTTCATGTCAGGCAGGACATGGTTTGATTGGTTTACCTACACTTTGTGAGTCTAATTCAGTTGAATTCAGCGCCAAAAACAGCTCAAGCTCAGTCAACCTAAGTAATACAGATTCAAGATGTAGCAGAGTGTACCTTAAAAAAGGAACACTAAAACCAGTTTTTGCAGTCATATCAGAATAAAATAACACCGAAGAGAAAACCTTATTGAAAAGACGGTGGTTTGAGGCTGAAACCTGCTTAATTCTGTTCAAAACTGCCTCAGAAAAACCGCTGAGCGAGACAGAAATAACGTTACACATTCCTGCTCTTCGTACAACACGTAGCGGGTCAGCCGATTTCAGGTCCACCTTAATGGCGTAAGCGTTCAACGGGGCGACCAATCACAGATGACGCCGAGCAGGCGTCGCTGGCTTTCGACGAATGGGAGGAGCGGGTGGGCGGGGCCTTGCTCGTGGTGCGTTCAGTAAAGGAGGTCTGGTGTGGACGTGACGGGGAAGCTGGTTGTTGTTCAGCAGCGATCATGCCGTTCATCGATTTAGAGACCAATTTGCCCGCGAGCAGATTCCCCGAGGATTTCCTGAAGAAGTTCGTCTCCGCCACAGCAGCGGCTCTCGGAAAACCGGAGGATGTAAGTACAGCAGATAACAACGTGATCGCTCAAACCCCGGCTGGTGTAACCGGGCTGTGCCGTGAGGTTGACGGAGTTCGCCACTGATTCACTCGGTTACAGTGTTGACCTTCATAGTTAGTGCGGAGCCCCTAAAGTGACATGGTGGTGCTTTTTTAATAAGCCGTGGCCACGAATTAATATACTTAGGGCCCGATGTACTATGTTGAGGCCACAATTTAATATATTTACGCAACAAACTACTATGTGATTATACTTTTAATAAGGCATGGTTACAAATTAATATAGAGGCCACAAGTTACTATATTCATACAACAAATTACTTTGTAATTATTTTTAATAAGGCATGGCTACAAATTCATATACTGAGGCCACACCTTACTATATTGAGGCCACAAGTTACTATATTGACACAACAAACTACTATGTGATTATATTTTTAATAAGCCGTGGCCACAAATTAATATACTTAAGGGCACGATTTAATATATTGATACAACAAATTACCATGTGTTTATATTTTTAACAAAGCATGGCTACAAATGAATATATTGACGCCACAAGCTACTATATTGACACAAGAAACTACTGATTATTTTTTAATAAGGCATGAGGTCACAATTTACTGTATCATGGCCACAATTTACTATATTCAGACAACAAAGTACTTTGTAATTATTTTTAATAAGGCATAGCTACAAATTAATATACTGAGGCCACACATTACTATATTGAGGCCACAAGTTACTATGTTGATACGACAAATTACTATGTGATTATACTTTTAATAAGGCATGGCTACAAATTTATATATTGAGGTCACAAATTACTATATTGAGGCCACAAGTTATGAGAAACTTAATTCATGGCCTCCATATATTAATTCATGGCGATGTCACCACAGGGGTTCTGTAAGTCAGAACCAGAGGAATACAGTTATGAACTGTCCTTATTTGGAACTTTATTCAAAGTCATTTCAGCTCCCACATCTGTGTGATTGACTCCATCCAGCCGGTGATGCAGCTGTTTAGCTTGACCCTGTGTTTGTCCTGCAGCGGATGATCGTGCTGGTGAAGCCCGACCTCCCGCTGGTCATCGCCGGCTCCTGCGCGCCCGGTGTCGTGCTGTCAGTGGCCGGGCTTGGAGTCACCGACACGGCAGAGAAGAACCGGGAGAACAGCGCCAAAATCTTCCCCTTTCTCACACAGGAGCTGGGACTCGGCGAGGACCGGTAAGTTGGAAGTGGAACCCAGTGGTCACTGTCCTGCAGATCCACCTGCACTGCTCAGTGGTCAACCCTCTTTCTGGAGATCTACTTCCAGCCAGGGGCTGACTGAGTGAATTTCAGGCCCTAGGAAAAACACAAGCATGGGGCGTCCTTTTAAATTAGTTGAGACTCTGGCGTACTGAGTTGCGCAGCCGTCTACACTGCAAAATAAAAATCTCAGTAAGTTAAATCCTCATAAATCTAGTCAATATATCCAATATTTCTCAACTTACTTAAGTAATTACACAAAGTGATACTGTCTTATTATACTAGCAAATCATCCAGTCTCTACTATATACATGGGGACCCTAGGCAGCTGCCTACGTTTGCCTAGTGCAAAGACCACCCCTGCTCAACCCACATCTAACCTCATCAGCTAATCAAAGGCAGTGATTAGATGTATCAGGTAGGATTGATTAGGGCTGGAGCTAAAATCAAGAGAAAGGTAGATTTCAACATGTTTCAAAAAAGTAGTGACAGGGGCAACAAAAGACTGGTAAAGTTGTGTAATGCTAAAAAAAACACCTAAAAAAATCTCACAACTAATTTGGTTAATTGGCAACAGTTCATTAACACAACTGGGGACAAAAAGAGTTTTAGAAGAAAAGATGAGGAGGGGTTCACCACTCTGAAAGACTGTGCGGGCAAATAGTGCAACAATTTAAGAATAACGTTTCTCAATGTAAAATAGCAAAGAACTTGGTCATTTCATCATCTACGGTACATAATATCATTAAAAGATTCAGACAATCCGAAGGAATCTCTGTGTTCAAGGCACAAGACCAAAAACCAGTATTGGCTGGCTGTGATCTTTGGGCCCTCAGGCAGCACTGCATTAAAAACAGACATGATTCAGTAGTGGAAATCACTGCATGGCCTAAGGAACACTTCCAAAAACCACTGTATCTGAACACAGTTCACCACTCCAGCATGCAAAGAAGCCGTATATAAACAGGATCCAGAAACACCGCCGCCTTCTCTGGGCCTGAGCTCATTTAAAATGGACTGAGGCAAAGTAGAAATGTGTCCTGTGGTCCAGTGAAACAAAATCTAAAATTGTTTTTGGAAATCATGGACGCTGCGTCCTCCAGGCTAAAGAGGAGAGGGACCATCCGGCTTGTTATCAATGCACAGTTTAAAAGCCAGCATCCGTGATGGTATGGGGGTGCATTAGTGCACATGGCATGTGTGAAGGCCCCATTTAATGCTGAAAAATATATACAGGTGTATATACACAACATATGCTGCCATCCAGACAACGTCTTTTTCAGGGAAGGCCTTGAATATTTCAGTAAGACAATGTGAAACCACATTCTGCATGTATTACAGCAGCATGACTCTGTAGTAGAAGAGTCCAGGTGCTAAACTGGCCTGCCTGCAGTCCAATCCTGTCACCACTGATAACATTTGGTGAATTATGAAATGAAAAATATGACAAAAGTGACCCTGAACTGATGAGCAGCTGAAATCCTATATCAAGCAATAATGGAAAATATTTCACTTTCAGAACTACAGCAGTGTCTCCTCTTACGGAGTGTTGTTAAAGGAGAGGTGATGAAACACAGTGGTAAACACTAAAATGTGTTGGCTGGCATCAAATTCAGAACGGGCATATATATTTTAGATCTGTGTGTCCGAAACCGTAGTATATAGGACCGTGTCACAGTGGACACATAACCTAAACTCAGTGAGAGTAGTCAGGCTTCCATTCTACTGTGGAATTAAATTAAAGCGAATAACTGAAAGATGTTTTTATCATCTTTGTATTAGAGAATAAAACATCTCTGCATGTCACATTTGTAAAATCACTTCTGAGAAAGCTGTAAGGTTGACCAGCTTCTTGTGGCTGTTTTGTTTAATTTTATGGATGTATTTTTATCATTTAGGCGCAGAGACTGAACGCACTGGCAAACACTTTCAGTGGAAATCTTCATTAATCATCTGCAGCCCTTTTAGTCTGTTTACTCTCCATTATCACCATTACACTATTTCTTTGAAAAGGGAAAGGCAGATTTTAAGCGCTTCTGTCTCTTAGCTACAGCCTGATGAGTCACAACTGTTTTTTATTCTTGTTTACATATTTTGCATTTCTCTCTGAATTGAACTTCTTTTTATCCAAAATAAAATATACAATCTTATTCAAACTCCTGACCATATAGTTTCATTCTGTAGTTCTACAGTTACAGACTGTAGTCCATCTATTTCATACTTTGTTACCCTGTTCTTCAGTGGTCAGGACCCCCACAGGACCCCCACAGAGCAGGTACTATTTGGGTGGTGGGTCATTCTCAGCAGTGACACTGACGTGGTGGTGGTGGTGTGTTAGTGTGTGTTGCGCTGGTCTGAGTGGATCAGACACAGCAGTGCTGCTGGAGTTTTTAAACACCTCAGTGTCACTGCTGGACTGAGAACCAAAAATATCCAACCAACAGCGTCCTGTGGGCAGCGTCCTGTGACCACTGATGAAAGGCTAGAGGATGACCAACACAAACTGTGCAGCAGCAGATGAGCTATCGTCTCTGACTTTACATCTACAAGGTGGACCGACAAGGTAGGAGTGTCTAATAGAGTGGACAGTGAGTGGACACAGTGTTTAAAAACACACACTAACATACCACCACCACGTCAGTGTCACTGCAGTGCTGAGAATGACCCACCACCCACAAAATACCTGCTCTGTGGTGGTCCTGTGGGGGTCCTGGCCACTGAAGAACAGAGTAACAAAGTATGAAACAGATGGACTACAGTCTGTAACTATGGAACTACATAGTGCTCCTATATGGTCAGTGGAGCTGATTAAATGGACAGTGACTTTAGATTCAGGGAGGTGGTTTTAATGTTATGGCTGACTGGAGTGTGTAGTGAATAACATCATCCTGACAGTTCTCTCTCTTTTGTATGTGTGCAGGATTGTGATCAGGTTCAGCCCACTGGAGCCGTGGCAGGTGGGGAAGAAAGGCACAGTTATGACCTTCCTGTAGGACAGCAACACCACCGAGCAGCAGACGGAGGAATGCAGGACTCATTCCATGACCATATAACAGATTATTAGAAAATCAGGGTTTAAAATCTAACCTTTTCTCCTCCCATTCAGATTTCCTGTAGAGATGTTTCTGTTAGTCACATCTCAGATGACATTCCTGTCTGAAGGTCAGCAAAGTGAATCGTACTGTAATTTTTTATTTAGTGATTATTATTTTATTAAATAATTAATCATGGATCTCGTTTTGTACACTCACTCCACTCTTTTATACTGTTTTTTTCCTGCTTTTGAATTAAAGAGCCAATAATGATGCAGTAGTGTGGCATTTCTCAATCTGAAGACGTTTCGGTGGATTTAATGGGCCCATATCCTATATTTTTCCACTTTGGTGAGGCTTTATTTACCAAAAATGGTCATGCTTTATTTCTACATGACCATATCCCAACATCCGTCGACCCCTTAGAATTAAACAGCCTGAGACTTGAAGGCTGTTATATGTAAATGAGCTCTGTTCTGATTGGCTGCCTTGTATTGCACCTCCCTCAAAAAGCAGTCCAGGCTGAAACACTCCTTAGAATTTCAGTATGAGTGGGCGGGGCTAAACTGCTGTAGGTGAAGTGGGTGTGTAGATGTAAATGTGCCGGTATTTATGACATCACAAATATTGAATTCAAAACTGTACTTAGTTTTGATATATGGACTGTATATTTATTTATAAAGCACATTTAAAAACAACAGGATTTGACCAGAGTGGTGTACAATCAAAACAGCAAAAAACATAAAACAATACAGTAAAGAAAGATTTTTGTCCAATTGAACCCTCTACTGCATGCAGTATAAGTGCAATGTAAAAAAAATATATATATTCCGTTCACTTTTCTTGCATAAAATGGGCAGAATTATTAAATTATGTAAATGTTGTAGGCAAAATTGTGTGACAATGTCTGTGTTTACATGCAAAGATTTTTGCTGATTCGATTGAATACATTCTGATTATAGATTAAGACTGAGGTGTTCTCGCTCTACTCAACAGTCTGATGAAAGATCTCTGTTTACATGCAAACTACAAGTAATCAGATCCAAAATGATGCGCATGCATAAAGAACCACTTAGGCCCGAAACATACTTCACACAAGGATGTGAATGCAGACGCTTCAAGCTACGCAGACGGGGTTTTGTGCGTAGCTGCGTTCAAAATGTGTCACTATGCATTTCATAACGCAACGCAAGTGTGAGCTGCAATCTGAGTGCTACAGTAGGGGGCGCTATAACGACAGCCAAGCCTGTCTAAGTGGTCCCGTACCTCCAGCGTGTTTTCTTAACTGCCATAGCAGACGAGCAGTGAGTCTAACGCAAAGACATAAACATAAAAATATGATATATTATCTCATTTCCATTCCAACAGACGAGGTAAAGCAGCTCACTCTCCTCTACTGTCCACGTTCAGCTGTTGAGGCTGTTGGAGTAACAGTAGATCCTCTCTGGTTTGTACTCTAGCGCCCCCTTCAGTACTGAGTGTTTTAACCGCCACAGCAACGCAAGAACGCACAGTGAGTTTGTACAGAAGGACCGTGTTTGCAGTGCGTTGGCCGAGCGGTCATTTGTGTTCTTGTCCTTGCGTAAAGTATGTTTCGGGCCTTAGAGTAAACATTACCAGGACAACGAACATCACGACCAGTCCAGTCAGAGTGAGACGAGCAGCAGTGAGCAGCTCTTGTGTTTATAATTCCTTTAAAATGGTGTCAGACTCAGGAAAACGTCCTTCACATGTCCTTATTTAAGAAGGCCGAGAGGAAGACATCGTGTTCTGAGACACATAAGCTGGACGTCCGTCCCACCGCCGTCTTTTAAAGATCAGAGCATAAACTTCGTCTCCTCTGCAGACCAGTTTCTGCTCCACCATGTTGAACGGTATAAACTTTCACTATGACATGACGAACATGATCAGAACGGACTTAAACTTTCCGATGGGGAATGTAATCAGATACAGGCGTTTACACAGATATCATTCTTCTATTTAACGGATTATTTACAGGATTACCCACCTCGATCAGTCAGATAGAAACTGTATTCCAAATGGCCTCAATCGGACTAGACTATTCCGACTGAGGTGTTTACATGGACGTATTCTATTCCGATTGAGCTGTTAGGTGGATTATTAATGGATTATTAGGCTGCATGTAAACATGGCTACTGAGAGGAAATAATATAGGGCCGTGTTCCCTGAAGTGGTGAGATCTGGCTTGTAAAAAAAATAGGCAACAAACCTATTTGTACAAAATAACTGATACTGCTTTTTATTGACTTACTCAAAATCTTCTCTTTATTGTCAACGCTATCCCTGTTTTTAAGAATGTATAATGTTATTATCGGATGAATCTTTTTGAATCACCTGGTATTTATCAATACATTTATCAATAAATTCAAACACATATAAAATTTCGACTTTATTTTTAAAATATGAATTTCGACTCAAAGCCTCCGCCATCACAGCAGCAGCTAGACAGCTATTAGCATTGCGTGAAAGGTGCTAAATAAAGATGATGATTATTTTTATTCTAATAATTATTATTACTATTATCAATCAGACACGGTGCGCACATGGTGACACGTGTACTTCTGGGTACAGAAACCACTCAAACACAACTCAGTGGTTCTAGATATGTTTTTAGTAGCCCATTTCAGTGAGAGATCTCATTCACTCACTCCGTCGCTCACATCCACTCATTCAGGGTCTTTATTTTCTTCTCCACAGTCGTCTCCAGAAGCTCCTCCTTCCTGAGCTCTTTTCCTCCTGCAGCATCTTTGTCTTCTCCTCCTCTTTCATCTGCTTTTTCTGCTCCTTCTTCCTTTCATTCTCCTCTGCTTTCCTTTCTTTCTCCCTTTCACTCTCCAGATCCCTCACCTTCTGCTCCATCATGGTGCAGTATCTGCACAAGGCCTCTAAGTACTCCTGTGCTCTCCTCATCATCTCCTCCTTTTCTGCTCTATGCCTCTCTTGTTCCTCCTGCATCTCCACCTCCATCCTGAACAGTCTGTCTTTCAGCTGGCAGTTTTGTCTCTCCAGGTCGTGGTGGTTTGTCAGGAGGTCGACTTCTGCCCCTCGTCCGGCCTCCTCTCGCTTCTTTCCCTGGGCACTGCACTGCTGAAGTGCAATAGTGGAAAGAGGAGGATTGTCACCCCTATATATAGATTTTTCGGAGTTGATGACGCCATCAATAAATAACGTGAGTCCAAAAAATTCACGCGTGATTCCTGCCAGCACACTATGGGGTCCTGCTGTAGGCCCGTACGTGGAGTTAATTTTGTGCCAACGGTTTTAAAATAAAATAATGAAACCCACGAGAAAAGTATTAAGCTACTAAATGTAATAACAAAGTTTCACATTACACGCAATTTTAAAGAACGAGAGCTGTTTCTCAAAAGAGCGCCGGTGCAGTTCCACGGTCAAACGCTAGATGGCGATTCCCGCACTAACAACGCTGGAGAGTTCAGTTAATTTCACTGATTCGGTTCTCACGATAGATCTGTTCGGTTCAATGAATCGGAAGATCCGATGATTCGTTTTCTTCTAATCAGGAGCCGAGTCTCTGCACCGTCTGCTGATACAGCCCCTGCCCACTTTATTAGAAACACTTGCGTCCACTCTATGCTCGCTGTACTGCAGTGGGGAACCTCCAGAGCTCTAGGTCTATTGATTTATGTGAAATAATAAAAATAAATAACCATTCTGCGATTTATAGCTTATTTTTATTCATTTGAATCGCCGTTGTATTCAGATTCTGCACGTATGGTAGAAATGCTCGTGTTTCGTTGTCAGGTTTTGGTTAAACAGGAGGGATAAAAGGGGGAAAACTGTCCAATGAGGATGTTCTTCTCTGTGGTACCTGGGTAGAAACAGTCGGGCGCGTCGCTAAGACAGATTTAGGGGGTGTTTAACCATAAATATACGTACTCAGATGCCGCGTTGGGTTCAGCCAGGCACGTCAACGGCGCCGCCATTTTGGGGCGGTCAACATTGCTGCTGGACTGCATTCAGTACCATTACAGAGCGGCAGTTTAAGAAAGATACTGTCCAGAATTATACTGTTTCAAGAATACTGCACTCAGAAAGTGGAATAGGATTATATAACGTGATATATATATATATATATATATATATATATATATATATATATATATATATACGTGTGTGCGTATGTGGTTCCGGCTGCCCTGCTTATAACCATCTGATTACAACATATAACTTAAAGAAATCTAATTCAGGGGAATTTAATTAAAATTCAATAAGGTCCAGTTAGAGAAAATATCCTCAAGCGAAGGTGCGGAACATCATAATGTCTAACTTACATCATGATTCAGTGCCATATACTGTTTACTGAAGTAGCCTAGTAGTTATATCAACATCTTATACCGTTACTGAATATCAAATCAAATAAAGTACAGTTCAGTCATATTTCAATATTTATTGTCAGTTTTCTCTTTTAGATCACGCCATGTGAAATAACTTCTGACTCACTTTCTTCTCCGACTGCTGTTTCTCGCCTCGTCCCTCCCCTGTGTGTGCGTCACTCCCTCGAGTCTCAGTGCTCATCGTAATGCACAGATCTGATTGGCTGAGTAGCATCACATGTACCACTCATGCGATTGGTCTGTGAGTCTCCCAGGCTGTTAAATCGGTACCGTAATGACTAGAAAAGTTACGGCGATTAAAATGGGACCACCCCGTCGAAATTAAATAATTCTCCATAGTTTATCGGTTATAGGCCCAGGTCTGCATAGGACAGCGTCTGGGTCCGGACTCAGACCATGGTCCGGCTATTAGTGACCTCTGGCCTAGAGTGATGTTTTTCTTGCAAAATAGACAAGTACAGTCTATTGGAAATTAAAATAGTCGATTCCTGTCACTTCATAAATATGATGATGGATTTCTCTCCAGCTCCTGAGGCCCTATCCAATAGAAGAGCTTGTTCAGCTATATCTACCAAGATACCGCTGAGAAAAACAACTGATTAGCCAATTTTCTACAGGGTGTTTGAAGAATTCAACCCTTTTGTTTCCATCCAAAACTGAACAAGGAAACAAGAGTAGTGCTGTAATACAGAGTTTAAATGCAAGCATGATTCTATTGAAATAAAAATGAACTAAAAATTACAGACATGCATTTTTTTTTAGATCTCAGTAGTCAGCAGAGGTTCTCTGAAGGCCTAGAAAGCCCTGAGGGCTCTCCGCTCATAATAACTTATAATAGAAACCCCATTCAACCCACCCTACCCTTATGATCCCACCCAAGTAGAGTTGAGATAGGAAGATAAAATACAAAGCAGCTCTGTGTTATGAAGACGACAGAAACCACTGGAGATTTTCTGAACGCCAGCGTACAGACAGTGTGACCTACATTCATGGAGATGAAATGGTCCATCAGTACCAGTAAGTGTACACTGAGACGATTATTTAAATGTGTTAGCAGGTTGAATTTCCCTTCTTACATTTTACCAAGTGTTCACTGAGTTTGTGAAAGTCTTGTCATGTATCTCCTGGTTTCACTGCCTTCGCTCACTCCAGCATAGCTGTGGAAGTGGCTCCTTCACATCCTCATGCTATCAGTGATCTCTGAAAGCACACACCCACCCTGCTTAAAAAAAGACCACCAGAACTATTAGGGTTGAAACCTGATGGTTTTGCTTTCTAATAGGAATTAGCTTAAAGGGGAATTCCACCAATGTTTCAAAAATTCTACATAATTAAATGAAAGAAGAAACACTGAGCCGGGCATCTGGGTAGCATTAGCATTACTGCTACACACGCATTTTAATAGTGGAACTCCATCAATTTTTCCACATAATTGCATGGTTTAGATGTAAACAGAGTCATTCAGAGTGGTTTGGTGTGAAATGCTCTGTTCTAGAGAAACTTAACAGATGAACTGTCAGAATTGTTCGCAGTGGTGGTGATAGGAACCAGACGTCCACCTCTAAAAGCTCCCTCACGGAGAGTTTGGTATTACATGAAATGGTTATGAATTCACTGCCTGAAGTCTGAGACACTGTTTTACAGTAGTTTTGTGATAAAGTTCTGGTCTAAAACATATTTTAATCCATTTATTTTGATTTATTTGTGGTGGAGGGAGACCTGAAAGGTGTTCTAAAGCAAAATAGTCCCCAAAGAAAATGTATTATTTCAGATTTATCACTATTTTACCATTGTCAGCATTAAATTAACAAACTCAGAAGACTCGTGTAGGTTCACTGGTGGTTTTGGATAGCAAATAAAATGTCTATATTTGTGTTGTAGTCATGGTGACCCCTTGGTTCCTATCACCACCACTGTAAAGAAATCTGAGTCTGTAAGTTTCTCTACAATGAACCACTTCATATCAGACCTACCTGAATGACTTTGTTTGCATACCAACGACAGAATTATTCAGACATTTTGAAAAATTGGTGGAATTGCCCTTTAATGTTTAGCAGTAGAGACCACTAGTTTCCTGTAGGACACTTGTAGAAAACAATGAATCTGGATTCAGTCCCAGAACACCTATTAAACCATTAGAGTCCTTTACACTGTGATATCAACCCTTCAGAAAAACCCTTAATACTATTACTTAGTACTGGACACCGTCAGGAACCAACAGACACTTCTAATGGTTTCTATTGTTATTTTCAGCATGAAATGGAATTGTTCTGATAGTTCTGCATGTTTTGTTCCCCGTACTGCGGTAGTAAAGACCTGAATTCACCGCAGAAAGAATTGATTTTAATGTAATATTTGCTGAGTCATAACCCCTGACGTCTAACCTGTGGTTCTCCTTAGCGTCCTACAGGTGGCGCTGTTTAACCTGTTACACAAGAAACTCATAGTCAACATCAGAGCTCAGATAAACTGAGATTAACAATCCCGACTGAGATACAGTTGTGCTCTGTGATTATTGATTTCTCGGCGTCATTTGTGATCGATTTTGTCTGTTTTATCAGATTTCAGGCCAAGTTTAACTGATCTGAAAAAATCGCAGGGCGGACGGAGCGTTGTGTGAAAGCAGTTGGGAAAAGGCGCCTTTTATATCCCACCCGTATTCCGGAAAGCTCCGCCCACTGTGCTGTGATTGACTAGCAGTTAGTCATTTGTAAGTTAGTCAATTTTTTATACATAGACCACATTTAAAATAACAGTTGACCAAAGTGCTGCACATAAAAATAATATATGAAATATTAAAACATAAATAATAGTAAATAGAATAAAATAAGTATTAGGAAAAATCAACAATCATTAATCAGAAAGGACAAAATGATAAATAAATATTATTAATATTATTTAATATGATATTATACTATTATAATATAATATTAATTAAATAATAAATATAAAAAATAATTTAACAATATAAAAAATTAACCAAATGTCGTTATTGGCGTTTCAGACAGGCAAAATTTCAAAATAAGAGATTGGAGGATTGATTTTCCTAAAGCGTTAAACACGGATCACCTTGTAGTCAAAGATACAAATAACGAAGAACTACGAAGAAAACAGCTACAATAATAATAGTAATAATAATAATAATAATCATCACCATCATAATAATATTAATAATCACAATCATTATCTAATTAATAATTATAATTAATAATTAATAATAATCATCTCTCTATACGTCTCTGTGCACACCTGATAGCGAGTATAAACTTCTACCCAATCACGTCGCAGGAGGCGGAGCTACATTCGCTGGTGGGAGAACCAGGTTTTCAGAAGGTGGTGGTTCAGTTCTCTGTAACGTCCGAGAGAAGAATCATCTGGAAAATGGTGCTGGAGATTTATCTGGATCTTTTCTCACAGCCGTGTCGCTCGGTTTACATCTTCGCCAAGAAGAACGGCGTCCCGTTCGAGTACAAGAGCGTCTCCCTGATGGCAGGTAACGGCAGGCCGAGCGGAGTTAGAGGGGAGCTCGGGGTTCAGCGCCCGGCTCGCCTTTCTGCAGAAAGAAACGGACTAAACATCTCGAGAAGCAGAGCATCTCGGTTTTACTTCCACATTTCGTCGTGGTCTGTTTGCATTGTTATCACTTCGTTTATGTGACGTCGTATGAAGTGAAAATGATCTTTCAGAGCTGCCAGGTTTAATCCTCACTTCTTCAGTCCGATTTACAGTCTGATCTACAGCCTGATCTACAGCCTGATCTTTCATTAATTAACCGCAAACTGCTGATCAGCCGCGACTCAGGGTCTTCCTAGGAGGAGTGATATCTACCGAGCTCCTAACGTGATACTGTGATTATTTTTTAATGAGGCGTGGCTACGAATTAATATGTTGAGGCCACAAATTAATATATTGAGGCCACCAGTTAAGTTTCTGAGCTCATGGCCAAAGTATATTAATATGTGTAGTAAATTGTGACCTCAAAATAGTCAATTGTGGCCTCTATATGGTAAATTCTGGCATCTGTGTATTAATCTGTGGCCTCTATAGTAAATTTTGGCCTTAATATAGTAAATTGTGGCCTCACAATTTACTATTGTGTAAACAATGTGTCCTCAGTATAGTAAATTATGGCTTAAATATATTAATTTGTGGTCTCCGTTTAGTAAATTGTGGCCTCAGTATATTAATATGTGGTCTTTGTGTAGTAAATTATGGCTGAATGTATTAATTTGTGGTCACTGTATAGTAAATTGCGGCTTAAAAATAGTAAATTGTAGTCTCAGTATAGCAATTTGTGGCCTTAATATATTAATTTTCTGGCTTCTATATATTAATGTGTGGCCTTAATATAGTAAATTGTGGCCTCTATGTATTAAATTGTGGCCTCTATATTTTAATTTGTGGTCTCTGTATAGTAAATTGTGGCCTCAATAGTAAATTTTGTCCTTAATATAGTAAATTTTGGCCATATATAGCAAATTGAGGCTTCAGTATAGCAAGTTGTGGCCTTAATATGGTAATTCATGGCCTCAGTATATTAATTTATGGCTTCAGTATATTAATTTGTGGCCATGCCTTATTAAAAAATAATCACCATGTCACCATAGGAGCTCCATAGATATCGTTTCTAGTCAGTAAGTAAATGAGCTGGTGTTATTGTATGCACATTATTAATTATGGCATTTATGTTGTAATTCTTGCTAATGACATCTCTGAAAAATGTATTTTGCATTTGATCCCCAGGTGAGCAGTATAGTGAAGAGTTTGGCAAGATCAATATTCTGAGGAAAGCACCTGCAATCCGGGATGGAGACTTTTGCCTGGCTGAAAGGTGCGGAATGTGCCACATATAACCAATATTTATACTAAATGTATTTATTTATGAAATATTTTTACATGCACTTACATGCAAGAATATATATATATATATATATATATATATATATATAGAGCCAGAAGCGGCAACACGCACCAGATACAAGATAAATTAAAGGGAGTCAGAGTTTATCATAAGTTCCTCATTTGTCATGATTGTTGATCAGGGGCCTCAGATTCACATGAATATTTTTTCTATGCTAAAACAAATTGTGCAGACCAAACCTTATGTTTTACTTTTGGTGCTTGGACCCCTTAAAAGAATACAGAATTACTGCTGGTGTATTGAGACACTGTAATTGTGAAGGTGAACTGGTAAAGTGGCATGAGGTTATTCTTTTGGTACCACTGTGTAAAAAACAATGGCTGGCACTGAGAGTTTATTTAAGCCTCAAGTCCAAAATACAAAGTGAATAACGTTGGTGCTGAAGTTTGTTAGAACCGCAGCATGGACAGTGTGATATATATAGACTACAGAACGCTGGAGAGCATTCCTCGAGACTAAGAATTCGGTACCGTCTCTCCTGCAGTATCGCCATTATGACCTACTTGGCAGAGAAGTACAAGACCCCAGATCACTGGTTCCCAGCGGACCTGCAGAAGCGAGCGCGGGTAAACGAATATCTGTCCTGGCAACATTCGGCCATGCGTCCCCACGGATCTAAAGATATTCTGGCTGAAGGTGAGATGATCTACTGACATATAATAGCAGGGTTCATTGTAACCACCATGTACCAGGAAGCCCACAGTCATATTTCTCATATTTCACTACTTAACACCAGTTTCATTGTTGTTCTGAATCAATTGAGCAATAATAGCGCTTGTGTTACAAAACTGATACATTTGTCTCTGTGTATGTGTGTCTTCAGCTCATGATTCCAAAGGTTCTAGGTATGGAGGTTCCTAAAGAGAAGATGGACGCTGCTTTAGAGGATCTTGATGGCTCCCTGAAGCTCTTTGAGGAGAAGTTCCTTCAGGACAGGCCTTTCATTGCGGGTGACCAGATCTCCCTGGCTGACCTGGTCGCTATTGTGGAAATCATGCAGGTACTCAGCTGATACCACAGGAGGCAATTCATGATTAAAAATAATATTTACTGAAGGAATAATCTTGCGAATATTCAAATAAGACCAATTTTTCGACTTACCACAGAAGAGCCTGATCAGCTAAGATACGTTTGGAGTCACCCAAATCTTTTCTATAAATTTAGGCCCAAAAGTTCTCTCAATTAAAGAAATATAAACATATATCTTGACGACAGGAATATGAGATTTCTGAGCGCTGCATTCAGCTACACGGTGAAGTTTCTTTCATTTTTATAGCTCACAGTAAGACATACTGTGTTCCAAACCACATTGACAAGCCTGGGAGACTTTAATGACGACCTAAATGCGATTTTGAGAGAAGTTTTCTGGATGTATTTACAGAAAAGATTTGGGTGACTATTGACTTCTAGTGTTTGTTAGCAACACTAGCCTAGTAGCCCCATGTTAAACTAAAACCAGACATGTTTTGGCTGATCAGGGGTAAGTGGAATGCTACACCATTCGATTTTACCCCAAAACTTACTTTAAACTGAAAAGTTAGCATTTGATTAGTATTAGTATCGTAAGAAAACCTCATATTTGCAGAACCATAACTTAGTTTTCTTACGACACTGATGAATTGGTCGTAATGTATTGGGAACTATCAGTTTTCTGAAGTTTGCTTATCAGCTCTGCTGCTAATTCTTTTTCTGTGCTGTGTACTGTAGCCAGTAGGTGCAGGTCTGGATGTGTTTGAGACGAGGCCCAAACTGAGCGCTTGGAGGGACCGCGTTAAGGACGCGATTGGCGCCGAGCTGTTTGATGAAGCCCACCAGGGCATCCTCTCAGCCCAGGAATCAGCTAAAAGCATTGACGGCGGCAAACTGCAGCATTTCAAAGCCACGATCCTCAAAAAGTTCCTCTGAAAACAAAAAAGGTGGTTTTTCTAACAGTTACTCGTGTTTAATTGTGTACGCTCTCGGCTATAACCGACATTGTACAGAGGACAGAAAGAATCAAATGAAAAATGTGAACCATATCTAGCGATGGGTTAGTCATTTTTTATGTTTTCTTCAAGTTCACTTGGATTAACCTTTATTAGTGTTCTTACATGTTCTCATTCAAACTGACATGGGATGAACTTTTCTAACAGTTTTTCTTGTGTTTTCACAAATAAAACCTCAATGTTGAGCTTCACCAGAGTATGGAGAGGCACTTTTCAGTGTTCATGACGGCAGTAAAGAAATTGTGAAAGATCTGCAGTGCCCCAGTGGTTTCTTTAGGCGTTCAGTCGTCTTGAATTTCAAGTTCTTGCACTCTTATCGACCCCCATCTCACGCAACCTTGGGCTTTACAGTATTGTTCCCGAATGGTCTCTATTACTCCAGGGAAGGAGCTGGGCGTCTTTTCCCTGAGAGGAATGTCAGCGTGATTTTAACTGACTTCCTGCAGCTGAGCGCTCGCTGTGGTGTTAAGTCTGCTCACCAGCGTTTTCCTGTGACAGAGAGAAAAACCAAACAGCTGCGATTTCGGCTCTCGTCTCGCTGAGGCATCTGCTCAGCTGGAGAATATTGTCCAGGAGGATGTCTGTCTCGTATTACTTCTAACATTTATCTCAGAAAGCATAAATGTCTCTGGTTAGACGTTCCTCCGGGGTTGTGTTGTAGTCCCACTGTGTGTGGTGTGACACTGAGAAGAAATGAATATCCACTTCCACCATATCTACTCCATAAATCTGTATAGTTTGTGTGGAGAAACAGGAGATTAACCTGGCTTTTTTGCAAACTAGTCTCAAGACAAGTGTAAGTCAAAACCAATGAGTCATAACCTGTAGAGCAGGTCCATTATAAAAAAAGGTCTTGTGCAAAAGTGCATGTCAATCAACAGCTGACTACCTTACAAATGGCATATGATCAAAAGTGCAAACACAACAAAGCTTGGATTTGCAAGTGTATTTAGCAAAACCAGAGGACTGTGTAAAAGACATTAAAGAATGGATGTCAAGTAACTTACTCTTACTGAGTTCGGACAAAACAGAAGTCCTTCTTCTTGGTCCAAAAGCTGCTAGGAATAATCTGCCTACGTTTCTCAACTGCACCAGGCACATCTGTAAAAAGCCTTGGTGTCACGATCGATCCCAGTCTGGCCTTCGATGAGCATATTACCAATATTACCAGAATGGCTTTCCTCCACCTGCGTAACATCGCTAAATTAAGAAATGCACTGTCGCTACAGGATGCAGAAACGTTAGTTCACGCCTTCATCACGTCCAGATTAGATTACTGTAACGCTCTGCTTTCTGGTTGTTCCAGCCAAAACCTTAACAAGCTTCAGTTAGTCCAGAACGCTGCAGCCAGAGTTCTCAGCAAAACCAGGAAATTTGACCACATTAGCCCAATTTTGTGTACCTTACATTGGTTGCCAGTTAAATTCCGCATTGAGTACAAAATTCCTCTACTGACGTATAAAGCTCTGAATGGCCTTGCTTCTCAGTACCTCAGTGACCTTATTTCCTATTATCAACTGACACGCCCACTTAGATCACAAGGTGCTGCTCATTATTAGTACCCAGAATAAATAAAGTTACGTCAGGAGGAGCCTTTTCATACAAAGCCCCCAGCTTTGGAACAGCCTACCAGTCTGTGTTTGGGACTCAGACACAGCCTCCATCTTTAAGTCTAGGCTAAAAACTTACCTGTTTAGTCGAGCCTTTGGTTAATTTGTTTTCCTAACTATGGGCCCCCCCCTTTCCCTGAGCTGAGCGGCTGCCTGTCCTAAGAGGGTCTGACGTGACTGATGCGGCCGGCGCACTGCACAGTGGTGTTAAACTGTATCCACTTATACTGTTTTGTGTCCGTGCTGTTATCCGGTGTCGACCAGAGGACGATGGGTTCCCCTTTTGAGTCTGGTTCCTCTCAAGGTTTCTTCCTCCTGTTGAGGGAGTTTTTCCTTGCCACTGTCGCCAAGGCTTGCTCACTGGGGGCGTGGACCCGGATTCTCTGTAAAGCTGCTTTGTGACAACATCTGTTGTAAAAGGCACTATATAAATAAATTTGACTTGACTATTTGAAAAAAATAAATATTAGCATGAATGCATTTACTTTATCTCCAGCATACTTTACCTTTCACACTGAGCAAGCACAGTTCCGTGTGCGACGGTGGGCCAGGTGTCCTTACTTTAACCTGGGAGTGTCAAACTGGGTTCCTTCCAGGCCACAGCTCTGCCGTATGGTTTTCCCTCTTCAAACACTAAGTCCAACTCATGAAGGCCTTGCTAATTACCTCCAAGACTGGAGTCCGTGGCACCCCGGGCCGAAACCGTAATAGAGCAAACGTGAATCTAGACCAGTGGCTCCCAAACCTGCACACCTTAGTGTTTTCTCCAGTGGTTCGCCAAGTGGAAGGGTGGTCCCATTATTCACCACCCTAACACAGTGGCTTGGTCTCAAACCGGACTTTGCTGCCCTGCCCTATTCACATTGTGTTCCACTCCTCCATAGCACACAGACTGATTTTTTGCCTGTGGTCAGTCACAATCTAGCTGGAGACGCTCATGTTCCTCATAACGTAACCTTAGTTGTTTCCATAAGTGCTATTCAGGTAAGTTCCTCCATTCTAATGATGCACGCAAAAGCTACTGGAATGCAAACAGCACCCCCTTGTAGAGGACCACATCATATCAGTCTGCAGATAAACAGCACAACACCAACTGAACTGAACACAGTCAGTCTATTCGAAAATAAAATCAGCTCATCGTTCACCAACTAACAGCTTAACAGGACGCAATGCGAGCAAGCGACAATGACCAAATTTAAATGCTCCCATCAGCTGCGTTGGGGCATCCAAGTGTAGTATCGCATTGTGTCGCGAAAGCTGGGGATACTCACCAAAACTGGCCTGTTCTGTTTAAACATAAACATCTTTTAACACTTCATGTCTCAACATTAGTTCTCTCAAATGGATTTAAAATGAGTGCCTCGGCCATATTAGCAGGCTATGTTACGTTAGCTGTGTTGGCTAAGGCCGGCACCTGAAGCTTTCAAAAGCAGCGGAGGTGACCAATCGTTTTAAAGCAGTGTGTCAGTTTTGCATAGCAACAGCCACTTGATTTGTCAAGGACATTTTCTCCTGTCTCAGCAGTATTTTTCTTTGCTGCTGATTGGCTACTGGCAGTGCACTGAAGCTAATGGAGAGTCCACAGAGACAGAGCCCATAACCAATTTATAAATTGGAACAGATTTTTTTGACCCTCCAGACAGTTTTACAGACATATCTCATAACAGAAAGTGTTTAGTAAGAAAATAGTTATGTAATTTCGACATGTTTTTATTCTTTTTTTTGCTCGTGATAACTGGTAGCTGGCGCCCCAGCAACCATAATGGACAAAATGCCCCTGGTTGTCTCTCAATCTCAGATCAGTAAATAAGGGGAAGATTTTTACAAGACTTTATTGAAAACATTCATGATGACCTGGCCTGGATGTTCAAAACAAAAAATCACCGTAACCGGTCTATGTAATATAAAACAGATTTTTCTTGTTTTTTTGAAGTCAAAGACTTTCTATGTGGTATGTAAACAATGCTTGAGTTTGCATTGCTAATGCTAACATACCATTCACTCAGCAGTCCATAAGTCCATATATGGAAATGATCTGAAGTTATAAGGAGTGTTTCCATTCAACCTGCTTTTAGAATGAGGCACAATAAAGGATTTTCAAAATTTCCACATAATTAAATCATTTAGACAAACAAAAATCATTTATTTAGGTAAACAAAATTATTCTGAATGGTTTGACATGAAATGCTCCGTTCTAGAGAGACTGTAGTTTGTTGATAGTGGTGGTGATAGGAACCAGACGTCTGAAGAGTTCAGAGCCTCTAAAACGCTCCCTCACTGAAAGACAATAAATGAAATGGTTATGAATAAGCTGACTGATGCCTTTGTCTTTGTTTTATGCAAAAAGTTTTGGCCCAAAACATAAATTTTTAATACATTCACAATGGAGAACAAGGCAAAAAAGATTTTTTTTCCAGATTTGCCGCTATTTCAGTATCACATATAAAAAAAACACGTGTCTGGTTTTGGATAGTAAATACCATGACTGTATGTGCCTTGTGGACATCGTGACCCCTGGTTCCTATCACCACCACTGTAAAGAAATCTGAGCCGTCATATTTCTCTTGAATGGTGCATTTCACACCAAAACACTCAATTACTTTGTTTACATCTCCAACCATGAATTATACAGGAATTTTGAGACATTGGTGGAATTCTCCTGTAACTATAACTTTTGGTTTACAATTTTGAACCCCCATCCATCGAGTACCTTTATCTTAAAGGTTATTTTTTTTAAATATCACCAAACTTAAATGTGTATTTTTATGTGTCTGTTTGACCATTTAGCATGCTATTGTGCTACGCTTCATTGTGTTTACTGCACCTTCACATTAAAGCGGACTTCCACACATTTTTAATATTTTTTTGTGTAATTCCGTTATGCAAGCAAAGTCATTCATAGTTGTTTGGTGTGAAATGGTTCATTGTAGAGACTCTTTACAGTCTAGATTTCATTGTAGGAATTTCTTTACAGTGGTGGTGATGGGAACCAGGGGTCACCATTACTACAACACTAAAATAGCCATTTCATTTACTATCCAAAACCACCACGTGTTTTATATTCACTAAAATAGTGAAAAATCTGAAAAAATATGTTTTCTTTGGGGACTGTTTTGCCTCATGTACCCCTCCACCATGAGTAGATTAATATAAATTAATCAGAAAGACGTTTTAGGCCAAAACTTTATCACAAAACTATCGACCTTCTGTGATGGAGCTTTTAGAGCTGGACGTCTGGTTCCTATCACGACCACTACGAACAGTTCTGACTCAGTACGTTTCTTTAGAACATTTCACTCCAAACCGCTCTGAATGTTTACGTTTCAACCATTTAATTACGTGGAAGTTTTTAAAATGGGTGGAGTTCCCCTTGATAAATGAGGCTTTGGCAGTTATGCTAATGCTATCCATATGCCCGGGGCAGCGTTTCCTCGTGCGTAGGTGTGTTTTTATGGGAAGTGGAGGACAGAGAGACACTCGCGTTAATATCTCACTGACCGTGTGACAGTCTGGGAGGGAGACAGCAGGAATGGAGCCGCTGTAACTGAGCAGCAACAGACTGAAACGCTGGACGATGTCGTCTGATAAGGGCTGCTGCGTTTCCTTCACACAGTGCTTCTTCGACTACTCCACAGCAAAGAGTCTGGTGATACGGAGTAAAGCAGTGGGGGCTCTGAACCGGCTCTGTCAGGCTCTGGTCTTAGCTTATATCATTGGGTAAGTAGGTGTGAAGCATTAACTGGAAATACACTACTTTTTGCTGTCAAATGCTAACAGCTACTGCTACTTAAGCACATTTTAGTGAGGAGAGTCTTCTGCCTTTTCCTCAGATCCATTTTAGTACTTCACATTTAGCTCCTCATCCCTTTTTTTCTGGGTTTATTTCCTTTCTCCTGTGTTGGTTCAGCTTCTGGACTGCTTTACTGTCACCCATCTCTGATTTGGGGGTTTTAGGATTTTATTTCAGGTCAAAAAGATCCAAGAAAGAGAAGAACAGAGCTCCAGAACAAGGTCCATTTCCTGTACTGATAGATCCAGTACTGAGATATTTTAGTAAGAAGCCAGTTTTGGGTTTTTTTGGGAGCTAATTTTACTTCACCTTGAGTCATTATGTCATATATGTAACAGTGCTTTTACTTAAAGGGGAATTCCACTGATATTTTAAAATTTCCGAATAGTTCAGTCATTGAAATTTAAAGTTGTTCAGAGTGGTTTGGTGTGAAATTGTTCATTGTACAACCCAAGTATAGCTGTTTTATTTACTAGCCAAATCCACTGGTGACCATACACGCGTCTTCTGAGTTTTATATTTAATGCTGATGATGGCAAAGTAGTAGAAAATCTAAAAAAATTGATTTCTTTGGGGCCTACTTCGCCTCACAACTCCCTTCATGTACCTCTCCACCATAAATGGATTAAAATAAATGGATTAAAACACATTTTAAGCCAAACTTTTATCACATTAACTGTCAAAAGACATTGTGTCAGACTTCAGGCAGCGTATTCATTCAACTAATTTATGCACTAACTGTCTGTGAGGAAGCTTTTAGAGGTGGACATTTGGTTCCTATCACCACCACAAGTTCCTCTAGAACGGAGCGTTTCACACCAAACCAATCTGAACGACTCTGTTTACATCTCAACCAATTAATTACATAGAATCGGTGGAGTTCCTCTTCTTTTTAGGGTGTGCTTCTAGGCTGTTCCACTCAACACTGGAGATTGAAAAAGGAAGCCAAGTAAAATTCCCTATTTGTGTTGCTCACGTAAAAGTAATGAAACTGAAAGTGAAGTCATATGCTTAAAATAATCAGTAAGTCTAAAGTCAAAAGTAAATGGAGTTCAACACAGGCTTCATCTTTTAGTGTGACACTTGTTTAAGTATCTTATTTAATCTGCATTGAACACCAGCTATAAATGACCACAGGTCCTGGTGGCAACTTTATTTGGCTGTAAAGAAATGAAAAGATTCGACTCTTAAAAGTTTTTCCTTTTCAAACCGCCTCCAAAATTAGCCCCACGTTGGTTTATTTTTGGCTCACAGAAGAGCGCTCACTCTCGAGTCATCGTCCTGTGGCTTTACAACATCTATGACCGTCTCCTCTGCTGTGAATTGGTAACTACTTTTGTAGCCCAGGCATTTAAATTAGATTGGCTTGTGTTTCTTACAGAAAACCTTTCTTAATATGAGCCCGATGAAGTTTAGAGCAGCGCTATATGGTCAAATCTGGATCTATGAGGCTAATAGGCCTATACCTCACAAGCAGAATAAGCTTATAGCTAATTAGCATGGTGCTAACTGCATGCATAAATCATCACAAACTAGCCTCAAATCGTGTTGAATTGTTCAGTAATCTCTAATAGACTTGTTTATATGGTTTGTGACACTGTTATGTATAAGTTTGGGCTGTTGGTGATACTGTACGCTAAAAAAGACAACCGGAAGGCTTTTTCTTGTCCCCACCTCTACAGGTATGTTTGCGTTCTGAAGAAAGGCTACCAGGACACGGACTCGGTCATCAGTTCGGTCACCACCAAGGTTAAGGGCATCGCCCTGACCAACACTTCTGACCTGGGCTTGCGGATTTGGGATGTGGCCGACTACGTCATCCCCCCTCAGGTATCCTCCCGATATAAGGAAGAAAAGGTACAGGCTGGAGTGATCTAGGCCCACCAAAACAACCCCCCACCAGGGCTGACACCATCCACCACGATGATCCCTGTTCACCATAGACCTGCCCCTGGTTATGGTCATTCTGGAAGGTGTTGCGTTTCACACACACACTGGACATGTTCAGCAGTGAGATGTTGGCAGAACAGTGCAAACAGTAGTAGCTGTAGTGTTGTTCGCTACGCTTTTATACCTAAATCCCAGGTGGTTGCTAAGGTGTTGCTATGTTATCCTAGGCAATTGCTAAGGTGTGCTAGGTCATTTCTGTAGATTACCAGCCGGTTGTTAAGGTGGTGCTAGACTGTTGCTATAGTATCCCAGGTGGCTGATAGGGTATTTCTAGGCCATTGCTATGTTATTCCAGGTGGTTGCTATACTATCCTAGGTGGGTCCATAGGTGTTCCTTAGTTGTAGTAATCCCAGGTAGTTGCTAAGGCTTCGCCCAGTGGTTGCCATGCTATCCTAAGTGGATGCTAAGGTGTTGCTAAGTCGTTGCTGTGCTATCCCAGGTGGTTGCTAAGCTGTTGGTAGGCAATTGCTATCGTGTCCCACGTTGTTGCTAAGGTGTTGTGACCTTATCGTAGGTCATTGCTATGGAATACCAGGCAGTTGTTAAGGTGTTGCTAGGCTGTTGCTATGGTATCCCAGGTGGTTGTTCAGGTATTTCTAGGCCATTGTTGTGTTATCGCAAGTGGTTGCTAAAACTTTGCTAAGTCATTGCTGTGCTATCCTAGGTGGATGCTAAGGTGTTGCTAAGTCGTTACTATGCCATCTCAGGTGGTTGCTTAAGCTTTGCTAAGTCGTTGCTATGCTATCTCAGGTGGTTGCTATGTCTTTGCTAAGTTGTTGCTGTGCTATTCCAAGTGGTTGCTAGATTGTTGCTATGGTATCCCTGGTATCTGTGTGTAATGCCTCTGATGGGCAATGTGAAAGGTGTCCTTTGTGACATCATTAGTGATATTTGGATTTGAAATCTTTCAGCATTCCACTTTTCGTTTTCCATGGGAAAAATGTAATGTGCTGAACAAAAATTTGTACATAATTCGTCCCAGGAGCATAATTTTCATATAGGCTCTACAATCCTGCAGAGTTTCATGGTTCTAGCTTGAGCACTGTGACCTTTGAAAACGGTGCTGAAAAAATCTGTTCAAAGTCATTTATTGTTGTCTTTAATCATCAAAACACTGATTGATTAGAGGGTTCATTTGCATATTCTTCTTTATCTTCACTGCAAGGCCTATCCTATAGTGATGACTAACAAACATGCTACTGTGCACTAAATAAGATTCTGCTGTATACAGTGTAACTCTGTCTGAACTGCTGAACATGACTAGGGCTTTGTACTGTTTGCACCAAATGGTGTGGGTTTTGGGGTGGAGCACTGCTTATGCTTATAAAATGGGACAAATATTTGATAAACGTCAGTGTTTTCTTTATTTAAAACTAGGGATGCATTGTTTTAAACGACTATGAGTAGGTTTTTTAGTACCTGTTGATACCATACTGATTAAGCTACTTAGAATTAATTAGTTGTTAATAGTTAATTAATTCAAATCTAGCTATGCTACAATAGTTACCTCGGATTGAGCAGCGATGCAGTGGAGAAGAGCAGTTTTTGCTCCGCATCAGGAAAGTGCTTCTGTCCAGCTGCAAGTAAAGTATGTTTCATAGTTTTGATCCCTATTGTTCAGCGACAGCAGGAATCACATCCAAAGCCAATGCATCCGAGGAGCTCTCGTTTCGGGTTTATGTCTTGTTGAAGTCTTTTTGGCTGGTTGAGCTGTAGCTGAATGTCCTCCAGACAATCCAGACACACACTGCTTGATATTAGAAATCATGTCTTTGGTGACTCATGCGGTACTTTTTGTATAGACCATCATTGCTCAAACATGCTGAGAAACTGAGCTACAGTTTCTATTACATTGTGTAAGGTAGGCTGTTAGAACCTTTTTTGAACCTGACCCGAGCCCAACACATTTTCAAGAAATGACGTTTGAACCTGACATGAGCAGTTGGGCCCCGTCGGGTTTGGATATATATTTTAGGCTTGAGCCACTGTCAGTGATCAAAACAAGGCCGTAGCCAACCGTGACTAGGCCTTCTAATTGGGCCGTGAAGATCAAAACTTGGTCAAAACATGAGGACAAAACCCACTTTTGCGATTATGCTAATTTCTGCTAGCGCTCCTATGGGATTCTGGTAGTTTGTTAGCACTAAGCTAACAGCACTTTGCATAAATGTGTTTTTGGCCATTGTAGATTAAATGCAGATATTTGAAGCATCTAAAAAGCAGTCCATGTTTTACTTGAAGCTTGTGAGAGATATATTCGTATATAGTTTGTAGCGGTTTCACAGTGATGTTTGGAGTAGAGTGTCCTGGTATAGAGCTGCTGCTGCTGCTCGTATTCAGTCAGTGACGTGTCTAGGACTTCCAGATCAGGGGTGTCCAGTCTTCTTCGCAAAGGCCTGCTGTTTTTTTCTATCCAACAAGCTGGAGCACACCTGACTCCACCTGTTTAATCAGTTCGTCTCACTCTAATCATGTGATCTCTTGCTTTGTTGGGATGAAAACCTGCAGCACACTTGCCCTTTACAGATAAGATAGGACATCCATGGTCTAGAGTGACTCATGAAGTTGGTACTCCCTATTGGAAATCAAAGCGTGATCAGTTGATTCCTCTGATATTTTGTAATTATGCTGGAAATTACACGTTAGGTTTTCTCTTCAGCTCCTGAAGCCCTAACCGATGGGAGAGCTCACTTAGCTCTATCTACCTAGATACCATGGTGAAAACAACTCCTGATTGACCAAATTTCTGTTAGAGGTTTCAAGAATTTGACATTTTGTTTTTAACCAAAACTTAACAGTGAAACAAAAGTAGTGTTGTAAGACTTGCAGAGTTTAAATACAAGCATGATTCTGTTTTAATGAATTAGAAATTACTGTCGTTTCCCTTCAAACCAGGTATCTGGATATAAAAGTTAGTAAAGTTAGTTAGTAAAGTTAGTGGAAGGGGTGGGACTTCTGCTATGGACACGCCCACCCTCAAATGCCTTTTGATGCCACTTAAGTTCTGGGTGAGGCTATTGGGTCTTATTTTGTTACAGAGAATCTTCTCTAATCTTGGCCTGTGCATAGCTATAATGATGTTCTTAGCTCAGTGGCAAAATTCAATAAGATGGATTGGAAGATGAGCTGTTTCTTAGTCCAAATAGCAGCATCAGGTATAAACTATACATTTAGTAACATAATACATACTTGTCTTATGCTGGTTTACACCCAGTGACTAATCATTTTGTGCTTGTACTCATTTTCTCATGTAGGCCGGCTACCATAAAGAAACAATGGACTGTAAACATTGGAAGTAGTCAGTACTTTACACAGTTTCTACATTTATTTTCCCTGAGTTATAGCCCCATGTTCATGCCTTGTTTCCAGTGCACACAGCATTTTTCCATCTGAAGCTGTGTGCCGTTGCATGTTTGGCTAGTATCTTTACACAGATAAGAAAAAAACAAAACAACTTTGCATATCCTCGCTTGTCTGCAGTGTAGCCAAATCTGTGTGTTTACACTTAAAGGAAATGCTTGACAAATTGTCTGGATTGTGTAACTGCGTATGTGTGTGTGGTCTCATTGCTTGGTGGTTTGATCTGAAATGCTTTGAAACTGAGTCTGAATTGTTCACAGTGGTGGTGATGGGAACCAGATGTCTGGAATGTTGAATGCCTCGAAGCTCAAATGCCATTATTAGGCAAAAATTCTCTAAATAAAACTTATTTTTTCAGATTTGCCACTATTTTACCTTCATCAGCGCTACACAAAAAAATGAGATACGTGTAGGTTCACTGATTGTTTTGGAACTTGTATAAAGTTTGTGTTGTAGTCATGGCGACCCCTGGTTCCTATCACCACCGCTGTAAAGAAGTCTGAGCTGTTTCGCTACATTGAACCATTTCACGTCAAACCACTTTTGACTTTGTTTACATCTCAGTGATTGAATTATGGATACATTTTGAGTACTCTGTGAAATTCCCCTATAACAAAGCTGTACAGTAACTGCATATGTGTTCTCATTATAGGAGGAGAACTCATTCTTTGTGCTCACAAACCTCAACATCACACCAAACCAAAAGCAGTCACGCTGTGCTGAGGTGAGCTAGCTTTGTGTTTGGCTCACTGCTCTAAACCCACAATGCTGATTTTTGCACATACATGCATATCAAACAGATGTTGATGTATTCACATCACACGCACAGGCTGAAAATAAAATGTTTAGGTTGCAAACGCAAAATCAACATTGTATTGATGAAGATATGATGACAATAGTAAATCATTTACATCCCCCCACCAAGTTTTGACTGAGTTCCCTTTTGATCATCAGATTCATCCACTCAGGGAATGGGTGCGAAGCACAACTGACATTACAAAATATTCTTTGACACGTTGAGTGCAGTTACACATTCCACCAGAGAGGTCTCCAAATCTTACGTAGTGCGGCTCTAAAATAACTTGAATTAAATAAAGTGCTGCCTTTTAGTAGCAAGTAACAGTGTAGCAGCTGCTTCTAAATGCAGTGAGTGCACTTGCCTGCCTTAAGTTATTTACCTCATAAAACAGCAAAACAGATTGGCCAAAATCAAAGTAATACATTGCCTGGTTGCAAAAATTAGTCAGTTCTGGTCATTTCTACCCTTTTGCGCATACACTGACCCTCCGACAGAGTGGAGGTCAGCCTAATGAATGCATGCTCTTTGACTTGGCAAGTTTTCCTGTTTCCTCTCTGGCAGGAATTCAGGACGCATGACAACCCTTGAAAGGCCTCTGGCTCCCTCAGCTTCCCTAGTGTTTTCACATAGTTCAGCACAGATTTGCTGCAGATCTCCCTGTACGGCTGTAAACAGATGTGATTCTAATGTGTCCTGCACTAATGTTCCCCATGTGTGGTTGTGCAGAATCCTGGACCTGAATCCTCATGTTCTTCGGACCACGACTGCAAGAAGGGCTTCCACGACAGCCGCCTCAGTGGTGCGTTCCAGCCCTGACTGCTTACTGGGAGATTCCTCATAAATCCTACTAGTTTCTCATCTAATCCAAGCATTAAGGTCTGTAACACACCGGTCCTTTATATTTTCTAGGCGTGCGGACGGGCAGATGTGTGAATTTTTCAGAGACGAATAAGACGTGTGAGGTGTTGGCCTGGTGTCCTCTAGAGAAAAGCGGCGATCCTCCTGAGTATGTGTATCAATGGATCATACGCTATATGGCCAGAAGTTTGTGGACACCTGCTCATCTAATGTTTTTCAAAATAAAGAATATTTAAAGAGTTTTTTTCCCTCCTTTTGCTGCAGTGACAGCCTCTACTCTTTGTGAAAAGCTTTGCACTAGAAGTTAGAACATGCTGTGAAAATTTGATTGCATTCAGACCCATGAGCAGTAGTGAGGTCAGGCACTGATGTTGGATGGTCGGTTCTGGATCACTCCAGCTCATCCCAAAGGTATTGGATGGAGCTCCATCAATCCAGAAAACACAGTTCCACTGCTCCACAGCCCAATGCTGAGGGGCTTTATACCCCTCTGGCTCACGATGGGCAATAGTAGGATGACTTTGGGCTCATGTGTGACTGCTTCATTGTATCTCATTTTATTGGTCAGTGCCTTTATATGGCGTTTATACAAGCTGTGTGTGTATTTGAACTCGTGTATCAGCAGTGGGTGCACCTTAATGCAGCTGAATTCACTAACAAGAAGAGGTGTTCACAAACCTTTGGCCATATAGTGTATGTGTTGCTCACACACACCTACGCACACATTATAAATATATATCATTTGAAACCATTCCTTTAACTGTGTCTCTGAATCCTGCTGCATTGTACCTTGGAAGCTATAAAATGCTTTACATTCTCACATGCCTTTTGTTTTTCCTCTCTTCAGTCCTCCGATGCTGGCAGAAGCAGAAAACTTCACAGTTCTGATAAAGAACAGCATCCGATACCCCAAATTCAACTTCAACAAGTGAGCCCTTAACGCTTACAATGTTCTAAAATCTGACGTTCAGCAGAGATGCCACAATTTATTTTCCTTGTTTTTTAATGCAGACGGAACATCCTGCCCCACATAAACAGAACCTACCTGTCCCAGTGCGTGTTTAACAATGAGACGGATCCAGACTGTCCGATTTTCAGGCTCAGGGACATTGTGGCTGCGGCTGGAGAGGACTTCCTGACTATGGCAGTCCATGTAAGAGAGCAAGTGAATTAATACTGAGTATAACGCAAAGGTGTTTATAGGAGTGGGCAGTGTTATGGTTTTGTGGTAAATTGTCACAGTTCCACTTTTCTGAGTATATCATGGATATCATCAAGAACAGTGAACTGCATACATCAATAAACAGACAGATTAAGAGCCATTATAGAGGGTCTGCAAACAGCGTATAGTAATGCTACGTTCACGTTCGTTTTAACTCGAATTAAAGAAGTCGGAGCTCGGAATTGCATTGTTTCCACAGATTCAAAATACTAAGTAGCGGAAAAACACAGACGCCTCCAAGAAAGCGCGTATCATTAGCAACAAGCTAGACAGCTAAGGTTACTGATAGGAGTGATAACTTTAATGTTTATGATGTTTTCACCTTTTCATAATCATATTTATGATAAATGTATTACTGGTGATAGTATAAGCAATTATGTTGATGTCATATCTTGAACTCAAGAGTTGAGGACACTTTCCCTAACTTTACATGTAAAAACTGCCAGTTGAGGGGAAGTTTTTTGGTCCTGTTGTAAAAGCCAACCTCTTTTCACTTCATGACTGACTGTGTTCTTCATCTACCTGTGTAAAATTTCCTATTCCACTGGCTGCCACACAACCCCAAAGCATAATAGATCCACCCCCATACTTAACAATTGGCAAGGTGTTCCTTTCATCAAATACTGCTCCTTTTTTCTCCGAACATACCTTAAGTGTTTGTGGCTAAAGAATTCCATTTTTATTTCAACAGTCCACAGCACTTGTTTACGGAATGCCTCTGGCTTATGTTTTGCATACTTAAGACGTTGACTTTTGTGATGAGGCCGCAGGTATGATTTCCTTCTGATGACATTTGTACAACAACAACACTGCGCAGTAGAACTGTGCACCACCACAAGGTGTCAGCTAAATCTTCCCGCAGTTTCCCTTAAATACCATTTATTTAATGACATTTTGGACAGTGAAAATTGTGAAATGGAAGTGCCGTGATATCTTTTTATAGCCCTGTCCTGCTTTGCAGGCATTAGTTAGCTTCATTTTTAGATTTTTGACCAGCTCCTTAGAGGAGCCCATGGTTGTTGAGTGTTAGCAGTAGGTTTGAAGAGTCAAATTTATCATCAGCTCCCAGTTCCTAATGATAATTCCTGACCTGCCTAAACAGTCCTTATGAGGCAGTGTAAAAATGAATTAAGATTAGGCTTTGTTACATAAACCCATATAAATGTCATAAGCAGATATCAGAAGGGAAATATAAAATGCAAGAAAATGTTGGAAATGGGCCCTGTAGGAAATGGGCCCTGCGGCTTTTCCAGTGCCAAATAGATAAGACTTTATGTGGGGATAACCTTTCCCACAGTGGCTCAGTCAAGGATTAGGGTTAAAGAATAACTCGGATAGCCTCTTGTTTCACTCATTTTGACGGAACGATACCCTGGACTTCCGAATATTCATTTGAGAATATTCAGAACTTGAGCACAAACAGAGGCTTTAAGTATTTCCCTGCCAAAATTCAAAGCCAGTAATTGTATTTACATGTTCTTTCCTGTCAGGTTGCTGTGGCTGATTGATTTGATGTGGATTTTGATCTGAGATCAGTTTAAACCTTTACCTGCTAAAGGTTATGATTACACGAGACAGACTAAATTAAACAAAAAGCCTGGCCTTATTACAGGCATGTCAAAGAATTATAGGCCTGTGTTTCCCAGCAGCAGTGACTTGTCATTTAGCCTTTGACTTCACATGTTTTACAACCATACAACTTTATATGGCTGCGTTACAGAGATGATTTACTACTGTAAATTTCTAGAAGGAACAAGTTATGACATTTGCTGCAAGTTCAAAGTTGTCCTTTATCCTGTGAAGTTGGCCCAGTGAACAGCTTCTGCATCCAGAAGTTGCAGGGTTCCCACACATCCTGGAAAACCTGGAAATTTAGAGAATAGTCTTTTTAGTAATGGAAGAATTTCTAAAACGTCCTGGAAGTATTAGTGATGTATTGGAAAAGCATAAACATTTGACAGGCTTTGCTGTGTTCATGACTTGCTAGCTAAGCGGCAGCTCCACTTCCTTTCTAGCCAGCCAGCTAACGTCAGTTAACATTGATGTTATTCACAGCAAAGTCCAGTTTATATAGGGTAAATGTTTGTCATGTAGAGGGAGTATTTTTGTTTTTAGGTTTTCAATCTCTGAAATTAATATATTTTAAACAAACAGTACACACACACACACTCACAACAAAGCAATCATAACACAATACTTTACCAAATGTGACAGTTTTAGCTCATTTTGAGCAGAACTCAAAAACACTAGCCAGTACATGATCAGCAAACACAGCTTTGAACAGCTGTACACACATAAAATCATCACATTTTTCATTAAAACACAAAGTTAATTAATTGCAGAAAATCTGTGTTTCGGTAGTGACAGTTCTTAAAGTTCCACACTGATTTTCAGACTTTGGGACACCTTTACTTCAAAACAATGGGATCTAACTGCTCACCATGTGGCCATGAGGGACAGGGATGCAGCCTCACTTCCTGCTTTAAAATACAGGGGCGTAGTTAAAATAAGGCTCCGCCTACAGACTAAAACTCTGAGTCGGTAGAGATATGAAAACATAAGACCATGTTTTTTGAATTCAGTTTTTTCTTATGTGATAATTAAACTTATGATACATATTTCAACGTCACACTAAACGAAATTAATAAGGTCTTTTTAAAACAGTAATTTTATATATATTTAGCTTTTTGCTATTGCAAATAATGTCCTGGGTTTAAATAGATCATAACATAATCCTTGTTAATACCTAAGATCTAAACACATTATTTTTTTAATATTTATATGCGCATGTGTACAGTGTACTGAACTTAGGTGGGCCCACATTGGACCTGATGTATCTACTACTTGTCCATGTAACTGTAATTTATTTGGATTTAAAGGGGAAAAACAATCCTAGATCCTTTGGGACCTAAATTCCTCAGGAATTGTCATCTGATATGTAACCTCTTGATATATAACCTGTAATTGTCAAAGATAATCTCTCAGACTGTGTGTGTCCACAGGGGGGAGTGATGGGGGTGCAGATCCGCTGGGACTGCAACCTGGACATGCCTGAGAGCTGGTGTGTCCCACACTACACCTTCCGCAGACTTGACAACAAGGATCCAGAAAACAACGTCGCTCCAGGATACAACTTTAGGTACAGTTTTCTCCTGGATTTAATTAGCACCACAGTGGTAATAAAGGTAATGCGTCATTCGTATGGTTCGCTGTATGTGCATTATACAGTACTGCGTAAAAGTCAGAGACCGCCCTTCATTTATTTAATCTACAGTCAAAACAGAGATTAAGTACACACTATTCATTTTTCAGGTGATATTTGAGTAGAATCAATCTGCATAAGGAAGCAGAAAGTCAAACTGAAAAAATAAGTTTAACACTAGAGTTAAAAAAGTGATTAAAATCTACAGAGAAAACGGGACTCCTAACAACCACCTGGAAGACCTGGTAGACACCAAAACTGCCCCCATCAGATAAGCAGCACTTAAAGCTTTCATCTCTGAGAGAGAGGAGAAAATCAAGCTGCTTCAGATCTGAAAACATCCACAGGTGTTTCTGTCCATCCTTCCACTGTGAGAAGACGACTCAGCGCTGTGGGTCTGAAAGGATGTGTAGCTGTCAAGAAGAACCTCACTGAGAAAAGGAGACGGACACATCAAACAAAGAAGCTGAACAATGGACTGACCACCCCAGAGTCCAGACCTCAACATCACTGAATGGGTTTAATTACTTCAGAAAATGATCAACCAGCTTCTAAGACTGAACTTTGGAGGTGTGTCTGCAGATTCTTTGAGGAACTGAAAGTGAGTCTCTTGTAAGGAATGGAAGCTGGAATAAAGGCAGAGCGTGGACACCCTGAACTCTGAAAAATCTGATTATGGATTTTATTGTGTATTGTCATTGTTGCCGGCTCTGTCTAGGAGACGTTTATGGGTCTTATACACCCTCAACAGTATGAGTTCCATTCTAATGCTCGTGAAATATTTGCAGGTTCGCCAAGTATTACAAAAATGGCGACGGTGAAGAGATGAGAACACTAATCAAGGGGTACGGCATCCGCTTCGATATCATGGTGTTTGGAAATGTGAGTCTTTCTTGCTGCTAAATCTCACCAAACATTTGAACCGTTTAGTATCAGTTAGTGTTTTTCTAAACTCACATCCTGGTCATAAAGTGAGTTTATTCATTTTTCTACAGGCTGGAAAATTCAACATTGTGCCAACACTCCTCAACATAGGTGCTGGTCTGGGCCTGATGGGGCTGGTAAGTGTTGACCCCAGAAGGGGAAGTGAAGAGACAACTGAAGTGACCAGTTTTTGCCCTCTTCCCCTAAAGCATGTCCAGTTATACAGATTATAAAGCTGACCCTAAAGCAGCACTCTAAGACTGTTAATGCAGAGCAAACATAAGCAAATGTAACTTGGGACATTTGTGGCTCTCCACAGGTGACCGTGGTGTGTGACTGGTTCGTCCTGTTTGTCATGACAAAAAGACACCTTTACAGAGAGCACAAGTACTCCTACGTTGATGACTATGAGCTTGTGAGTATCTTTTATATATTCTGATCATTCCTGCAGCCAATGCAGGTGTCGTTCTGAAGCTGCGTTTGCTTATTGTGCATTACTGCTCCACGTCTATAGATTGAAACAGTCATTCAGAGTGGTTTGGTGCAAAATGGTCCGTTCTAGAGAAACTTATCACAGTGGTGGTGATGGGAACCAGACGTCTGAAGAGTTTGCTTATTTGGATTGTAAATGAAATGGCCATTTTTGTGTTGTAGACATCACAGTAGAGGTCTGCACTGCCACACCTGCCACAATATCTTGCAGTGTGGGACTGATTTTCATTGTTGTGTGCAGAAGCGGGCGGGAAACCAGCCCACTGCAGGTGGGCGCGGGACGAAACACACTTGAAAAGAAATCCGATCACTAAATCATGTATATAAACAAGATAAAATAATAACAGTAAAACAGTTAAATGTATGAAATCATCCTAAAGAATTGCGAAGCAACCAATCACATGAACAACATGCAAATTCTTGTAGCTTACAGAGATGACAAAGCCTTCAGTCTGACACCCACAGCTACGTAGCAGAACACCAAAAATAACTGCTCTGTGGTTTAATTTCTGCTTCGTGTTTCCGGGGAATGAATGGCGTTTGGTGAAGTTACTCACAGTGAGTCTGATGACCATGACTGCCGTGTTATTTCAGCAGAGGAGAATGTAATTGTGAATATGTCAAATATTGAATGCCAGTTCTCCTTGACAGAACTGCACAGGTGCAAGCGGGACAAATGATTTCGATTTTCAGCTGGAGCGGGATGAAATCTTGCGGGAGTGGGTGGGGCGGGACTAAAAAACAGTCCCGCACAGACCTCGACGTCACAGCCCCTGGTTCCTTTCAACACTGTAAAGATATCAGAGTTAGTAAGCTTCTCTAAATTTAACCATTTCACATCAAACTACTCTGAATGACTTTGTTTACATCTCAACATATATCACACACTGTTTAGAGACGAGGAATCCTAACTGAGCTTGCTCCATCGGAGATCATTGTCTGTCTAGGAAGAGGCTGCAGTATTCACCTGCCGAATTGTGGAATTTACTTTTTTTTTTTAAGGTGTCCAATGAGGTCCCATAGAAGTCTGAAGATTTGAGGATTTGACACACTGCAAATGTTGATACTACTAACACTTGATTAATTGCCTTGAACCTTTATTTTTGTATTTGAACGTAAATTTTCCAATAAATAAACCTTAAATTAAAACTGTCTCAATTGATCTGTTGTTATTGTTGTTGTTATTATTATTATTATTATTATTATTATTATTATTATTAATGTTAGTCATATTTGTACCTGTGATAAAAGGTATCACTACATGCCACTGCCTCATAAAAACATTGGTGCACAGGAATTTTAGTGCTTTTATTCGGGTACATTTTGGGTGAGCGTGTTTGTATAGTGGGTAACTCTGCTGCCCGCTGATGAAGGACTAGAGGATGACCAGTACAAACTGTGCAGCAACAGATGAGCTATCATCTCTGACTTTACATCTACAAGGTGGACCAACAAGGTCTAATAGATTGGACAGTGAGTGGAGTGTTTAAAAACTCGAGCAGCACTGATGTGTCTGATCCACTCGTACCAGCACAACACAACATTAACACACCACCACTATCTCAGTGTCACATGGGCATGTTTACCACTGTGTCACACCACCTTTTCTTTTAACAACACTCTAAGCGTTTGGGAACTGAGGAGACTGGAATTTTGAAAGTGAAATGTTTTCCTATTCTTGCTTGATACAGGATTTCAGCTGCTCAACAGTTCAGACTCCTTTGTCATATTTTTCATTTCATAATGTGCCAAATGTTTTCAGTAAGTGGCAGGTCTGGACTGCAGGCAAGACCAGTTAAGCACCTGGACTCCAAGGAGCCATGTTATAATACATGCAGAATGTGGTTTGACATTGTCTTACTGAAATAATCAAGGCCTTCTCTGAAAAAGACGTTGTGTGGATGGCAGCATATGTTGCTCCAAAACCTGTTTATATCATTTAGCATTAATGGTGCCTTCACAGATGTGTAAGTCACTCATGCCATGTGCACTAATGCACCCTGATACCTTCACAGATGCTGGCATTTGAACTGCGCACTGATAACAAGCTGGATGGTTCCTCTCCTCTTTAGCTTGGAGGATGCAGTGTCCATGATTTCCAAAAATAATTTCAAATTTTATTCGCCAGACCACAGGACACTTTTCCACTTGACCTCAGTCCATCTTAAATGAGCTTGGGCCCAGAGAAGACGGCAGTGTTTCTGGATCCTGTTTATAGATGGTTTCTTTTTTGCATCATAACTTGCATTTGTGGATGCAGTGATGAACTGTTTTCACAGACAGTGGTTTTCAGAAGTGTTTCTGAGCCCATGCAGTGATTTCCACTACAGAATCATACCTGTTTTTAATGCAGTGCTGTCTGAGGGCCCAAAGATAACGGCCAGCAAATACTGGTTTTTGGTCTTGTCCCTTGCATACAGAGATTTTCTTGATTCTGTGAATTCTTGAATTGTTGCACTATTTGATCATACAGTCTTTCACAGAGTGGTGCACCACTCCTCATTTTTACTTCTGAAAGACTCAGCGTCTCTGAGATGCTTGTTTATACCCAATCATGTTACTGACCTGTTGCCAATTAACCTAATTAGTTGAGATGTTCCACCAGAGGTTTTTTCAGTATTACACAACTTTACCAGCCTTTTGTTGCCCTGTCCCAACTTTTTTGAAATGTGTTGCTGGCATCAAAATCAAAATGGGTATATATTTTTTAAAATACAATGACATTTCTCAGTTTCAACATTTGATATTGTCTATTTACAATTAAATATAGGGTTTAAATGATTTGCACATCATTGCGTTGCGATTTTATTTACATTTTGCACAGTGTCCCAACTGGAGATGGGATTGTATAAATCTCTCTGAGTTCTGCTTTTTATTTCATTTCAGTGCAGTTTACAATAAGTAGTAGTGTTCTCTTCATAAGGTTGTTTAAAGATCATGAACTATTCTTGGTTTTATCCTGCTAGGACGCCCACAGAAAAGCATGATGAAGTTTTGAAAATCACTGGAGCTGTCAGTTATGACTGAGGGTCTGAACATACGATGGTAATGGTGCGTTTTATGCTAAGTGCTTTCAGAATATGTCGATCTGTAAAAAATGTAAATTAGTTTTGCACTCACGGAGATTAAAACCACTACATGACATAACATTTGTTATTAGTTTGTCACTACACTCCACCACAACTTCAGTTTTCTGGTTTTATTTATGGAAGAAACTAGAACCGAAATTGTGGACAGCACAATTGTAGAAAAAACAAATCGGTTCAGCTCATTGGTAGTCAACTGTAGTTTCATTGTGGAAGTGGTAGTACTAGTAGGCCTACATTAGCTTCTTATCAAGTAAACATTTTCACTGGGCTACTTTCACTTGAGCAGGTCTACAGTTAGCAATTAACATTCTACTGTTGCTCTGTGGCATGTATGAAAATGCTAAACAGGCCTAGTTGGATCAAGAACAAACAATCTTAGTGACTGTGAAAGAGGGTTCAGCATTGAGGTACTGATGCCAGGAGCTTCCGTCACAAATGCTGCTCAACTGGATAGTGTTTCAATAAGAACAGTGACTACAGCGACTCTGCACTTAGAACTGTGGGAAAAGACATCAGGTGGAAACTGTGGTTAAAGGGGACTTTCAATTAGCCTAATGCTCATGCTTTACAGCAATGTGTAACAGAAGAGCAACTGTTTCTTAGCTTCCTCGGACTCGATGCAGGATGCGATCAGACTGTCAGTGAGAACAATCTGTCCACAACTACAAATAGAGGGATAGAGTTGCGATGCTTCAATAATGCATTGCATTGCAAAGACGAATGCACATTCAAGAGTTCTGTGGCCTGAAAACCACAGGAACAGAGGTGAGTAAAAAGTAGTACTCAGATGAGTCACCCTTCACCATATTCTTCACAAGCAGGCAAAGTCATCATCAGTGGTCACTTACTGACGACAGAGCTCACACAAAAATAGCTCTGCATGGACTAGTCCATATCTGACTCGTGCATGTGTTCATTGGGGGCTGACAGTGGGCAATGTGGACCTGGACAAACCCACACAAAACACATACGGGCCCTGTCTGGAGTAGCCTGCACTGTGCATGCACCATTCTGGAACATAGCCCAGTGCCCTGTGGCCTTGACCAAACTCATACAAAACCAGAGTCAAAGTAACGCAATAGGAGTTGAGGATAATGAGGGGGAGGAACAATTTGCGCAGGGCCAACATTGAGGCTCTTTTCAGTGAGTCAGGTCAAATGGGCTCAATGCTCTAATAAGAGTTGACTTTTGGCTCCCAAATGGCTCATTTAGTAGCATTGTCAGTTTTATTTTGGATTACTTAACCAAACTTAGCCAAGTTAGTAATAGATATTATTTATAATTTAATTTTCAAAAACCATAGTGTAATTCTTTAATTAACAAAAATTGTGTTACGTATGCTGATTTAACAAGGCATCTAAGCCAGATGTTGGTAGTAGATCCATTGGATTTATTTCCAAAGGCAGGGATTATAAGATAAGCAAAATGCAGGCAAGCTCATCACTCAGTTATCAACAAACAAAGGCAGGTAAAAGTCATAAATAAAGAGAACTAATGAGATACACTGTAAACCATGGCTAAGAACTACATGAGGACCGCCAAGAACAAAACCAGAGTCAAAGTAACGCAACAGGAGTTGAGGATAATGAGGGGGAGGAACAATTTGTTATGCCTTGTGCTGCATCCAAAACCACATACTACAGTAGTAAATCATATGTTAAAACTACAGTGCCATTGGAAGTCCATTCATTAGTTTGGTATGTATGTACACTGCTCGTTTGTGTGTGTGAGCTGAGAGAGAGCATTTGCCTGTGTGTGCAATGTTTTCTGAGTCTTCTTTTATACCGACACCACAGTGGTGTCAGAAGTGGGTCACCAAGGGGCGAGAAGTCAAATGGCGCTTCAACAAACTGAAAGGTTGACAGTAAGAAGACAGAGCACGGTGGAAGGAGGTACCGAGCACTACACCTGTCCCATCCTGGATTGGTCCAGCCAGCCGATAGCAAGAAGAGTGGCGGCGGATCGACTTGTGTGCTGGTGATACAGGAGGAGAGAGCACCATGCCAGTCAATACCACGAACCTGAGCTGGGAAGGAAATGGAAGGCAGCCGGTAAAGTTGGCTGCTGACATGGACACAGAAGACCAGAAACTACTCACCACCCTCACTGACACTGGCTCGTCAATGTTGTAGCTATGTCCTGACATGCCCTCTTGCACTGAAAGCCATGCACCTGTCAGCTGAGAGGCGGCAACTGCCTGGCTCAGGTCTGTTATTGGTGGCCAAGTCTGAGAAGGACAAGGCCTGAGCCAAGTGCATGAGTTTTGGCTTGTGCCTATACAGGACGTGTACATTCTCGGGTTGCACTTTCTTGTGGCAGTTGAGGCCGTGCTCGACCTCAGGAAGAACATGCTGGGCTTGGAGAAGGGAAGAATGAAGCTAGTCATGGTGGCTAGCTGTGGAGTGGAGGCAGAGAGTCAGGGCAGCGAACACAAGCAGCGCCCTCACCAGCGTCGACAGCGCAGTAGATGGCGAAGAGAGTGGAAGGTGGTGGAGAGGAGTGTCGTTGCTGCTGTCGTTGTTCCCAGCAGAGCCGGACAGCCACTTTCAGAGGAGGACCCAGAGCTCTCTTGTCTCACTGCTCTGGCCCACAGATGGAAAGTACGCCCACGGAGCTGCAGTCTGGCTGCCCACCAGAGTTAGAGAAGGACGAAGGCCTAGAGTGGGGTGTGCCAAGGAGCCACTGTGGCAAGGATGCACCCTGAGGGACAATGGGGCCCCACGCAAGTCCTGCGGCACTTGTGTTGACCAGGACTGTGGATATTCTGAAACCCCTTCTGTGGAGAGACCCCTCAGGGATTTTGCTTGGACTGTGAGGGCCGCCGGGACGGCTGACACCTTGTGTCTTTAGGGATGTAGTATGCAAAGCTGCGCCATGCGTGCCTTCCCCCTCCATTAAAAGGACATTTGTTGTTGTCGTTAATGTTGTTGTTGGTTAGTTTAAGATGTGTCTTTGTGTTGACTGTGTTTTATTGTGTTTGGCTGTGGGTTAGTCAGTGTGGGTTTAGTGTCTGCCATGGAATACAGTTGTACGGCTATTATTGACCTGCCCTGCTATTCATTTCTTGCTGCCTGTTAAAATGCCTGTTCAATAAAAGAGCATTTTCCTAAACGTGCGTCTTCTTAATATAATATCTAAACATATATGTACACTTTACTACATTGCATATTCTAAAGGGTGTTATTACACAGCAGACACACACATTTGAGGCTTAAAGTGCTCAAAACCTCATAAAAAAAGCAGTTTGTGAAGGGAACAGCGCCGCTAGTCGGTCAGTTCGCTATAACCGCTTCCTCTTCGTAGTTTCCTCCTCACTGCATGATGGCTGCCGCCTTGAGGGGAAGCATTGTATCATTGGCCAAGGTGAGTGCGAAGTGTAATGTCTCTAAACACGCTGGAAATGATCATATTTATCACTGTTTTAGGCTAGAAACGTATTCGAGACGATGATAGTTGTCATACTCCGCCAACACTAGCCAGAGACTGAAGGCTAAAGCTCACATCACTGTTGCCTTTGCTGGAAACCGTTAGCAGATGAGCTAATATAGGATCACCAGGGACATAATAATACAAAAATAAAGCTCATTTCTTCTGACAGGTCAATTAGAGACCGATGTATCTGGCTAACCGCCATCTCAACGTTTCTGTAGTTGTTTTGTGGTTTTCTTCGGAGTTGTCTCCCTACTCGCCAGCTTCTTGTTCGATTTTTCCCGTTCCACCTTAAATGCTGCTGCGGTCACGTTCTGGCGCTTGAGGCGAGAATGTAACCGCTGCGCCGTTTAAGGTGGAACGGGAACATTCGAACCAAGAAGCTGACTCCAGCTTCGTTCAGTCTGAGGAGGTGCCAGGAGCTAAATGGCTTCTGAGGCTAACAGCGTACCTTAAGTTAAATATCTTTCGGAGAAGAAAACCAATAGCTTAGAAATTTCTGTAAGTAAAAACGCTTTTCCAGTCAAAATGAAAATAAGAAGGCATGAAATGTTTAAAGGGCAACGCCACCCATTTTCCAAAATGTCTACGTAATTAAATGGTCAAGATGTAAAGAGTCATTCAGAGTGGTTTGGTGTGAAATGCAACATTTTAGAGAAACTAGAATGATAGGAACCAGACGTCCACCTAAACTCCCACACAGAAAGCTATTACATGAAATGGTTAGATATATGCTGCCTGATGTCAGACACATTGTTTTATGAGAGTTCTTTGATAAAGTTTGGGCCTAAAACTCTTGTTAATCCATTTATTTGAACCCATTCATGGTGGAGAGGCACATTTTACTATCATCAGCATTCCATATAGAAACTCTGAAGACTCGTGAAGGTTCACTGGCGGTTTTGGATAGTAATTTAAGCGGCTATATTTGTGTTGTAGACATGGTGACCCCAGGTTCCTATCACCACCACTGTAAAGAAATCTGTAGAGTCTCTACAATGAACCATTTTACATCAAACCACTCTGAATGACTTTGTTTACATTGCAACAACAGAATTATGCAAGAATTTTGAAAAATTGGTGGAATTCCCCTTTAAAGCCTTTATTACAAATTGCACAAATGTCTTTTCTTGGTTACTGTCTTTATTAGATTCTTTTTCTAAGACTCAGGACATGTTTAATACACCCCATCATGATACTTTGTGGGTGGTCTTGCCTGGAGTAAGTCTCATATGGCTGTTTTTGCTAAACTTATCTTTCTGCTTGCATTGTCTGTGATATGAAGCCCACATCCTGTATGGTATGCAAGTCTGTCAGCAAGCTGTTAGCTATCTGCTCAGCGCTGATAAGTTTGACAGATCTCCCATTCTTTGTTATCGCTTTTGCAGCATGCAGTGAAAAGAATTCTGCTTTCTTTCACTCGAAGTTTAAGAATAGACCCAGGTTATAGTCTTGAACAGTGACTTATGACGAACATGATGAGAGCACTTGTTAAGTATCTCTAGTTTAGAGTCTTATATAGAAGCCAGCTGGAATTAGAACCACCTTCATGTAGGACATTTGACCCCATGTTACAGTAGGCTGTGTGACCTTTCGACCTTTGATGTTCTTCTGATTGTTTCTGTTCTGACCTCTGCAGGGCCTGAGTGGTGCCCGGTTACAGCCGCTCTGCGTCCGCTCGCTGAGCCTGACGGCCAGTCGGAATGCTTCCTTGGAATCTCCCCCAGCACGAGCCGACAGCACCTTCAAAGTCACCATGGTGCCGGGTGATGGGGTCGGACCGGAGCTCATGACTGCAGTCAAAGAGGTTTTTAAGGTAGGAAGTGTACACAAACGGTTTAAACATCCAGTGCTGTTTAAATGTCCCAGTCAGGAAATGTTTCAGATGAGTAGCTTTATTATAAATATTACATTTACGGCGTTTGGCAGACGCTCTTATCCAGAGCGACTTACAGTTTGATTATCATTTTTACACAGCTCGGTGAAGGTAGTGTTAGGAGTCTTGCCCGAGGACCCTTATTAGTATGGTTTAGGGGCCTTGCCCGAGCGGGGGATTGAACCCCAGTCTGCGGTGTAGAAGGCAGAGGTGTTAACCACTACACTATACCAACTGCACAATTAAATAATTAAATTAAATAATATGGCAGCACTTGCTGCTTTCAACAGCGCTTCATCAGACACCGGAAGAAGACACATGTAATCAGTATTATTATATACAGAAACACCACGGCTGCAAGTAAAGCCAGTTAGTGTGAACTGAGTTTAATATGTGATGACGTAGAGAATACGCATTTCCAGCTGTTGCAAAACCTCTGCTTCGAACACAAGGGTTTCAGAAGAATCAAAACATTCATTGTCTCATTCATGTTGTATCATACTAATACTTAATTAGTTTAGAATTCCACCGTTTCTGCATAACGTTTCTGGGGGTGGGGGGGGGATATTTTGCCTCACAATGGCCTGCATCTACCCCTCTACTATGAACAGATTACAAATACATGTAGCCCAAAAGGGTGTGTGTCAAAACGTGTGTAAAACAGCACCTCAGGTAACTTTTGAGTCATTTTTAGAGATGCCTCCAGACCTCTGGTTCCTATCACCACCATTGTGAATGGAGTATTTTACATCAAACCACTATGAATGCCTTTGTTTGCATCTTAACTCTGTAATTATGCAGAAATGTTGAAAAATACGTACCCTCGAAATATCAGAGTTGGCAACGGAGAATACTAATACCATGAACATATTTCTGACATGCACACACAACAAAACAAAACCTAAATAAACAAAAAGCTCAGAGTCCACAATTGGAGACAGACTGAAACTGGATCTGATCCTGTCATCTGAATATCCAACTGCTTTCTAATATTACCCATGCACCGATATCCCCCACAACAGAAGTTTACTACACTTTGTAAGTTACATATCAAGGTAGTTATGGTTTTTCTGCATAGCTGTGGGGTAATTACCATAACATACCACTGCTTAGAATGTCTCATCCAGTGGCCAGCACACCTAAAGTCCATTTGACTTGCTTAATTCTGAACCTTTTTCCATGCAAATGCAAATAGTGTATGTTTTAAAATGCATTAAATGTTCAAATTATATTGGTGTATTGTATCTTTTGTATGTACATTCTCAGTACCAGCTTAGCTGAAACCACAGACATTTTCATCTCTCCTTATCATTCCATTATCTGTAGTGGAGTAAAGACACTGCATAGAGAAACTTTTGCCTAGAGGCTGAAGATAAGAGAACTGTAACGGTCTCTCCTGAGTCATGTTTCTTTGTGCCTGTTTATTCTGGACTCGCCACCTCGTGTTTCTAATGGTGTGTGATCCCCTTTTTTTTCCCCCAGGCAGGTGATGTACCTGTGGAGTTTGAAGAGTTCCACCTGAGTGAAGTGCAGAACATGGCCAGCGAAGAGAAGCTGAACGAGGTTCTTACCTCCATGAAGAACAACAGGGTTGCCATGAAAGGTAAAGATTAGAGGTGCATGATATTGGTGGCTGAAATATTACTCATAAGTTCATTATGTTTTGTAAATGTATGCTCATTCTGAAATTGATGCCTACAGCTGTTCAGAAAAGGTAGAACGGGCAGCTTAAGACTAGAAATGTTGTAAAATGTTCATCTGTAACAGGTGATGCAGTCGTACAATCCAACGGTAAGAACAACGTTCCTCAACAAGAAATTAAGTATTTCACCCTCTTGGCTGCATAATATCAACAAAAGATTCAGGGATTCTGGGGAATATCTGCGGTGAATATCACCACATAGGCTCAGGAATACTTTGACAGACTGTTGTCAGTAACTGCTTTTCGTCGCTGCATCCACAAATGCATGTACTGTGCACAGCAGAAGCCACATGTCAGCAACATCCAGAAACGCCACCAACTTCTCTGGGCTTGAGCTTGTCTGAAATAGACTGACGCACAGTGGAAACATGTATTGTGATGTGGCGCAAAACTTTCCAGTTGTTAATGTAAATAATGGACACTGAGTTTTCCAGGCCAAAGAAGAAAAGGGCCATTCAGAGTGTTATCAGTGTAAGGTCCAAACGTCAGCATCTGTCATAGTATGAGGGTGTATTAGTGCACATTTTGGAGAAACGCATGCTGCCTTCTAGTTGACGTCTTTTTCAGGGACGTCCATGTTTATTTTGACATGACAATACCAAACCACGTTCTACATGTTACAACAGCATGGCTGTGCAGTCAGAAAGTGCAGGTCTTAAAATGGGCTGGCCTGGAGTCCAGAACTGTCTGGAGTTGAAAACATGTGGCGCATTATGAAGCACAAAATACTACAACAAAAGTGCTGAAGACTTTTATAACAGAAAAATTCCTCTTTTTAAACTGGATTAGTGTCTTCAGTCCCCAAATGACTTTTAAAACGAAAGGTGATGTAACAAAGTGGTAAACATGCTGCTGTCCCAACTTCTTTGGAGCAAGTTTCAGACATCAAATTTGGAATGAGTACATATTTACAAAAAAAGCAATAGTTCAAAAGGTAAAACATCAGATATTGTGTTTTTGTACTGTTTTCATTTTAATACACGTCAGAAAGAATTTACTACTTGTTAATGAAAAACAGAAAGCAGTATTTCACACACTGTCCTACCTTTTTTGGAATTGTGCAACGTGTCTGGCTGTTAGTGTCTGCAGTCTGTTTTGTGTAGGAGGGTGGGGAAAAAAGCAGCATTGAGTCAATATTGTCTGTGGTCTTAGAGGACAGAAGCCAGATATGACAGGTGGAGCTTTTCCCCTTTAACATACTTACATTTCAGCGAAGTCATGCTGGTTGTATGTTACAATGTTTATCTTAATAACCACGTTTTAGATTTATTACTTTGCACAAAGGTGAGTTTATTCATCGTATGAGTTTGTCATCAGGGATAGTAACTGATGCTGGAGGTTACTGTCAAATAAGATTATGTCTTTGTGTCTTAACACAGGAAAGATCCACACCCCAATGGAGTATAAAGGAGAGCTGGCATCCTATGAGATGAGGCTAAGGTCAATGCTTCATTCACAACACATCATGCTTTGTGTCAAGAAATGCATTGTAACGGCATTAAGGCATTTGTTAGCAAGAAGGGTTTAAAGGAGAAAAGTCATGTTTGGCTATTTTTGTGTGTCAGAAGGTGCTGCTTCATGCCTGGCATTTGAAAAAAATGCATTTTAGATATCAGAGCCACTTACTAAAAAAACAGTGACATCTTTGGCATGTTTCAAACAGACAGAGAAAATTCCCATTCACTCACTCAACCCCTTCAATTTCGCTCACAACAGAAACGGTGCATCCACAACCATCCACCAGTGCACCTCCTTCAAATTCACAGCAGAAAAGACTTGCAACGATCAATACAGAACTAGCCAAAGTAGTTTGGGTTTAGTTTTAGTTTGAGGCAGAGTCTAGTGACACATTCAAACTTTCAAGGCTGATTCTGAGGCAGCCAGAAAACCATGTCATTTTTAACCGAAGTTCACATTGAAAGTGATAGAAAAGAGACAAAACGCGCTTAATGAGTTCAATGAGTTCAGCTTATGAATGAACAAGGAATTTACCTCTGAATATTTCAGCCAGCTCTGCTGAGCTGAGATTAATGTTTTGTAATTCTCTCAGACGAGCTCTTTCCATCAGCTAAAGCAGCCTTGGCACAGTTACAGACCGCCGACCTCAGCTCGGGTTTTCTGTTTCTGCTGAGTGTCTGTAGAAAGAGTTTAGTCTGAATTTGACGCTGTTCAGAAGTGCAGCCTTTAAATCATTCTTCATATCTGCATTTTGAACACATGCGAATATTTCTCGGTACAAATGCAGTTCAGCAAATTCACCTTTTCACAATCTTTAGTGTGATAAAGATTGACTTTTCATGTGTGCCATTGAACAGCACAAGTCTACAAATAGACTCAGAATAAAAACTTCTGTTAGTTCTACAAAAATCGTAGATCTTTATGAAGTTGCAAAGCTAAACGACCCACTAAAGATGACCGGGGGTGGTCATGGCATAGTTTCTCAACTAAAAAAGCACAGTGTCTTTAGAAGCATACTGCAAAATTTCGTAATTTCTTTCATGAATGGTTTTTAGAGGACTGGAAAACTGATTATTTCACAGCGTGACTGCTTCCCTTCAACATTATTTAAAGTGAACTAAAACTAGAGAAGTCTTTTAAGAATCGGGTGAAATTTGTTAAAGCTACGTAACTATTATCCTCCTGCTGTGGCTTGTTGTTTTGGGGGGACTGTTACGCTGTTATGTGTTTTTATGTGTGATTTTGCTGTTTGTTCTTACAGGAGGAAGCTGGACCTGTTTGCTAATGTGGTGCATGTGAACAGCCTGCCCGGTTACAGCACACGCCACAATAATCTGGACCTGGTGATCATCCGGGAACAGACGGAAGGAGAATACAGTTCACTGGAGCACGAGGTAGCAGCCTGGAGAAATCATGTTATCAACCAGAAATGATTGATAAACAGTTCAAAAAATCCTGACCCATTTTTTTTTAATTGCTTTTCAAAAAAGGAGTCATTAATGCTGAACGATGATGTAAAATTAGTTTTACTAAATCTGGTTATTGCCTGTAGTTGATGTGTGATGTATTCTGCAGATCAAGAGTGCATGGGTTATTTATTTTCCCTCTTTAAAATGATTAAATTGCAAGTATTTGTATGTAGTGCCTGCTTGTCACTGGTCTGATAATGAGTTGTTTGTGGCAGAGTGTGGCAGGAGTGGTGGAGTGTCTGAAGATCATCACCAGGGAGAAATCTCGCCGCATCGCCAAGTTTGCCTTCGACTACGCCACCAAGAAGGGCCGCAGCAAAGTAACAGCCGTACACAAAGCCAACATCATGTGAGTAGTTTAAAACTAGTAGTTTAAAATTTGTATTGTGCTAATATAAAAGCCAGTTTTTGATTGAACAGTTTTTGATTGAACCAAACTGATTTCCCACCTATGGGTCACATAGATTTGTCCTTGTTTTGGACCAAAAATGAATAAATGAATTATAAGCCTGGATTCTAATTGTTCTGTAAATTTCTTTAATCTAGGAAGTCTTTTTTCCTTTCTTTGGTTTTTTGATTAAACAGCGTATCAGTAAAAACTTACTATATAGGTGCACTTTGTAGTTCTACAGTTACAGACTGTAGTCCATCTGTTTCTCTGCATACTTTGTTAGCCCCCTTTTACCCTGTTCTTCAATGGTCAGGACCCCCATGGACCCTCACAGAGCAGGTACTATTTGGGTGGTGGATCATTCTCAGCACTGCAGTAACACTGACATGGTGGTGGTGTGTTAGTGTGTGTTGTGCTGGTACGAGTGGATCAGATACAGCAGTGCTGCTGGAGTTTTTAAACACCTCAGTGTCACTGCTGGACTGAGAATAGTCCACCAACCAAAAACATCCAGCCAACAGTGTCCTGTGCAGAGAAACAGATGGACTACAGTCTGTAATTGTAGAACTACAAAGTGCACCTATATAGTAAGTGGAGCTGATAAAATGGACAATGAGCGTAGAAACAAGGAGGTGGTCATAAAGTTATGCCTGATCGGTGTATGTGTGAGGGGTGTATGTATGTATGAGGGGTCTTAGTATGAGAGCCTGCCTCTTACACTTGTCTCTCTCTCTAATCTGAACAGGAAGCTTGGAGATGGCCTGTTCTTGCAGAGCTGCGCTGAGGTTGCTGAGCTTTACCCCAAGATCAAATATGAGAACATCATCATTGATAACTGCTGCATGCAGGTACAGATAACCTCTGTAATATCCAGCAGCTGCCAACATTTACTTTGTATAACTTTAGTTCTGTCAAACATAAAAGAGTTGTATTATTTAAAAAAAGGTTATTTTGTCGATGCTTGAAGAATCTTTGCTTTGATTTTCAGCTGGTCCAGAATCCATACCAGTTTGATGTTCTGGTGATGCCCAATCTCTATGGCAACATCATCGATAACCTTGCAGCAGGCCTGGTGGGCGGAGCTGGTGTGGTACCAGGAGAAAGCTACAGTGCGGAATATGCTGTGTTTGAGACGGTCAGTGTCTGAGCTTCAGTACTTTAGACCATCTACTGCGAGGGCCGCTGCAATGTGCCCGATCCTTTCTACAAGATCAGTTTTGGAGCAGATTGTACATATTTTAAAGGGCCTGTATGTTGCATCTTTCTTGCATTTTAGTTTTGAGGTCCACTTATAACATTTGTTTGGGTTTATGTATCATAGTTCTTACAGTTAAACAGACTGTATTTAATACTGTGCTTTTAAGACTGACATAAGTATGTGAACTCTTCTGATTGGCTGTCATGTATTGTGCTTCATTTAATATTCAATAATTTAAGTGTGAGTGGGTGGGGCTAACCTGCTGTAGGCTGGATAGATGGATATATGTAAATGATTTGGTTATTTGTCACCTCACAAACACAAAAGTGCTTCAAAGAAGGCTGTTTTTTCAGCTTAGTTTCCATATGTGAACTCTGGGGAATGAATGGTATATTGTGAAATTTTAAGTGCTTACAAATTATGTGAAGATTTTTTGCATAAAAAAGCAAGGAAAATTTGTTTTTTCTGTGATGTGGGTGCTTTAATGTCGATACGCAGCCCCATCTGTATCAACAAATTCTCTGCATTATAGTACTTGGGGGTACACAGTCTTGATTGGGAGCTCGCTGTCCCTGGCTACTGCTCTGATTAGATATTACTGTGTTTAGAGTGTATTAGCCAATCGCATGAGATCCTAAAATCAGAGCGATCTCTTATTTTCAAGTATTTTCATACTCATCTCTCTCTCTCTCCACCAGGGGGCCAGGCACCCATTCGCTCAGGCTGTAGGGAGGAACATTGCTAACCCTACTGCTATGCTTCTTAGTGCTGCTAACATGCTCAGACATCTCAAGTGAGTTCATCATCACTCTTATCACACCTAAAACCACTTTGCACCTCTTGACAGTTTAATAGGTAAAAGATCTAAAGGTAGCTATTTTAGACAGCAGGTTTTCTCCGTTTGTGTGCTGAAATAAAGAAGCGGAATGTGGACACCAGATATATCTTGGCTGTTCAACTACATGTGAAAAAACTGAGTAAATTAGATTTATTGTCGAACCATTCCTTTAAGGTAGCTACATTTGGATGGTAGACGTCACTTTTTGTTCTTTTTAATAGCCTCTAGTTTTTATATCCCGTCAGCCGAAGTCCAGCGACAAGACATGGGATATAAAATACAGGAAACTCCAAAAGTGTCGTTCATGTCCAGGAATGCTTTTTTAGTGTAATAAAACATCTCTGTGTCTTTGTTTATTTTTGTGCTTCAGTTTGGAGTATCATTCTAACATGGTGTCTGAAGCTGTCAAAAGAGTCATAAAACAGGGCAAGGTAAGATCACAGTTGTGTGTGTGTGTGTGTGTGTGTATCAGTGCAAACAAATTAGGGGTTGCACAACTATTTTTAATGCTTGACTAGTCATTCAAAAAAAATAGTTGAGTAGTCACGATTACTATGGAAGAAAAAAAAAGTTTTTCAGACTTCAGTTGAAAGTGTTGTGTTAGTAGTTTAGGGTCTAGCGGCAGATGCTGCACTTTGAGAGTTGTTTTTGTTGTATTTCAGTAAGTTTAATCCTCAGATACTCTGCCTAAAGAAGTCCACAGACTGTCTGATGTAAACTGCACGCTGCACTTTACTTTGGCTCTAGCTCAGGGTGGGCGATATGGGGGAAAATATCATATGATACTTAAAGTATCACGATACACGATACATATCAGAGTATTTTAAGAACACAGACAAAATGTTTAATAGTGTTATATCTAAGAATGGATGCAATGATAATGAACTTTTTCATGCACTGCACTAAATCCAGTTAAACAGGCCTAATGTACTTTAAGTATGCACAATATTTCTGGCATATTTTGTGCATCATGATCAATTATCTCAATGCTGATAAAATATCATAATTTTGCCCACCCTTAGCTCTAGCTATCTGTGCTTTCGTGCCCTGGTTTCATCAGTCCAATAGGCTAGCAGTTGTCATCTCTGCTCATCAGAGAGCCTTTCAGAGCGAGATGAAGTCACTGTAACTGACAAAGTCAGTAACAGAAAACCCTCTCTATCCCGTTTCTAAATGTTATTCCCGAATTTTATTTGGAACAGACGCTACCAAGCGAACAAGATATATTCTCATATGCTTCCAACCTGGTGTTTAACTCTCGGGGTCTGAGTGCATTTTCTTGATTTTTGCATATATTCTGAAATCTGCCTTCAAAGGCTCTTGCATACAACACGATACCCACATATTATATATCAAAATGTTCAGAACAATCTCAGCTCTCTCTATAATGAAGCCCATTTGACCTGGAGCACCACATAAAGAGATAATTCAGCCCTAAAGCGGAAAAAATAAAATCCGGTTTTAGAAATTCTTAATATCTCTTATGAAAACACAGCTCTACTCATGTGGGAAGATTGTTTTGGTGCTTGAAATATGTTTACCAAAGTCTTAGGTATACAAAAGTCCACCAGCTCCACACGGTGAGAGGCAGATGACGTGTATCTCAGCCCCTCTTCATAGGCTCATAACTCCGGATGCGAGTCTCGTATGATCTCGTGATAAGATGGAATAGAAAGGGTGACTCTACGGTTTCAGGAAGTGTTTGAACTGGATTTCTATGCTGGATTATCACGAAGATATTAATAGAAAGACCAAGAAACATGTAATTAGATGTGCCGCCATGCTTAAATTCGTTCGTTGACCCCAAAAGGTTAAAGACCATTGCTTGTTTGTTTTTGTTTCACACTGCGTTAAATGGTCTGTTGGTCGTTTTGATCATTCAGATGGCCTTTACCTATCAAAGACGTGGTCATCAAAACCTACATGCTCTGCCTTTGAGACTGTATCAGTGCCGTCTTCAGACGTGGCCTTTTCTAACTCTTTTTGTTGTTATTGTCGTCGTACAGTGGGCTTCAGTTTTAGACCGCATGTTTAAGCTTAAAACAAAAAAAGGCCAACTTTTCTGCCGAGTGCCATACACTGTTACATCTGACCAGTCAATTTCGAGGATGCTTTGTCTCTTGTCACCAATAAAGAAAAAACTAATTTGGCTGTTTTCAAACACCTAGAGCTGTGCCACACTCGGCCCAGAGATGAACACAATCTGACCGTGAATTGTTAATTTTGAAATGTTAATTTCTAAATGGTTATCGCACTAAAAAAGTGCTTTAGACTTTGTGTCCAGCAGAAAAGGTCATTTTTCATTTCTCCTCCAGCCCTTACAATGCTGGTTTTTCTCTTATCGTATTTCAGACGTTACCTTCGACCAGTTAGTTGACAGTATGTGCAACCCCTAATACGTTCTCTGGGAGGGAGCTAGCAGAAAGGAATGGAATGGGACTGAACATGTTTTTGTGTGTGAGTGTGTGTGTGTGTGTGAGTGTGTGTGTGTGTGTGTGTGAGTGTGTGAGTGTGTGTGTGAGTGTGTGTGTGTGTGGGTGTGTGTGTGTGTGGGTGGGGGGAGAGCATGTTATGTAAAAATGACTGTTGAAGTGGTGGATGTTCGGTACATGTGTGTGCATGTTAAGGCAGCCTGAGTAGTTAGTTATTATGCCCAGAAGAGAAATTGCAGAACTTCTTTACTAACAGTTGGAACTTGACTAATATCTGGATCCTCTTAACCTTAACCATGCAGCTTTTCTGTCTCACTGTTCAGTCTATACAACTAATAAATACCTTAATTTGTTGCTTGGAGATGTTCAATGTGCAGCTCAGCAGAGCAGCTGTTCAGTGCGTCTCACTGGCTGATCTAACGCTGCGTCCCAAACCACACACTACTGTACTTCCATACTTATTACAAATAGCCACAGCACTGCTGAACGAACTTGATGTTGCCTACCAAAATGATGGGAGCCCGATCGTGGTGTCAGGAATACCACAGCTGCTATGAATTGTTTTGGTGAACCATGGTTAGCTTGGCGCTAGTGATGCAGTGTTCTTTGCATGAAGAATCTCATTTCTACATCCAAAAAAACGTAGCCAGTGCCCGAATTTGTATCTATTATGTCTGATTCGCTACATACGTAACGTATGAATGGATTGAGTGACAGTCTAAATGTGGAATTTAAAAACTAATCCAGCGCCTCATCAAGGCGGAGCTCAATGTAGGGGCAATGGTGAGCTCCTCAATATTGTGTGATGGACAGCAAGCCTGTCGCCAGCCCATGGATGTAACCTAAGTTATCATTGCTAAAAAGCCAGAAGAAAACCTCGTATCTCCAAAATGGTAACTTTACAGTAGAAGGAAAAAACATGCTTTACTTTTAATGTAAGTCAATGGAACCAGACTTTTTCCCCCAAAACATTTTGGCCCATTTCTTCTGGTCCATTCATCATGAACAGGCATTTTCAAATTATGTCAAAAACTGAAAAACGACAAAAATGGAGATACGAGGTTTTCTTCTAACAGCCGTGATAAGCATGAACTTTTGCAAGGAAAACAAAAAAACAGTTCCATTATCTAGCTAGCGATAGCTCTTTGCTAGAACATTAAAAGAGTGCGGACTAGAGAAGTTTGTGGTGGGTTTTAGAGGGGGTGTGCCCCGTTAGGCCTACACATGACAGTTTTACGTGAAGCTAGCCTTTAGCTTAGCATCACTCATCATCATCATCATCATCATCATCATCATCAGAATAACTTGTCATTATGTTTTCACGCTTTGCATGCTGGACGCTGTAATGGGACAGTTCCTCTCAGGGCTCAACCCTTTTCATTCCTTTTCATTTGCTGTTTAAATGTTTTAGTTCTTCCCTCACAGTCCATGCTTGTGTGTGTGTGTGTGTGTGTGTGTGTGTGTGTGTGTGTGTGTGTGTGTGTTTGTGTCTCAGGTGCGGACGCGAGATCTTGGTGGTTACAGCACTACTGGTGACTTTGTCCGTGCAGTTGTTGCCAACCTGCGTCATCGGCCCCCTCACTGAGGACCTCCCCTCTCTCTGTTTCACCTCCCCCTGCGCTTTTCTTTTTTTATTTTTCAGTCAGTCCGCTGTTTTAAACCTGTTGCCGCATTCACAAAAGCATCTCTAGGAATTTCACAACTCAGAACTTCTTAAAGAACATCTTTCTTTCCTAACTTTTCTCAGGAACAATTCTAAGTGCTACTCTTGGAAAAAATGTTCTTAAATAAACACCAACGTCTCCTACTGTCTATGATGGGCTATTAAATGTAATGGATGTCAAAAGGTTACTTGATAGATAACTTATTATCTTCTTAAGAAACTATTTAATACTTTTTTTTTATTAGTATATATGATAACTTTGTAAGGTTTTGATTTGTTTTGGGTTTTTTTGAGACTGCTATTAAAGAACAGTGGGCCTCATTCACCAATATCTTCCCAAGTTTTCTCTTAAATGTGTTCTTGAGAAAGATCCTGAGAAAAAGTCTGCGTCAGACCTATGTCGTGTTCTTAAACCACAGAATTATTTGCAGCTTTGTGCTCTTGAGTGTGTGTAGATTCTGTTCTTACCCAAGAACAAATTCCAGATAAGAAAACACTGGCAAAAGTCAGAATCTTTGTAAAAAGTGCGCAAGTGGGTTTTAAGAAGAAATTCCATCTAAAGAACGGTTGGTGAATGAGGCTTTCAGTGTTTGTCCTTTTTTCTTTGCAGATGTTTTGTGAATACGGCTCCTGGTCTGTCTCGGCTCAGTCTTGATTCTCCGTCTGGTCACTTCCCCTAGCCACTTCCCCTAGTTACTGCCATTGCTTTGCAAACCAATTTCATATAGTTTTCTGGCACATTTGGCCTCCTTTTCTTGCTTCCATCTAACATCTGCTGCTCTTTCTATTATCTGTGCTTTTTAACTCTTGATTTTGGAGTAAGCAAAAAAACGCACCTGTTCAGAAACCTGTGCCATATCCACCCAACATTACCCAACAAACCCAAAGTGTCTGGGTGGATTTTTATATTGACATTGGGTTATTTGGTGTGGGCCTCATTTCCTGTTTTCATGAAGGCTCAAACATCTGGCCGCTGGCGTTTGTTGGATTGTATTGGTACAGTGTAAGTGATATATATCGTTCCTTGTGAGCGCAGTCGCTTATATGCTGTATCAGAATACATGGGTCACTGGCTCTGTTTCTGATGACTGCTCTCTCAGTGAGTTGGTGGTCAGCTGTGTGGAGCTGGACACTGACCGGCCGTCTTTCTCTGGAGCCAGTTATTGATTAACCCACTCCAGTGCTTCCAGTCAGGATGCCTGCAAACCAGTGCATCAGGCACATACATGAGGAACTGAAGAGGGCCAATTGCTTCTTCATTCAGTTGTATTGTCATACAAAGACTGATTTATAGCTGTGTTTGAATGAAGGATTTCTACTGTCAGTGTTTTTAGGGACCTATTATCAGGTTGGTTGACAAGACAAGGTTTCTGGACTTATGTTCCGGATTGTAACAACATTGGCATCAAAACACCAAGCAAGTTAAATGAACACTACTGTAAAAACAGATGTTGGAGGCCAAAACAAGCAGAAAAGTCTTTATCTGCAGTGTGTTAGTCATCCCTGTCCAAGTCAGCCCAGTCTAAATCAGTGCCTGGTCTTTTTTTCATTTCATTATATGGGAGGAAATGGTTGTATTTTTCCTCACAGAGCTAATTTTCAAGCTGCTTAGTGTCCAGTCATTTGTGTCCACCAGTTGACGCTGTAAATAAATTGTTGTCACTCTGTAAATCTGCTCTGTCTTAACAATCATGGTGTGAAATCAAGTAATAAAATATGACATGAGACCTGTAGGAGACTGAGTGTTTATGAAATGGATTAATATTTTATACAGTTATGTGAGTTCTGTGAACCTTCTATTCAGTTAGCTTTGTGCTTTGTAACACTTTTTAACACACACACTGGCTCATAGCTTGTCATAAGTGTACAATAGAACTACCAGTGCACTCATCTGCCTGCATTCAGCCTGTGTGTATGTATGTTTCATACATTTTCAGGACAAAGATAGAGGTTAAGACTAGATTTAGGTCTAGGGTTATGCTTAGAAAGTCCTTAATATAAGCTATGTGGCCAAATGTTTGTGGACACAAACTAAGCTCCCAATTATTGAGCTGAGGTGTTTCAGCCATACAGGTGTATACAATCAAGCATATAGCCTCGCAATCTTCATAGACAAACAGAGGCAAGTAATGCTGAAGAGCACAGTGACTTTAAACGTGGCACTGTCATAGAATGCACCTTTTGCCATAAGTTAGCTTGTGTAACTTCTGTCCTGCTAGATCTGCCCTAGACAACTGTAAGTGCTATTGTTGTGAAACGGAAGTGTCTCCAAGCAATAATGGTTCAGTCACAAAGCATTAGGCCAAGCAAACTCAGTGGGACCGCTGAGTGCTGAAGCTCCTTGCATCACTCGCTACAGAGTTCCAAACTGCCACTGGAAGCAACAAGAACTGTACGACGAGAGCTTCATGACATGGACTTCCATGACCAGCTGCACACAAGCCTAAGATCACTATGCGCAATGCCAAGTGTTGGCTGGAGTGGTGTAAAGCAAGCTGACACTGGACTGGAGCAGTGGAAACATGTTCACTGACGTGATGAATCATATCCGGCAGCATGATGGATGAATCTAAGTTTGGTGGATGTCAGGAGAACAATAACTACAGGAATGCACAGTGCCAACAGTAAAGTTTGGCCATTTTTAAGGCTCCCTAGTTCCAGTGAAGGGAAACCTTAACGCTTCAGCACTCAAAGACATTTTGGACAACTGTACACTTGCAGCTTTGTGGGAACAGTTTGGTGAAGAACCTTTCCTGTTCCAGCATGACTGAGCCCCAGTGCACAAAGCAGCTCCATAAAGGCCTGACTGGGTGAGTTTGATGTGGAAGAACCTGACTGACCCTCACAGAGCCCTGACCTCAACCCCATCCAACACCTCTGGGCTAAACTAGAACAGAGATTGGGAGCCAGACCCTCTCGTCCAACATCAGTGTCTGACCTCACAAATGCTCTTCTGGATGAATGGGCAGAAATTCCCACAGACTCTCTCCAACATCTTGTAGGAAGCTTCCCAGAAGAGCTGCAAAGAGGAAGCTGTTAGAGCTGCAAACCAACTCTATATTAATGCCTATGAATTTAGAATAGGATGTCATAAAAGCTCCTGTAGGTGTCTCCATACTTTTGGCCACATAGTGTATAGAAGACCTGTTAGAGAATTTTGAATGAAAATTTTACATTAAAAAGAAAATTCAGTTCATGAATTTTCATGCTGGAGCTTTTAAACACTGTGTCCACTCTCTGTCCACTCTATTAGACACTCCTACCTTGTCAGTCCACCTTGTAGATGTAAAGTCAGAGATGATAGCTCATCTGCTGCTGCACAGTTTGTGTTGGTCATCCTCTAGTCCTTCATCAGTGGTCACAGGATGCTGCCCACAGGACGCTGTTGGCTGGATATTTTTGGTTGGTGGACTATTCTCAGTCCAGCAGTGACACTGAGGTATTTAAAAACTCCAGCAGCACTGCTGTGTCTGATCCACTCAGACCAGCGCAACACACACTAACACACCACCCCCACATCAGTGTTAATGCAGTGCTGAGAATGATCCACCACCCAAATAGTACCTGCTCTGTGAGGGTCCTGACCAATAAAGTAAAGGGTGAAATGGCCTAACAGGTTGCAAACAAAGTAACCTGTTTGTCTCTCTGGTTCAGGTGCGTACGGCGGATCTGGGAGGTTATGCCACGAGCGTGGAGTTCACCAGAGCGGTCATCTCTAATCTCTCTGCATGAAGAAGATATAGCAATGAGGCCTCACCAACACAGTCCACTCTCTGCACCTGCTGACCGCTGACTCCGCACATTTCTCCTAGATTAAAGAAATTATTCGGGGGAAAAAACTAATCCACACAGTTTTCCTCTAATCCCAAATGTAGTTAACCAGCCATGATGTCTGTTTTGCACCTGAACTACGAGGCTAATGCAGCTAACAAGTAATGGATATATGGATGTAACATAGTGAAGCATATACCTCACCAGTTAGCATCATGCTACATCATCACACTCACCTCAGACTGTGTGGAGGTGTTCAGTATCAATAACAGGCTTGATGATGTGGTTTCTGAGACTGTTCTCCCCAAAACAGAGTAAACATTACTGGTTTATGCACACAGTTAGCACAGTGCTAATTCCTGGAGAAGAGGCTCCCATTACTTCACAGCTCCCCCTGCTGAATAGAGACCATTATGTGTTTCTGTTGGTTCCTGATGGTTTTTTAATGTGTTTTAGCTTTTTAAACGGGTTGATATCACAATGTAAAGGACTGTAATGGTTTAATAGATGACCAATGGCTGATTCTAAAGCATTTAATGGTTTCCTAAAGGGATCTAAAGGTGTTCTACTAGTGCAGTGCCGGATTATGAACTGTTACCCCTTGTTATATGAAAACCATGACAACAAAACAGCAGAGGGCGCCAGTGAGCGAGTCCTCAATGAATGGGAGTGAATGGAGCTAAATGGCTAAAAACGAAAGTTAGAACAGTTTCTAATCACTGAACCAGAACTTTCCTTTAATTTTAGAAGGTAGACAGATGTATTTCACTAAAAAAACAAAGAAAACTCACCTGTATGTTTCCTTTTTTCTACAGCAAACGGGTTTTGGGCGGCAGAACGATAACATTACTGATACTGAGTGCTGATTGGTTGGCGAGCGGAGCAGCTCATTGGCTGTTCACACTCACTGATGTCATGAACGTACATGAGGTGCCGTTTTAAACTCCTATAACTCGAGTTTAAAAGCTCTTAAAAATATAACAGCAGTGTTAAAATGGTTTATACTGTTCTGTGTTCAGGAAAATGATTGTATTCTTTTACATTAAAAATGTTTGAGCATTTATAAACTATGATTTCCATCTCAACCCATTCATTCTGGACTTGCTCGGGAGCGCCCTCTAGCGTTCGAGAAACCTGAAAGACATTACAGAGTGGAAATTCTCCTCTCTACAAGTTCTCTGACTGGTGGTCCATTAGAAAGCAAAACCAAACATGTCTTGGTTGATCAACTACATTTTGGGGAGCTGTAAATTTGTTTTTTGGCAAACAGTTTCTTAAGTGGTTAATACAGATGGCCTGTGCCTATACTTAAAGGGGAAGTCCACCATTTTTTTTTAATTTCGACACAATCAAACAGTTAAGATGTAAACCAACTCATTCAGAGTGGTTTGGTGTGAAATGTTCTGTTCTAGAGAAACTTACCGAGTTGTTCACAGTGGTGGTGATAGGAACCAGACGTCCCCCTCTAAAAGCTCCCTCACAGAAAGTTACTACATGGAATAGTTATAAATTCACTGCCTGATGACTGAGACAGTTTTATGATAGGCTTCTGATAAAGTTTTGGTCTAAGGTGCTAAGAATTCATTCATTCTACCCTCAGTCATGGCGGAGGGATACATGCGTGTCTCTACAATCAACCATTTCACACCACACCACTCTGAATGGCTCTGTTTACATCTCAAACACTTGATTATGCAGAAATTTTGAAACACCAGTGGAGTTCCCCTTTAACGTACTGACCCACAATATTCACCTGTTACTGTTTCTACTTGCTCGTATTACAAAGATTGAACTATATTATGAATGGAATGTAATGAATTGTGATGAATGTAAAGAGAGCTAAACTCTATTTATGTACTGGACCACTGTGTGCTATTTATATGCTATTTATTCATTCGTGGACATGAATAAACATCAATGCTATTAATATTGAAAATGTTATTGTTCATATTCATATATTTCAATTGAAAATGCCGCAATATAGGCTAAACATGGAGAGTTAATAATCAATGATTTTTCAATCCAAATTAAAATATGAAAGAATTTTTGTTTCATTTTCCACATGAAATACTTGCTGCTGTCATCAGATTTAACTGTGTAACATTCATAAGCGTACCGTGGAGTAAACATTCATTTCAAATTCAAATTCATGCTTATTATCTCTAACGGAGAAGCTACGTCCATTCATATTTTCCTGTTAGCGACAGATAACTGAGAACCCCTATTTGCTGTTATCAGTTTTCACCACCAGATGGCGCTTTGTATTTATCCCCCTTGTCATTATCACTTTTCACCACCAGATGGCGCTGTATATTATCGCATTCTCCCGTCACCAGTTGTCACCACCAGACGGCGCTGTTTATTACTTCGAATTTGGCTGCGTCTCAAACCACATACTATCACATTATGCATACGAACGCGCTGCTAACGGCGCTGCGCTAATTTTGACAGTTGAGAGTATAGTAGTCTGCGATTTGCGACGCAGCCGTTCTCATAGCCTGACCACTAGAATGTGCTGTTTATTTTTCCCATGGCTGCTTCCAAAACCGCATTACTATCATACTTGTCAGAAATAGTTCACCACCAGTGAAAGTCCCCTCATTAGTGCGGTAAGTTATGTGGTGTGGTTTTGGACGCGGCTTGTGTGTCGTTATCAGATTTCACCACCAGATGTCGCTGTTTATTTAGCCAATTTTTTTTTTTTGCCGTTTTTAGTTCTGACCACCAGGTGGCACTGTGTTTATCCATTTTTTTCGATATCAGTTTTGACCACCAGGTGGCGCAGGGCTACCGCGCCGATCCCGGTGGGCGGGGCTTCGTCCCGGGAATCCGGCGCTTCCCACCGCGGAGCCACAACATGGCGGAGTAGGAGAGGCGCCACCGCGCCCGGATAGCAGCGAACAAACCGCGGGATAAAGGGCCGCCCGGCGTGGCGGAGAGGACGGGAGCGCATCCCAGGGAC